AATCAGTACAAAAGTCAAGATTCAGTTCTGTCAAACCATAATATTTATAAAAAAAATATCCGTGCAATGCTTTCAAATGTATTTACTTTACCTTTTAAGATTCACAATGAAGAGCCTGGATGTGGAGGTCAAGCAGGAGATGAGCCAGTGGAGGTTCAGGGACTGGGGGACGCTCTGCAGAGGGCCAGCCCACCTGGGTGAACTCCCTGGTGGGACGGATCTTCTGGGACTTTCTCCGCGAGAAGTACTGGACGGATCAGGTGGCGCACAAGATCCAGAAGAAGCTCAGCAAGATCAAGGTGAGACGGGATGAGGACGGTGATTTATCTCACTGTTAGTCAGAAACGTATGTAGTTGGGTCAGGAGATGGTTTTTTTGGATTGATGCTCCTGTTTGTGCTTTATATATTCACATCCATCTGTGTGTTCCCACCATCAGCATCATCATCATAAGTGTCATACAGAGTTATGACATTGCTTTGCAGCAGTGAGCTTACTGCAGGTCACACCTCTGGAAACTGTCACTGGATGACAGGACGGGAACATCAGCACTGGTTTGTGCATAAGGTCAAAGGATGGGACGCCAGGCACAGCAACACTGCAGCTCTGTTTCCTGTGCATGTATGTGTGTGTGTGTGTGTGTGTGTGTGTGTGTGTGTGTGTGTGTGTGTGTGTGTGTGTGTGTGTGTGTGTGGTGTGTGTTGTGTGTGTTGGTGTGTGTGTATGTGTGTTGGTGTGTGTTGGTGTGTGTGTGTGTGTATGTGTGTTGGTGTGTGTTGGTGTGTGTGTGTGTGTGTGTGTGTGTGTGTATCTGAGTCTGCTGATAATGCACTCTCTCCAGTTTCTAAGGCAGGAGGAGACAGAGGGGAGTGTAGCACTGATGGCACCACAGCGTCTCATTACTCATTTCCTTCTCCTCTCTTTGACACACACCATAGTTTAACCTCTCCTATCTTGCTTCTCTGTTACACACACACACACACACACACACACACACACACACACACACACACACACACACACCTGTCTTTATGTACATTATGTCCTGCATGAACTCAGCGTGTTTACTCACACAAGGTTTGTCTCTTTGTAGTTGCCATATTTCATGAATGATCTGACCCTGGCCGACCTTGACATGGGTACCTGTCTGCCTCAAGTCCTCAGCACCTCCAAACCAACTCTGGACCGCAGAGGTACACCTGTGTGTATTTACACTTGTACATATTTCTTTAGAGAAGTACTCTTTTCTACACATTCCTGCTCTTTTGAGAGTTAGCCATGCTCGTAGTATGGCTCTGTTGTCGGTCAGTCCACTCCTACGGACTGAAATGTAACAACAACATTTTGATGGTAGAGCGCAGCAAAGGTAGACACACTCTCAACTTAAATAGAGGTAGATATACTTGCGTGCAAAAAAAGACTCTGGTAAGTAGAGTTACTGATTCAACTTCTTTACTGAATGTAAATGGAAGAAGTACAGGCTCTAAGCGACTGTTTCTGTGGCTTACTGAACAAGTAGAGGAGGGGTTTCTGACACAGATTCACCAACTTCCACAGTGCATGGAGAACAAAAATATCTTAAAGAGCTCCAGAAACACAGATTAAAGAACAACTTCATTAAGACCGGCACATTTCATAATATTAAAAATTACAAGACTACAGGCTGAAATAACTTTAAAACATTATTGTCCTGCAATAATGCAAAATAATTATAATCTGTAATTCTTCAAGTGCATTTGAGCTATAGAGTGAGAAGCCTGTTTTTAAAATATAAGAAGTACTAATAAGAACATATACTAGTGTTGAATTTGAGAGAGAAAGGATAAAAAGCCGTCTGTAAAAAAGAAACTTGCATAAAATACAGATATGTGTCAACTTTATTGAAGCGCAGTAACCCATCATTTGTACTTAAATCCTTCCCATCTCTTAAGGATTGCTGTGACACTTTGGGGACCCCCCCCCCCCCCGACGCTTCATCTACTCCCTCCTGTCACAGCTGCTACTTCAGCTTGAGTCTTGTTTTTTTTCTTTTCTTAAATCACTGTAGACAAGGTTTACGCAACAGTCTTAACCGAGTTCTCTTCTCTCAGCACATTCCTGCAGTCGGCTCAGCCCATGATCCCATTTGTTTCATTAGAGAGTTTGCCGTCTCCGCTTTAAAAGCTCTCCATTGTCTCCTCCCTGGCAGATTAGCAATCCCTTTGACTTGATTTAGCTCAACCGACTATGACATGCCTGAGCTTTCCTACATTTGTCTCATGTGTTTTCTGGAACATCACTGTTCAAATCCTGCTGGAAAGGAGATGTCGATTCAGCCTGCTGACCAAACTCTAGCTTAAGATCAAAGTCCCTTTAAGAAACCTAAAGCAACCTGTCTATCCCCCTCTCTCCTTCCCTTTATCCCCAGGCCTGTGGCTGGAGCTGGAGGTGGTGTACACAGGCTGCCTTCAGATGACCCTGGAGACTAAGATGAACCTGTGTAAGCTGGGTAAAGATGGAGATGACGAGGCACACGGTGTACCAGAGACTCAGCAAGTGGGGTTAGGAGCCGTTTCTGTTTTGTATTCTTTAACAAATGGAAAATCAAGTTTCTTTTACACTCAGTTAGTTTGCATTGAAGGGAACTCCTGATTTGTCTCCAGCTCTAGGCCCAGGCTGTGTACACTGGCCGATAGTGATGAGGAGTCGTCCAGCGCAGGCTCGTCTGATGAAGAGGAGGTCCTTCTGTCTGAGGTGCAGGGGTCTCTGGGAGAAAGAGCCCAGTGGTAACAGCTGAAGGGTAAATAAACATTTTAATTGTAGTTGTCCTCGACGAATACTAAATTAAATTTGGATTCCAGCTCACAAAACTTCACTGCACATGTTTCCCTGAATATGTTCATCTTGTTTATATTATAACATATATATATATATATATACACACACACACACACACACACACACACACACACACACACACACACACACACACACACACACACACACACACACACACACACACACATGTATAAACAAGCCACAATCACTTTGCTCTCAGTTTAGACTCATGACATGGTCCACAGTCTCCTGACTACATCTGTGTCCCTGTCCTCCCCGTTAGGCACACTGGTGGCAGCACAGGTAGGAAGTTCTTAAGATTTGTGGACAAAATAGCAAAGTCCAAGTACTTCCAGAAAGCCACAGAGAACGAGTACATCAAGAAGAAGATAGCTGAGGTGTCCAACATGCCGCTGATCCTCAGCGTCGAGGTCCTGGAGCTCTCTGGCACTCTGGCTGTCAACATCCCGCCTCCTCCTACGGACAGGATATGGTACTAAAGTTTCTGTTTCACTCACTTCACACCACACATTTGAAGGTTTAAGTTTTTTCTTTCTCAAGCAGTCTTTCTGTCTCTTCAGGTACAGTTTTCGTGTCCCTCCCAGGTTGGACCTCCATGTGCGTCCCACGCTTGGGGAGAGGGAGGTCACCTTCACGCACGTCACTGAGTGGATCGAGAAGAAACTGCAGTGTGAGTTCCAGGTGAGTCCATCAGTAAAAACATCTCCCTTGCTGCTGAAAACATTAAAACATTGCACAGTATTTCTGTATCCGTATCCAGCCTTACCAATTAGTCCTCGGTCCGCCTGCAGTGACGCCACGTCTCATCCAGCATGGTTCATTTAAATTGTGTTAATGATATAATCATATTAAGCTTGCCCATTTAACTTCAGATGTTCAGTAAGAGGTTATTCAAAATAGAACCTTCAGGGTCTGAGGCCTGACACGAACAGAAAGCGACCGTAGTAGAAGTAGTAGTAGTAGAAGTATATCGCCTCAGAAGTGGACGTTGCTTGCATAACAACTTTAAGGGATTATAAGTGAATATGTCTTGTATTTTAATGTCTTATTTTTGCTCATTGTTGTTCTAATTGCTCTGTTTTCTAACTCTATAAAGCACCATGAGTTCCTCTATGTATACTTGCTTTGCCTTAATACATTCCTTTAACACACATATCATCTGGATTATAATGATTGTTCAATTTTAAATATGCTACTAAATATTCTTTATATGCTGCTTTTTACCTTGTTTCTTCTTTTTATATATTCTATTTCGGCATTTTTCTTTTGTCAAGGACCAAAAACACCTTGAGCTAACCTAAAAAGGAACAAATCCAATTTCTGTTTTTTTTTTTTTTCACCCCTTTGAACAATCAACAGAAAGTGTTTGTCATGCCCAACATGGACGATCTGTATCTGCCCCTGATGACATCCGGCCTCGACAACCCAGCTGCATCCCAACAGTCCTCCATCCACTCCTCTTCGCACCAGTCCTCCATGGAGTCCCAGGAGTACCTGTCGGAGTAGCCACAGATGGAGCAGGTTGTGATGGAAACAGGTGTCGTGCAGCTCTTGCCTTAATCTCTGATGGATTCGGAGGCTGCAGCAGGGTACCCGCTCGCTGGTTTATGTTGCCTGTGCTCAAGGTAACAAGTGCAGGATGGACGCCTCCTGAAGGCAGCACTGCAGAGACCTCGGCGCTGTGAGAGTGGTGCAACAGTGCCCCCTATTGGGAAGATGGTTGAACTGCACCTCCATCAAGTCAGAACGGATTGCACGCTGGTTTTCTAAAGGGGAACTTTTGATTCTGACATGATTGAAGGTGCCAAACTGAAAAACTGAATTTCTTTCCCCTTGTCAAATGGAGTTGAAGACCTCTCTTTAAAAAGAATGTATCCATCCATCTCCTTTTCTTTTTTTTACTAACCCTGTTAATGGCTGAGAGCCTGAACAAACTGGAAACTTAAAAAAAAAAAAAAAATCTAATCATTCAAGCTTCCCTTGTGCATGTTATTTCTTAACAGTGTCGATATGCTCATGGACTTATCAGTTAATAAAAACCACGATAAAACTGACTGTCTGTATAATTATTTGATTTTAATAGAGAAACAAATGATTTAATTTAACGCAGTTACATCACATAAACTAATACTAATAAAGTATTAAAAAAAACACAATACTTGATGTATTTGCACCCAGTTTTATTATCTTAAAGTCCCAAAATTTGAGATATTCCCTTTTTATTTCAGACCTCTTCAGTCAGAGGCTCTGGCAGTGTTTTCTTTACGTCCTTCTTCAGCGGCCCCTGCAGGTGAACCAGAGGTCAGTGGTTAAGGAGCGCTAAAAAGACTCAGATCAGATTTGTGTGTGCGCCAAACTTCCTCCTCACACTCACCATGAATGCCCTCTTCTCCTGGGCAGTCTGGAAGCGGCCGTGGCCAAATTTGGAAGTGGTGTCGATGAATTTAAGCTCGATGGCCTCCTTTGACTTGCGAGACGTGTGCACGAGCAGAGACTAGAGAGAAGGACGCACAAAGATGAAGTCTGACTGTACTCTTATGATGCTCTGAAAGCCCTTCTTCTTTAATTATCAATAACATGCTCTATCTGGTCAGCCTTAAGTCAGAAAATATGTGTACTGCAAGCTGTCTTTTGGATCTGAAATTAGACTTTAAAAGTATCACTGTACCTTTCTGAGGGTGAGAACACGTTTCTTAACTCCGACCACGCAGCCTTTCACCATCACAAAGTCATTATTGACCTCACCGTAGTGGGGGAAGCCTCCCTGCAGGGACATGACAGGACAAGAGATGAAAGAGAGAGTGTTCACAAGGACATTGTCTATGAAGCCCTTACAGTATAAAAAATGCAATCAAAAGATATCCACTGTGGTAAAGCACTATGTGGTATTAACCACCAGCCATTTATCTTCTTCTGCTTTCTGGCGTTTAGTCCCACTGGCATTATGTTGAACAAGGTATGCTTTACAGTCCTCTCGCCAGCAACATTTTCTAGCTACTCCTGGACTTTTCAGGAGAATAAATGGGCCATAGGACAAACTCAATTCTTCATACACTCTCTGTGTCTAACTTACCAGTTGACAAGCCAGTTTAAGAGTGGAGCATGTGTCTTACAGGTGAGTTTATCACTTTTATTATATGTGGGCCTCATGGAGAGCATTATCAGAATTTACACTACCAGTAGTTTTAAAATCCATTTGTGCCCCTCTTAAAGCTCCTGTAAGGAACTTTTGGTTTGTGTTGATTTGGCGCCTCCTGTAGACAAAGCAGTGCATCATATCTCTTAGCTGATTTTGTCCTGTACATATGTAAAAGTAGGGGCTGCATGGTGGTGCAGTGGTTACCGCTGTTGTCTCACAGCGAGGAGGTTCCTGGTTCGAATGTGAGTTTGGCTGGTTGTCTGTCTCTTATATCAGCCCTCAGATTGACTGGCAAACAGTCCAGAGTGTACCTCCCCAGTGGCAGTTGGGATCGGCTCCTGCCCCCTGCAGCTCTGAGCTTTAAGTGCATTTTGTAAAATTCTAGCAGAAAAAGAAGAGTACCATGGGAGTGATGGCCTTCTGGGTGGTGTCGTAGATGGTGGAGGCATTGTTCCGGATCACCTTTCCATCCTGGATGTGCACACCTTTACCTATACGATAGATCTGAGGACCATATTTTGCATTAATGTAAACCTTCCAACATATACTTCCAGTTCAAGATGAAACGTGTGACTCCATCAACTTGCCTTCTTGTTGAGCTCGGTGCGGTGGTTGTAGCCCTTCTGCCCAGCACGAGCTATCGTGTACGACACACGGGCCGGATGCCAGGCCCCGATACAAGCCACCTTCCTCAGACCTTTGTGAGTCTTCCTCGGAAGCTTCTTTGTGTGCCAGCGGCTTGTCACACCTGTCGACACAAAGGGCCAGACGTACGTTTATATCGCAGTACATTTAGTTTATAAGTCATTGGTCCAGATTTATTTCCCAAACCTTTAAAGCCATGTCCCTTGGTGACTCCAATAACGTCGATCATCTCATCCTGGCTGAAGACAGCAGAGACGGGGACCGCCTGCTCCAGACGCTCCTTTGCCCAGTCCACCTTGTCCGAGATGCTCCCCCCATTCAGCTGCACCTCCATGATGTGGGCCTTTTTCTGCTTTAAGGCCAGCATTCGCATCTGAGTGAAGAAGATATGCCAACGCAACCACAGTTTTTATTTAATCACAACATTTAGACGAGAGGCAATCACATCTAGAAATGAAAAAGCTCACATTGAGAGGTCCAAAAGCTTAGAAAGCATCTTGCGTTGAACTTACTATGCTAACTAGCACCTGTCCTGTTTATATTTAGATGTACTACTCAGCAAAAGATCATGTTTGAAGTATGCATGATAAATCAGGGGGTCTCCGCAGCCCTGAAGTGAAGCACACGTTTTGATATTTTTACTTCTTCTGAAGCTAAAACCAGCCCAGAGAAAGAGAACTTGGGTGATATACATGTTGTTTACTACCACCAACATTAAAGTTCACTTGGCAGCAAGGTTCAAGTATTTTTAAACTGCCATTTGATACGTCACACCGCAGTGCACCCCAGAGCGTCGTGGCCTGGAGTCGTTTGGCTCTGTGCTGCAGGGAGATCTTGAATTTTACTACTACACGTAGTCAGGTGGGTAAGTTTTACAGCTCTGCTCTTAAGCACGGGTGGACTCAAGACATAGGGAGATATGCAGGGGTTTTCTGCCAAGTATTACACCTGCGGGGTCTCATGAGACACCATTTTTACACTCAGATTGGGACGCTCAAATGCTGTTATGACATTGTGTTTCTTGTCTTAAGTTGTATGAAATAATAAAATCTGACAAATCATGGGGCGCTAATGGCTCAGCGGTTAGTTCTCGCCCCATGTACAAGGGCTGTAGTCCTCTGGCGGCCCAGATTCGATTCCGACCTGTGTCCCCTTTCCCACATTTCATTGCCCACTCTCTCTCTCTCTCTCTCTTGCTGGTTTACCTGAGAGTGAACAATAACCCTGATTACTGAGCAGTATTTCTTCATCGTGGAAAAATCCTTGTCCAGCTGCTTCTTTCCTGTCTCATCCTGCCACTTCTTACTGTACTTGGTGAAGGCCTTCTTCTTGCTCTTGTACCTGAAAAGCAGACAAACCCAATTTAGATATCTGAGTGTACACATGTGTCAGCGCAGCAACAATAACACATGGAAGAAAATGATAGGCTACCCCCCACACACCAGTTTCTATAAAATCTTCGCTTGCACTCGTCACTGAGGTGCTCGGCAAAGATGGTTTTAAGTGATCGCAAACCACGGATAGTTTGAACGTATCCCACGATCCCGACCACCATGATAGGAGGGGTTTCAATGACGGTGACCGCCTCTACTTCCTCTCGCTTTGATTGCTCTGAAACAGAAAAATGGAAACGATTAATCTAGTTTCATTGTATTGATTCTTTATACTAATGCTTCCAGAAGCTTCATTAAATCTCAGCACTTCACTGTTGGATACTAACAAGTGAATACATAAGGCCCCTTCACAGTAACCGCTTAAACAAATGAGATGAGAATCACTCAGGTTGAAGTAGACCCATTCATACATACTGAGGCCGACGCGATGCATCTCCCTCAGCGTGTGCGTCATGCCGGCCTTGTATCCCATGAAGGCAGTGAGGTGGACGGGTTGGCTGGGGTCATCTTTGGGCCAGGTGCGCACCTTGCCTCTGTGCTTCTTGCTCCGCTTGTGGGGCAGGAACCCCATGTGCCCGTGGCGGGGTGCGTGGAATTTGCGGTGAGACTGGAATAAGATCATGAGTCTCAATGAATTTCCATTTATTGAAATGAAACAAAAACTGGATTGTTGTCTGTTTACATCCCACATTGTCTCTGCATTTCATACTGCAAGCTTTTTGCACTCCTCAATCATCTTGCACATTCCTGCAAAACTGTGCAGCTCATATTTTATATATTCTTGTAAAATTCTATAGTTCATTTTATTGAAGTTTTCTAGACACTAAGATTACTGTTGTTTCCTTTCTCTGGATACTTATTCTACAACAACTAGTCATTAAAATATCATGGCAGGAATAGCAGGATTTTAATAATGTCGGTCCATGAACCACACGCTTGTTCCTGTTTTTATTATATGTATGTTGTAATTTGTTGATGTAAAGCACTTTACTTTACTTACTTCACTTTTTAAAACTTTACTTACTTTCTAAAAAACACCAGTTGATCCTTGCCATGTAAAATTAATACAGCTATCTGTCCCAGTTTGTCAAATCCTGTGATGTAAATATTATTCAAAAGTTGTAATTTGATTTACCTGAACACAAAATTGGCATAATAGTCAGGTCAGTTCAATTTTAAGCATGTGGCCGCCTCTTCAGGTCAGCTGTTTTTGATTTCTGCCTCTTCAAATGTTATAAACAAACCCAGCAAAAGGCCAAATAACTATCTATTTGTATATATTTAAAAAATTACAACAAATGTAACCTCTTGTTACTCTACATATAGAAGACTGCTTTATGTAATATTATTTCTCACAAAGCCCAGACATGAATCCACCAATGAGTAAACATTTGGCAACAGTGCAAGGGGATAAAAAGTTTCTTTCAGCAGGCAGACACCTGGAGCAGAACCACACTCACTGGTGAACAGCCATGTGCTGTGAAAAGCTACAGTGAAAGTTTGATATAGAAGGAGAGATAGACGGATGTAGACATAATTAGCATCAAATATACAAAAAGAAAGATTGAGAAACAAACAGCAAAACTCAATCAATGGGAAGCTGTTTAAAAGAGAAGTCGCCATTTCTCTAGTACACGTGGTCTCCTCTAAGGCAGCCATTATAAGATCACTTTTCAACATGCTTCATCTTTTCTTAGAGACCAACATTACAGATAAAGTGACACACATAAACATCAAGGAGTTAAACTATTAATAAAATAGTGAATCAATATATCCTTCATAGGAGAGAAAACCCAAAAATAAGAGGAGCACTGACCATGTCTGCTCACTGTCCGATCGCAGGATAGAAAGAGAGAGGTGCCAGTGCTGAAGTAAGGGTCATATATAAGATGATACACAGTGTAAGGACTCTAAATTGGTGTTTGGCCCAGTTAAGGAGCCGTATTCACTTTCACACAAGGAGATCTCTGCCAAGTTCTGACGAGAGAAAGAGATAGGAGGAGGGGAGAGGGGCGAAGTCTGGGGTCTGAGGGGGTGAGGAGGCCCAGCAGACAGGAACATGTAACCAAGAAAGGAGAGTGGGAGGAAAAAGAAAGTTGACATTGTCATGGGGCCAATATCCACCTGCCTTGTTAGGGAAACAGACTTTTCTCTTTCTCTACGGCACATTAATACGACCAGATGTTGGCTGGGCTTATATGTTGACGAAACAAAAACATTTTTAAAATGTAATGAAACCATATGGGAGGAAGAGCTCAATTCATGGTAAAGAGAAACAATATGTCTGGGAATGCTAGGAGAGAGGGCCTCCTTTTACACATCCTTGGAAGCAAAGTTGTGTATCACAGCCTAAATCTATGAACCCTCTCCTGTATTGCCATTCTATATTCATGTTTTTAATCTGCACAATGTGATGTTGTACTGAATATCTGTACTGCTGTGACTGCGGCAGTGTTGATATCCAGTATAACAGAACAACCACGAGTGTGATATTGCTTTTAAACAGTTTAGCTTTCTACAGCATCCTGTACTTACTAAACAAGCAAACATAAACACAAGCTTATGTTGTTTTTTACAACTTTGTATTTTCCCTAACCAAACATAGATTTTAGATAGATTTTTGATGCTTTGATTTATGCTATTTCGGACTATTTACTTGTTTATTTTAAGTGTTGCTATGCTTTGACCATGCACTAGTGATAAAGGATGGCAGCTCTGCACCACCCTCTGCTGCTCTGTAATGGTACAACAGCTTTACCTGTGACCTTTACATTAAGAATTAAATCATTTTGTAAATCACGGAATTGGACTTACGTTAAGTTCCGATTTACAGATAGCCTAAGTGACGGGAAATTGTTTTTAAAATATCTAGAATTCAAAGTTTTTAGAGTAAAGTTTTAAATTCCTGACCTCTGCTGCGCCATTGTATAGAGTCGTCTGCGCATGCGCGTCTCCAGTACAGGACTGTCGAGGTCGAATTAGAACAAGGCGAGTAAAAGGCACAATAATGCCTTCAGACCATGACAAAGCTGCGTACCCTGCGCCTCCACGGCAGACTCCGGTTGTGGACAAACAGACCGCACTGCCAAACCCTGCCGTGATTCTGACTAAACTCTTTTATTACTCCGTGGACCTTCCTGTCACCACATTTAGAGGTAACTCAAGCTAACATGGCTAGCTGGGATAGCTAGCTAACCGAATAGCACAGACACATAGCCACAATAAGCTGCTGCCTAAAAATGTTGTTGAATTTGTATTGTCACTGGTTAACACTGGTTAACACTGTTATGTTAGTTTCCTGTGTGATACCCCATCAGATCAAACACATCGCTGTGGTTTGTGTGATTTAACCCCACAAAGCTAACGACAGCTACAAGCGAGATGTTTTGCTATCAAGCGTCCTTCATAGCATCATGAAGGATCCCTGCACAGGACGCGTTTGCCTTGCGTATTGTGAAAGCCATTCTTTGAGCAGTTTTCTTCCTCTCATCCAGGTATCATCGACGGCTTTAGGGAGAACAACAGGCCCGTGTACTACCACCAGAAGTACCGCCGTGTCCCTTACCTGACGGAGTGCCAGGAGGGAGACTACACCTGCTACTATGAGGCTGAGATGCAGTGGAGGAGAGATTAGTAAGTAAAGGTTAAAGATGTTAATGTGTGGGAGAAAAATGTTCAGCTGATGGTTCTTTCTGAGGGGAAATGCATTAGACACTTAGAACAAATCCTACATTTGACAGTGTTACATGTTCTTAAACTTCCTGACCCTGAAACAAAGAGCTCCAGCTTTCCTTTCCTTCATCTTTGTCCTGATACCAGAATTTTTAACTTTGATATGATACTAATAAAACACATTGATACCTCTTTAGATACCACAGTAACAAGAACAGAAGTCATGGGCATTAATTCCTCTCCAAAGCACCTGTCTTTTGAAATAGATGTAGATTTTTATACTATACCATCGTTAATCAAAATTAAAAAAAATGAATGTTTACAGCCCTTCTACACTATATTATTTAACAAGACCACGGCACCTCTTGTAAGTTTACCTCTTATCAAAATGTGATATGCAGCAGCCTTTTGTTAGAGATGATCAGGTATCCCTGATGGCACTTAAAGGACAGTTGATTCAATTCACATTTTGGGTGCCTGTGTCAAAACGGCTTATGGCTTATTTTTTCCATATTGTGATTTTTAAGGCCTTCCTAGTCATGGGCATTGCAAATTACCTCATATTATAAATAATGTGGTGAGTGGCATCCTTTTACTTGCTCTGTACTTGTCCCTATACAAATATACATTCAATAAATAAGACGACCACTGTATGTGATCACTGCTTAAAATGCTGCCATGCGCTAGCAAGGTCCACAGAGACCACTCTACAGGATATTTAACCTCAGTGTCCTGCACAGAGCTCTCTCTCCTGAACTCCTTGGTATAAACCTCAACGCTAATGGAAAATCAGGCTTAGCCCCCTGATGCCTGTTAGCTCATTTATGCTATTTTCTCTTGAATAGTTGAACTGTCAATTTGTTATGTGCAGTACTTTTTGGTATTTATTGCATTATTTATTCCTATTCGAGGTGACCCTGGAGTTACTTGTGTTGTTGTCGCCTCCCTGCATACAGTACATGTAGAAGATCCCTCTGTGTTATTCAGAGATATTATCAATATGGTGTTGTTGTCCTCGCCCCCTTAGCAAAGTGGACCAGGAGATTATGAAGGTGGTGCAGGAGCGTCTACGGGCCTGCCAGTCCAGAGAGGGACACAGCTTCCACCAGAACTGTGCAAAAGAAATGGAGTTGTTCACTGAGACAGCCAAGAACTACCAGTTACGCTGTAAGTCATGTGATTGTCCATGTTGAAACGACTGACAGAAGCTTAACAACTTTATAAGAAGTTAAATAAATGGAAAATAAGTTTTGGTGCCATCATGACATTATGTACGTTGAGGAATGTAGTTGTTTTCAGTGTTATTTTTGTCTGACCTCTACTTGTGCTATATTTAAAACTTGACTCTTTTTCTTCCAGATGGAGACCTGGGAGCATACGGCAGTAGTCGTAAATGTCTAATGAAGCAGAAAGAACGAATGATGGCTGCCCAGGCCCAGAGTGCTTAAGAACAGTCGCCATGAAATCGGTCCCGTGTAAAGATTGTAAAATAAAATTTATGTGACTAATCTGGTCTCCTAAAGTGTGTTGCTGGATTTTTATCCAAGTTACATAACTCTACATATCTCTATCGAAGTTACTTAAATCTGGAAGTCATTGCAGAAATGTGCAAACCTCATACAGGAACATGTTCTCTACAAAGGGATACAATATCTATAGTCATGTTAACAGGGTACAACAAGATTTGGAGAGAACTGTGAGGAAGAAAAAGCAACAATAGACACGATGGTCAAACTAAAAACCAGGGTAACGGATTTGACAAGCACCTCGGTAGCAGGTGGAGGAAAGGGATTGAATTGTTGTATCTTGCTACTTGTACAGCCATATCTCCCCTTCATTCTCAAGCTGTGTGAGCCTAATGTGAAAAAAGCAATATGTGCAGGATTACTTTGATAAAATTGCAGATCAATTTTAATTTCAGGCATTGTGTTGGCTCGCTTTAAGGAAAAATTTTGGGGGTTAATTTAGTGTTTCTTTTTAAAAGTTTCAGTGAAGTTTTTAGTGCTTTTAAGAAACTCAAATATATTCTTACCGATAGAATTACAGGCTACATTAAGGGCCGTAGTCTAATACAAAGTTTAACAGTGGCATTTAATGAATCCAGGTAACTCTACTTTGTCAGCAAAGTTTAGAATTAAGCATGTTTTTTTTACTTTTTGGGAGAGTGAATTGTTTTGACTGATGAAACTGATCATTTGCAGCCTGAACCGAGATGGAAGTCCATGATGTCGACAGTCAGACATCAGCAAATACATGTGTGCTTCATTCTGCAGACGGTATAGTCATAAATATGCTCTAAAACATATACCTAGACTTATCCATTACATAGTCTGATATTGGCCTGCATTCACATCTTCAAAATAAAGTGTATGTTAGAGTTGCTTTATGTTGAGCCAAGTTTCTATTACATCAAGTAAAAATGTGACACAGAAACATTGATGTTTCAGAACGTTTATTCAACAATTCTCTTTATAAAACGTTTAGGAGGGGGGAGCTGCTGCCGCGGCGGCCTGCCTCTCTCTCTGCACAGACACCCTGGTGTGAGTCTTGGCCAGATGGTCAGTGAACTCCTGGGGTAAGAAAAAAAAAAAGACAACACAATTATTAATACATGAGCCTCACTTAAAAAAAAAGAATAATGATCACTCAAGTCACTGTACTGTACCTGGTAGGGAGACTTTGTGAAGACGGTCTCCTTCCACAGATCAGGGGTCAGGTAGCTGTAAGTCTTAGAGATGGCATCGAAGGTGGCCTTGGCTGTGGAGGAAATAATAAGGTTTTTAGACTGAGCGCTGAACATATTACTGTGCTGCAGACTTCTCTGAACAAAAGATGTTGAGTACTGAAAGGGGGAACAGAGGAGACGACTTTAACAGTCTTTCTGCCGTGCATTACGAAGGTGGCCTTGGCTGTGGAGGAAATAATAAGGTTTTTAGACTGAGCGCTGAACATATTACTGTGCTGCAGACTTCTCTGAACAAAAGATGTTGAGTACTGAAAGGGGGAACAGAGGAGACGACTTTAACAGTCTTTCTGCCGTGCATTACAATACTCGTTTCTTTCTCTCCGGATAACGACAACTACACCACTGCAGAGGTGAAGCTGGGCAGAGCAAGGAGAAAAACTGAAGCACTGAACTGATTTAAAGCGGTTGCAAACACAAAGGTCTTACCGAAGTTGCCGAGGGTGGCTGTGCAGCCCCTGGCAGAGGTGTAGCAATCGTCGATACCCGCCATCATGAGCAGCTTCTTGGGCACAGGGGCTGACACGATACCGGTACCACGGGGGGCAGGGATGAGACGCACCAGGACAGAGCCACAACGTCCAGTCACCTTGCAGGGCACGGTGTGGGGCTTTCCGATCTTGTTACCCCAATAACCTCTCCTGACAGGGACGATGGACAGCTTGGCCAGGATGATGGCACCACGGATGGCTGTGGCCACCTCTTTGGAGCACTTCACTCCCAGACCAACATGGCCGTTGTAGTCACCAATGGCAACAAAGGCCTGGAAGCAAAGCAAAACGGGGACAATGTCACAACTGGACCATCAGCACCGTGGGGTAGTAAGGCCTTTGGTACATGATGAAAGCTCACCTTGAACCTGGTGCGCTGACCAGCTCTGGTCTGCTTCTGGACAGGCATGATCTTGAGCACCTCATCCTTCAGACCAGATCCCAGGAAGAAATCGATGATCTCTGACTCCTGCAGGAAAAAGAAAAAAGAAAAAAGGAAATCAACTTCATGGCTGCTTCGATGCTGCCACTAAAACCATTGCATCCATTTTAATTTATCCTTATGATGGAAACCTGCAGTTTTCTTCATACTAAAAAGTGCATACGCTAGGGTAGTTTGGGAAACAAAGTCTTTGATCACTTGCACTTATAGAAACCCCATTTGACCTAGATTGCAAAATGTAATTTGGTTCAACAACAAAGTTATGTTGAAACTCTTTTTTTGCAAATATTAGTAAAACTGGGTAGAAATGATATGCTTTCATATAATTTAGAATTGCATTTAACAAATTCTCTTACTGCAAATAACCTGGATTTCCAGAAATAATCATAATTTGCAAAGAAAATTCATCTTAGCTCTTAAACTTGTGTGATGAGTCTCACAAATTTGGCCCAACTTCACAAATCGTGACAGGTTGTAGTTAAAAGGCCCATTTAGGTGTATGCTAATGCATCTTTCCTCAGACCTTCCTTTACACTAAGACAGCTAATTAAAACCATGCACAGTATTTGACAGTTACTGTATCCATCCTCAGCTGCTGCTTACCTTGATGGGCAGAGAGTACAGGTAGATCTCCTCCAGGGTCTTGATCTTCATGTCCTTAACCAGACGGCCCAGCTTGGTGACGGGGACCCACTGATATCAAACAAAGATCCATTAGAGGGGGCTCTTCGTACTTGACTGGAGTTTTAACATTAAAATGAGAATTCATGCGCTTTCCAGTCTGGCACTTACTTCCTTGTCCTCGGACTTGCCTCCCCGGGCACCGCGGCCCCTTCCACGGCCTCTGCCGCGTCCACGGCCCCGTCCACGGCCGCGCTCACCGAAACCTCCGCGAAACCCTCCTCTACCACCGGCGTCGTCCGCCATTTGCTGTAGAACAGAGCAAAAGTCTTAATTTACATTTTTATTCATCTCACATTTGATCGTATATCTCGCAGTTATCCATCTTACAGAAACCGGGTCGCCATATTGCACATTGAGGACCTTTTCAATAATAACAAATATACCGGATTTATCTACGTTTCCCTCGTAAATACACATCAGCACTTAAAATATCATGTTCAGTCGTCATCTTTAACGTGAAATCAACGTGTTTACTAGGATGATGTTTGAGATGTAAGAGGATTTTAAGTCGGACAAAGGATGTTGCTGTCGACTTACGTGATCGTTTTTACAGGAAGAAGACCCGTGAGCGGTCCCGCAGGAATATATATAGCTGTATTCTCGCGATACTTCTTAGAGAGGGAAAATATTTGCTACTGCCCCCAGTGGCTGTTTTTCCCTATGGTTTTTCCACATGTCAATCTTGTGCTTTATTGTAAGGTTGTAACAATGTATTTGACGTATTGAATTATCGTTTATCTTTTGAAACATTATTTATAAAAAACAGAAAGTCATGAGGAACATTTGATGGGAAAATTAGCAGAATAACTGTTATGTTGAGGCCTGTATGATCATTGTTTTTAGGAAATAATTTCTGCTGTTCTCTTGAATGAAAATCAGACTGAGTGAGTGATGATGAATATTCTTTTATTACAAAATTAATTAAGAAACAGCACACATTTTTTACAAATTCACTCATGTAATCATATACCAGCCTACATATTCAAAAACACACTTTCAAGGGAAAGAACACATGCAGAATTACACAAAGCAGTCGCCAGCCAGCAGCAGTGAATTGGGATTTGTCAACTGTTGTTGCTACTCGGAGTCCCAGAGCTGCCGCTGCTCTCTCCTAGGTCCTCCTCCTCTACCTCGTTCAGGTCGTCCATCACCTCCAGACTCTCACAGATCAGGCCTATCTGCCTCTTCATGTGGGCCATGGTGCTCTGCATCCTCCTCATCTTCCTCTGCAGGGCGGTGGCGATGGCCCTGTGGTTCCTCTGTCTTGCTTCGTACTCCTGCCTCAGTTGTTTGTAGCAGTTGTGTTGCGCCTGGGTGCGATGAGAGAGTATAGTCCCACAGCCCATGTGGCACGGCTGACGCCAGTGTTCGCAGTGGCGTGCGTGGGTGTCCAGGTCCCTGCGGAGGAGCTGTGCCCGGCAGCCCTGGTATGGGCAGGGGATGAGCTCGTACATACAGCTCATGCTGTGGCAGTACTGCTCGGAGAGGGAAGTCTCTGCACAACCCCGGATCTCATTCTTACACTGTAGATTAAAGAAAGCCATGGCTGTAAATGACCTGATAAACATTTGCCTAACTGGAGCATAACGAGAGAGTCCTTTTCATAAAGAGATGCTAATTAGTGTAAATTATTTCACAGAGGTGGAAGTAGTCAGCAGAATTAAAAAAACACACTTTGGAAAATTCATGCTAGAAAAATATCATTACGACAATGCAAGTATAGAAAAACTTAGTGTAAATTATCAAATAAAAAACTCAAAGCCCTACAGATCCAGATGCCTGTGAGTGCTTTTTAAGGACGTACATTAAAATTGTATTACTGATACATGATGGAGCTAATTTCAATTAATTTACAAACTGTTAATAATACATTTTCAACATTTTTATTAAGCTAAAAAAAAAAATTGTTACGTTTTTTGAGATAAGATTTTTGGCGCTGTACAGATAAAGATTGATTGATTTAATTAATATTAATAACCAGCTATAACTGACACTGTCAGAAAAAAAGTTCTGGAGACTCTCTACGTCCTTTTGAGATGTATCGTGAGAATAGAGTCTAAATTTAATATTCAATTAAGCATTTTAGTACAAGTGTTTAATAACATTCCTCAACGGCAAAATTTTGTGTTTAATTTTTTATGGGTTAACAATTAAAAACACTGAAATAACAGGTGAAATGATAAAGTGAAGCTGGTTCTATCCGCTCTGCTATATATTTTGTGACTGTATTACGAGACACCCTATGAGCTAAAACAGGAGGCCAGACACTCAGACCAAATCTTCTACAAGGACATCTTTACCGACCCCCTTCCAGAGTTCAAAGTCTGACTTTAGGGCCACCTTTAGACCATGTTGTGGATCCTTAGACTTACGTTTATGATCAGTTGATAAAACATTTATTTTTTTATTTTCCTACCTTGATCTTCATGCGACCAATAGATTTGCTCAGCTTGAACATCACAAAGATCAAGCTGGGGTTGACAGGCTTCCTGCAGCAGGGGCAGGTCTCCTGCCTGAGGAACATAGATATCAGTTAGTCCTGTATGAACCAGGCATTTAAAACAATCCAAAACAGCTCAATATTTCTGTGTTATTGTCCACTGCATAGATTAGAGACCTCTTTAGCCACTGTAAGATGCATTTCTTGCAGAAGATGTGGTGACATGCAGCTCTCACTGGGCACCTGAGGACCCCCTGGCAAATGGTACAAATCAGATCGTAGTCTGGAGTGTCCACGAACAGCTCCACATCATAGCCCCCACTCTGTGTCGACACCTCCGGGTCCGCCTGGATATGGCAAACAAAGATAGAAGTTAACTAACAATTATCAACCCAAAAACAGCCAACCTACACACGCAAGAACATTCAATTAAAAAATAAATGAATGACTGCCCACAAAAAATAACTTTACTGACAGTTAAGTCATTGTCAGTGTTTGGGGGTTAATTCCTTCTCTAAAATAAAGCTTTCCAGAATATTAATATTATTATATTTTTCATGGAGACTTTAAAGAATTTGGTAGAAGGTTATGATAGACTGTGAGCATAGGGCTGGGTGAAATAATATCTTGTTGCACATATGTAGTTTTTAGCTGAATGGTGATAATCTATATCTCAGATGGGGGGGGGGGTGTTCTGTAAAGTAATAACAAAAACAAAATCAGTTCTCAGTCAAATCAATATGGGCCAAAAGTCACAGAGGCACAACGTCAACATGTAGAGGAAGAATGACAGACCCATTTGTGAAATATTAAATTAATTAAAATGCTTCTTTGATCAATTTTTATTTTTATTTCCCTGCCTAAAAAATACACACAACTGTGTCTTTTGTTATTCAGGTGGTTTTGGGAGTTTGGCTCTGAGAGAGAACAGAGAGAGTCGGAGAAGGGTCAAGAGGGACCGACAGTGAGAGGAGAAACAGGTGAACTGGCGGGGAAGAAACATATAACGTTATTTCAACGCTATATAAACTATATTAATATAAAGGATACTGTCTTATCCTTAATCTTGTTTGTAATTATATAGCTATATCTTAAAAAGTAGATATATTTCCCAGCCCTACAACCTGGTTTTATTAACAGTTTTATATTTTCACTACAACTGTTAAAAAAAAGCACTACAGCTGTTTACAGGCTGTCAACAGTGTTGACAACATAAAGGCACAAGAGGACAAAACAGCATTGTTCTAGTAACTCATGTGACTGGTTACATGATAACAAAAAAGAGGTGTAATTATTCTGGCAAAACTTTTCCTTTTCCATGAAAAATAATCACAATTACAAAATGCTTTAAAAATATAATCGTATTAGTTTCTTAATGTTTTTCTAATTTGAATAAATTGTTTAATAGAAAAATAACACAATACTTATACAAGACCATTTGACACTTCTTGAAAAATGAGTTGTTCAGAGATCAGAAATGTAGACAGGTTGTTCCCATGTTAAAGATGGTTTCACAATAAACCGCACTCAGCCATTAACACAACCTTGATTAAATAATCATTATTAATAAACACAACAGCTGTTGTCTACTCACCATGATAATCTCCTGTCCTCACCGTTTTTCCATCCCCGGGGCCGTTTACTCCATATCGGTACACTCACATGTCACAAACTAAACACACACCCGTGTTATCAATGCAAAAACACACATGAACATTCCTGACAAAACATGAAGGAGGGACCACGCGCTGTGTGAGTGTGTGTGTGTGTGTGTGTGTGTGTGTGTGTGTGTGTGTGTGTGTGTGTGTGTGTGTGTGTGTGTGTGTGTGTGTGTGTGTGTGGACAAATGAAAACGGTGAAATTATAAAAAAGAAGAGAGATAATGGCGTTCATTAGAGAGCGAGTCGCTTCCCTGCTGTTCTGGCATCAGAGGTCGACCTGCGCACGTCACACAGGTGTTTTCAGACCTGCATAGCTCCAGCTCAGTCTATTGTTGTGAGCCTCGAGGACATCATTTAAATGTTAAAGTTAAATTGAAACTATAATAATCGAAAAGATCTCATCCAGTTTACTTCTTGACTCCAATTTCCCTAGGTCACACGTTCAAAAGCAGTTTTTTTTAATCAAATTCTGACAATTTTATGAGCCAAATTCCGCCTGGCCAATCACAGCTCTGTGCGCTCTGATGACGCAGAATGTGCGCGACTCGCCTATCAACATGCGGGATGGATGTGTTGACTGTTACCAACGTGTGTAGTGAGAAATAAGGCATTTTCATCAAAACTGCGACCAACACATTGAGGCTTTGGTATAACGCGTGAACACGATGGCCAGCAGAAATCTTCAGTTCAAGACAAAGTAAGCTTTTTTTTAACGCATGGCACGTGCTTGTTGTAAACTTTAGCTGGCTTTCACGAGCTAGGCTAAAGTGTGAAAGTGCGACAGGTAACAGTGATGTTTGGTTTGTTCTCTCACAGTTATGTCGTTTCCAGCAAGATTGAACCGTTTTACAAAGGAGGGAAAGTGCAGGTGAGTTTTCAGCTCTGTGTTTTGTATCACAAGTGTGTGTTTTAATCAAATAAGTGATTATGGAGTTTATTATTGTGATGTTTGACCATAACTACAGTCATGTAATATTGCACAGCCTTAGAGGTGGGTTACTTATGAATGACGCATTGAAATACAACTTTAAAATGCTCAAAACACAAGAAGTTGATATCAGTGCATCCTGACATTGAGACCCTGGTATGAGTCAAGATTCAAAAATCAACCTTAGAAGTTATTCTGCATCATCTCCAAACTCAGATCAATTCTCTTTACTAATGACACTGAAGATGCCTTCATATTGTTTTGGTATCTCAAAACAAGGTATTGTTATAGGGATCAGCTTTATTGACCAGGTGTGCTCTCAGTGCACACACACAGACTTCAAACGACTGTGCTCTAAAAGAATAACATTAAATATTAACCTGTAAACCAAGAACCTGTATGTACTAAATAAAACAATAGTGCAGTGATGAGTAGTGCAGACGATGCTGAAGCAAATGTGATAATAAATGATGTATTATGTAACAGATGGAGGTAAATAGTTATTTTTTTTGTTAATAACTATTATTAAAATGATTATTTTGCAACCTTTCATCACTCTTGATTTTTTTTATTTTCTTCTATTCCTGTTAGTTTCCTTCTTTTGTTCTTGTTCTCCTCTGTGTGTTTGTTGTAAAGCACTTTGGATCATCTGTGTTTTGTGTAATGTGCCATAAAAAATAAATGTTGATTTGATACCCGAGCCATTTAAAACATCATTACACAGTTTGTCCAGGCTGAGCAGCGCTGACTTCACCTTTCTGTCTGTTTCTAGATCAGCAAAGATGAAAAGTACATCTTTTGCACTTGTGGTTCCCGCGTGAATGTTTTGGAGATCAGCACGGGGAAGGTCATCCACTGCGTTGAACATGTAAGTCCAGAATGAATTGTTTTCCTCTAAAGACCAGAGCCTTGAAACTAATATTTACAACAACAACAACAACAACAACATAGCTGAGCTGAGCTAACATCACTCTCCTGAGGCTGTCTTTCCTGCAAAACAGTTTTCTTTATCAAATCTGACCTGCCAGTATTCATACAGGGGGCTTTCATTTGCAATTGTGCCTGAAAAGAATCAACATTTTTCATAATGTTCAACTTGTACTGGTAGTTGTATTTATTATTATACATTTTCTCTCCAGATTTCTAATAATTCAAATATGATATAAACTGTATGTTTTTTTATGTTGGTTAATTGGTTGAACAATTAAAATACTGATCATTTAAAAAAAAAAGCTATCTGCAGCATTTTGTCCCTTTTATGTAATCACCACAATGGAAATAAGTTTTGGACTTTCTTGTGTCGACCCTGACTTAACAGTTCATTTGATTATTTTGTTTTGACAGGATGACCAAGAGGACATCACCTCTTTCGCCCTCAGCTGTGATGACGAGTAAAGCAAACACTTTGACCCCCTTTTTACTTCTTAAGTCACACTCCCCATTGATTCAATTCTTCATAACAGCCCATAAAAAGTATTTATGTTTGCATGTCTCTGCTCTTTGTTTTAACCACAGCTGCTGGTAACAGCCAGTAGAGCGCTGCTGCTGAAGCAGTGGGACTGGAAGCAAGCTCAGTGTACTCGCTCATGGAGGGCCATTCACACAGTCCCTGTGGCCAGTATGACTTTTGACTCCACCTCCACCCTCCTGGCCACAGGTCCGCAGTTATGAGATTACTAACGTTATGTTGTATCGATTGTTTTCCAGTTTTCCTCCCTGATATCTTCTACAAATGTATCGTGATTTGTCTTGCAGGTGGCTGTGATGGCACTATAAAGATGTGGGACGTGGTGAAGCAGTACTGCACCCACAACCTTAAAGGCTCGTCTGGAGTTGTACAGTAAGTTCAGATAGAGGAATGAGAAGTTTGAAAGTTACATATGTCGCAGTGACAGATATTGGCTTTTTTAAATCAAGAAGTAAACATCCTTTTTTTTTGTTGTATCTTTTCAGCCTGGTGCAGTTCCACCCGGACATCAGCCGACTGCAGCTCTTCTCCTCCTCTCTGGACTGTGGCATTCGGCTGTGGGACCTGCGCTCCAGTCAGTGTATGTGCGTGCTGCAGAGCCACTACAGCGCCGTCACCGCCCTCAGCTTCAGCCCCACCGGAGACACCATGATCAGGTACTGTATTCTCACCAGTGGGGCTGCTATTTACAACTTCAAGATGCTTTAGATTCTAAATCTTTCTTCTTCTTGATGTGATTTTTTTTCCTGATCTTTACTTGTAGTTCTGGCAGAGATAAGATTTGCACAGTGTGGGACCTGAAGACCAATAAAGCCAAGAGAACTGTTCCGGTTTATGAGGTAAGACAGTGAAGAACTGAGTGAAACTGGAAGATATTGATTAACAAAAATATCACAGCTTCATTTCTTGTCTTTGTCTCCAGGCTGTGGAGGGTGTCATGCTTCTGCCGGAGAACGAGGACTTCTCTGAGATTGGAGTGAAAAACAACGACTTGCATTTCATCACAGCTGGCAGCAAAGGTGCAGCTCTTGAATGCTCCTTTATCTGAACTGTGTTCTTCTGTTTTCTGTAACTCACCTCTCCTCTCTTATCTTACTTTCAGGAGTCTTGAGAGTGTGGGAGGCCAGCACGGCACGATGCGTCTACACCCAGACCCTGTCCTCCACCCTCAGCGCTGTATCTGAGGAGGAGGAGAAGGAAGAGAAGGACGACGACCCTCGTAGTTTAACGTACCTCCTTCACTTGCCCGACTCCTCACGATTGGCCACGGTCACCGCAGAGCACAACATCGTGCTCTACCAGCTGCCCGCTCTCAGCACACAGCAGCAGGTGGGTACTGGTATTTATGCTGACAGGTTTAAAAAGTAAATGTTGGTTTATGTTTGTTTTTTTCTAGACAGGTTTGCCTGCTTTCATACGGCTAGGTTAACCTTTTGAAAACAGACCTTTTTGAGCGGCCACAAGGGGGCAGTGTTTTTAATGTTTTTAATGTTTGTGGTAACACGTGGTATCAAAAAGTTTTTAACATTTTGACTACCTTACTTCCTTGCACATTATGATACACAACTTGTGTAACATGAACTTTAACAGACCATCTTTGGGTTTTATATTTTACAGTCATGTTTGCAGAATAAATAAAGACCCTCTCTTCCTCCACCCATGTGCTCACAGTTTGTAGGTTACAGCGACGAGGTGCTCGATGTGAAGTTTCTGGGTAAAGATGACAGCCACATCGTGGTGGCCACCAACAGCTGCCAGCTGAAGGTGTTTGAGCTGCTCACCAACAACTGCCAGATCCTGTATGGACACACAGGTGAGTCGCCAGCAGAGGGCAGTACGTGTTCGTCTAATGTACAAGTGAAACACCCCACAGTGTGTTTGAGTGTGAGCAGGACGTTTCACCAGCACTTTAGTGACTGCCTCATGCCCCACCGACTGTTTGATTTAATTACCGTGTATGTCTCATTCATGTTTGAACCTTTGTGTCGATTTCAACATCTGTGAATCTTTCAGAGTATTATAGAATAGAAATTCCACTCCTTATCAGGAGAGCAAAATCCAAAGAATTCAGATCCGTCCAACTCGTTGAGCAGGTTCGATGGATGCGAACCGATTCTGTCATTCACAGCTGTTTTAATTTGTTTGTCTTCCACAGATACTGTCCTCTCATTGGACGTCTTCAAAAAGGGTTTTCTCTTTGCGAGCTGTGCCAAGGTGAGCTCAGGACTTCTCAGAATCTGTCGACACTGCAGACAAAGAACTGAAAGCAGTCCACACATTCATGCCTTCACCACAAATACACACAAATGTCAAAACACTCTGCAGAAGACGCCCTTTAAAAACATGAAGGAGGCCAACAATAACATCTGTAATTGTGTGTGTGGTGTGTGTGGTGTGTGTGGTGTGTGTGTGGTGTGTGTGGGTGTGTGTGTGTGTGTGTGTGTGTGTGGGTGTGGTGTGTGTGTGTAGGACCGGTCAGTGCGTGTGTGGCGGATGGACAGCGACAGCGCTCAGGTGACCTGTGTGGCTCACGGCTCCAGCCACTCTAACGCTGTGGGCTCCATCACCTGCTCCAGGTACACTTCCTGTTACTGATCACAACACGAGCACAGAGTAAAGCAGTGAGAGTTAATTTATAAAGCCTGTTGCATGCACAAAGCTAACTTAATGTGCTTAACACAGATAAAAGGAACATCCAGGGGACGATAAAAGAACAACCACAAGTTTTAAATATGAAGAGTTTCAAGTTGTACTGAAAGAGAATAAGAACATTTTGTAGAAATATAAAAACTGTGAAAGGGAATATAGTACTCCAAAATGAAATAACAGTGACTTACTGCTGTAACATCGATATCGGCCTAAAAATCCCACATCGGTTGGGCCCTAGTTCTTTCAAAGGATTGTGAAAACAAATATTTTTAACCTGCTTTTAAAAATGTTTACATTTGGACCATATTAATCTCTAACAGGAGTTTGTTTGAGTTACAAACAGTGTAGTGTAATCGCGGCATCATCGTGTTTTTAACAGACTCTGGGTCGTAAGGTGGAAAATGTAAAAGAAATAAAGAGAGAGAGAGAGAGCGAAGGTCTCCAAAATAAAAGAAAATAAACTTGGATGGTCGTGATACCAGAGTTTTGAACTTGTATACGGGTCTAATAAAAATCTAATTATTTCGATGCCTGTTTTGAAACCACAGCAACAAACATAGAAGTCTTAGGAAACACATGTTGAGTCATTTCTTCTTTTATTATTATAAGGCAAACTCCTTCATACAGTGTGCAAGTGTTCCCTTTATTCCTCTCTGATACACCTGTCCTTTGAAATAGATGTTTGTTGTGTTTTTGTTTTTTTAAGCTTTACTACTTTTAATTCAATCGATCATTACAAATGACAGCGGTTGTATCTTTTGAAACACTTGGTATTAAGATGTCAAGAAGAGTCATAGTTTTTAGACAGCTTTTACTTTGAAAGATCCTTCTACATCTTTCCATATGTTTGTGTGCAGGCTGAAAGCATCTTTCATAGTGTCGGGCAGTCAGGACTGTACGGTGAAGGTGTGGGATCTGCCAGAGGACTTGTCTACAACAGGTGCAGAAATACATCAGCTGACCGCCCGCGCCACGGAGAAGGCACACGATAAGGTACAAATACAAAAAGAAAGTGGGAAACTACTGCTGTCTTTGCAGCTTTGAGATTTGATTGAGGTTGACGATGTCTGCATGCCAAGCAGCCAATTACTCTTGTCTGACAGCCTCTTAATTACCCGCCTCTTAAAGCCTCATTATGTGAGATTAAGATTGACTTTATTGATCTCACAAGGGGAAATTCTGTTTTTACACTCTGAGTCATGCAACACACACATGCACAAACAGGATCCTATGGACATGCATTATGGAGAGATGTCAGAGTGACGGAACAGCCCACAGTGGGCGCTCCTGAACTGGTGGTGGAGAGGTGGTTTGGTGCCTTGCTTAAGGGCACCTCGGCAGTGCTCAGGAAAGCGATCACCTCTCCAGCTACCAGACCAACTTCCATATTTGGTCCGCAACGGAACTTGAACCGGTGACCCTCCGGTTCCCAACCCAAGTCCCTACAGACTGAGCTACTGCCGCCCCACTCATTCTCTTAACACTCTCCTCTTCAAAACACTGAGAATTATGATGTGGAAATACACGCCAGACTGCTTTATCAAGCCCCGCCCCAACAATGGAATAATTTATCATAGATCAATAAGTATACAAATAAACTGATTATCTATATTTACATGGTGCCTTTATGACGCATTACAAAGACACTGACAGCTCTTTTCTCCCTATCAGGGAAAGATTTTAAAATTAAAATCAGGCAGATTTACTTATTCTCACTGTTTATGATGAAATAATGGCATGAGTCGAAAGCCATTAAACCTGGGGCTTACTAGCAAAATCCTTCTCCAGGGAATGTGTACCCTCAGTTCTGCAGAAACGCTCTTCATTCAGATGTTGGACTCTTATGGTTGGGGTGTAGTCAAGTGTAGGGATTAGGTGCTTCCATTGGGCCTTTCTGCTCACGTATGCATTCAAGATCTACAATTCTACAATTCACTTAGCAGACGCTTTTATCCAAAGCGACGTACATCAGAGAGTAAGTAGAACACAAGCAAGGATCTAGAAAAAAGAGAACAATGTCAGTAAGAGAAAACGATCAGCTTTGAGTCCGATTGGACACACAGGTGCTGACAGGAAGTGACCAGAGGCAAAGCACAACATTGAGGGCAGTTCTTGAGAGCTCTAATCAGTATAGAAACCATCTTATCAAACAAAAACCATCGTCATTACCATCATCATCATCATCATCATCAATAACATGGAGACCATCATCATTAAGTTAGTAGGTATTCAGGAAAGAGCTGGGTCTTTAGCTTTTTCTTAAAGGTGCAGAGGGACTCTGCAGATCCAATGGAGTTTGGAAGTTCATTTCACCACCGGGGGGCGACAGAGGAGAAGAGTCTAGTCAGAGACTTAGGACCCTGTTGTGAAGGTTGGATCAGACACCTTTCGCCTTTCATTGGCAGAGCGTAGTGGATGGGAGGGAGTGTAGACCTTGTTAGTTCTTGTAAACAACATTCAAACCTCCTGAAGAAGATAACCTGGTGGTGTTTTTATCCTGTAAAACACCTAACCATCTCCCGAGGTGAGTCCAGGACTCGGTACTTGCACTTCAGCTGAACAAGAAATCAAAACTGATTCCCGAGATGACAGTGAACAGGTGTGTCAGGGTGTGTCCAACTGTCCGTCCATTTTGGTTTGTTTTTGTTTGGACAGGAATAGCTTGTAAGCTCTATCAAAATTTTGTGGCATGAATATCAAGCTGTCAACCTACAAACCTTTAGAGCAACATGTGAGGTAATGTGATGTGGTGGTTACCTTTCACGCACTCCTTAAATGCACCTGGCGGCTAACGTGGCAGCTGCCTATATATGCTGCATGAGTCTAATATGGATGCGGTACAAAGGCACTGAAGTCAAAATACTCGATCACTGTGATGAGTGATATGATGTGAATATATGTATTTAATCGGGAAAATGGAATTTAACATAGTTTGAATTCAGAGCATGAAACTCATGTGCTGCACAGAGAGGCTAAAGCTATTGCTCATTTCTAACTCTTGTCCCTAGTTGGGCCTTTGAGTAAACAGTGTGGGTTCTTTTGATGAAAAGAGGAGGAAATGCGAGATGTTTAATCGCTTTGACATGAAATTGGTTTTCAGACTTCCCGGTTGCCTTCATTATGTCAGCTTCCCTCTCTGTAACTTGAAGAGTGCAGTGACATTTCACTCCATTGTCTTGGCTCCATTTCTCATTCTGAATTCTCTCCGATGGGAAAGATAAAGCGCCGTCGCTCCTATTACATCTTTTTTGCCTTCTCACATACAGCGCAGCTGATCTTTATTTCCAGGGTGATAAAAGGAGGAATACCGACATGAAAGCTTACACAAGAAACAAGTTCAGAAATGGGTCAAATAATGGCGCCATTTTAAAGGTTTGTGTGCTTGTGAAAGGATTTCTTACACTTTTAATTCTTTCACAAATCAAACGATTGAAAGACAACATCTCTTCTCGTTCTCTTCAGTGACTTTAACAATTGAAAACTTTATATGTGCAATGGCGTATCTTCAGACCTGCAGGCAGCCAAATATGATTTATATGAGCTTCCTGATGATGACTTATGAATCAGGAAGATCTTGGATTTTTCTCTCTCTTCCCTCACACACACACACACACACACACACACACACAGTCCATCCCAATCTCTTCATGCAAAGCTCTCTCTTCTCGTAAGTAAGTGCAGAAAACAGGCTGTCCGCTTTTTCACCCAGGAAGTTGGTGATCTTATGTAAACGCCTTGAAGTCCAAATTCCACCACGCCATCATTTCCTGCTACACCGACACACAGGGCACTCCAGTTGCAAAATCTAACAATCGACAGCCTGTCCTCCTGCAGTGCCTTGTTACTTAACTTTGCTTTTGTTGTCATGTAAAACAATCAATCTTTCTTACATATCAGATTCAGAGACAATGTGACATGTCAGTTATGATAACTAAGTGAGGATGACGCTGGATGCTGTGAAGTAAGAGACATTTGGAGAATGTTTCTACAGGGGGAAAATATCTATTACTTCATATCGTTCCTACACGCTCTTTCCTTTCCATGTCGTTTTTCTGTACAGTCTCACATTTGCATTCCATAGAATACTTACGATGCTGATCTCCCGTCTTTAGGATGTAAACAGCGTCGCAGTGTCGCCCAATGACAAGCTGCTGGCCTCGGGCTCACAGGACCGCACGGCCAAGCTGTGGTCGCTGACGGGGGAGGGGACCGTGGACCTGCTCGGGGTGTTCAGAGGCCATCGTCGAGGCGTCTGGGCCGTCTGCTTCTCTCCCGTCGACCAGGTGTTGGCCACTTCCTCTGCTGATGGCACCTCCAAACTGTGGGGCCTGCAGGACTTCAGCTGCCTCAAGGTGGGCAACCAAATCAAGCGTGCATGTGTCACTCTTTTCTTCTATAAAAGGAGAAAATGATAGCTGATTAAATATACAGTATGTGTTGTGCATCTGAATCTTTATTAGATGCCCTATATTAGAAAAGATGTTTTACACTGACACAGTTTCAGTGCCTTTAGGTGTCACAGCCCCGGGTTCACAGAATTACTTTGAGATATTTCTACAGTTTGATTAGATGTATGCTGAATGCAGAAGTCTACCTAAAGACAATTTGTGCTTTAACGAGTTTGTCGATCGGTGCCCTGCTGCTCTAGCCCGATTATAAAACATTGAGTTTGCTCTCAACACATGCAGCCCGAATGAAACCTGTTTGAATTTTCAGTTGTATTTTGTTGAAAATACAACAAAAATTGAACGGTGAGGTGATACGTATGTAAGGCCTTGTAGTGGACATCCAATGGCACATTAGCTCTCACTTTTTATTCCTCAAGTTAGTTTATTATACGAGATAATCTCAACATAACACTTTTCTGTATGTAATTTATGTGTGTCTTTATTTTTCTTAAAACATTTTTCCTCTTTATTTCTTCAGACATTCGAGGGTCATGACGCGTCCGTTTTGAAGGTCATCTTTGTGAGCCGAGGCACTCAGCTCCTCACCAGGTAACCTCGACATCCTGTCAAACAAACTTCTCTCTATTTAAAAAAACAAAACTCCTACATATTATCATCTTTGTTTTTTTCACTGTTGACTTTCTTAACAGGTTCAGTGTGAAGTAGATAAGGAAACTTTAATTTTGTTCTGTGCAGAAGGAAAACTGAACTCAGAACTGAACCTGTAATTATCATCTCATCTCAGATGTCTGATTGTCATGAGTTGGTTCATTTGTCACGCTTGTTTGCTTTTAAGATTGAGGAATGTGCTCAGAAAACATTGACACGTCTTAAATCAAATACTAACTTGATCAGCTGGAATGTGAACGGTTTAAACAATCCTGTTAAAAGGAAGCGAGTCCTCGAGCACCTTCAGCACCTAGGAGCAGGTGTTGCCTTTTTACAGGAAACACACCTTCATACATTAGACCACTTTAGGATCAGAAAGGGGTGGGTGGGGCAGCTATTCCACTCAAACTTTCATTATAAAAGCAGAGGTACTGCTATTCTCATCCACAAAGATGTTCCCTTCTCCGTAACTAACTCTATTTTGGACCCTCATGGTCGGTATGTGATGGTCTTTGGCACTCTATATAATACTGCTCTTGCGCTTGTCAACATTTATGCCCCTAACTGGGACGATGTACATTTTTTTAATCATCTATTTAGTTCTCTGCCAGACCTGGATAGACATCACCTTTAACTTGGTTTTAGACCCAAACCTTGATCGTTCCTCTATCAATCCCTATCCCATCTCTAAACCTTTATCGACACCTTTTTACTGGGCTCGATGACAGCCTGTGACTATCAAAGCATTGTCATCTCAGATCATGCGCCCCTCAAACTTGAACTTGCTTTACGTGACAAAACCTCAAGCAAGTCTTGGCATTTCAGTCCTCTTCTCCTTTCTGACCCAAACTTTATTGCTTATATTTCCAATGAAATCGACACATTTCTTGAGACTAATCATGAATCAGACACTTCATCATCTATCCGCTGGGAAGCTTTAAAAGCCTTTTTACACGTCTCATGCCAACAAACTCCGCAAAAGTAAGATATCTGACCTCACAGCCTCGATACTCCACCTAGACCAACAATTTGCAGCAAATCCTACACCTGCGCTTCTTAAGGATAGAATTGCCCTACAAATTGAATTTGACCTTTTAACGACTCAGCGTGCAGAGGAATCTCTCCTTAAAACTCGGCAGAGACTATTTGAGGATGGAGATAAACCCACCAGACTTTTAGCTTCAGCTTCGCCAAAAAGCAGCCACTCGTACCATTTCTGCCATTAAAACTTCCTCTGGCGTTATAACTTAAGATCACAAGTGCATCAATCGTGAGTTCAAATGTTTTTATTCAGAATTATACACCTCTGATTCTCAGCTTAACCCAGATCTATTTGTGAATTTCTTCAAGGATTTAAACATTCCTCAACTGAATCCAGATGATGTTGCATCACTAGAGGAAACTGTCACCCCTGAAATTATAAAAACATCTTCTCACTGCAGAGCGGGAAGGCTGCAGGGCCAGATGGTTTTCCTGCCGATTTTTATAAGAAATTCTCTGACAAACTTTTACGCGCAATGTACATTGAATCTCTTCAGTCTAAAACTCTGTCCCAGACTTTATATCACGCCACCATTTCGCTCTTGCTGAAAAAGGACAAAGTGCTGCTCCTCATTTCGTCCCATAAGTCTTCTCAATCAAGATTTAAAAATTATTGCGAAAGCTATTGGACTCCACTTGGAAGTGGTCCTCCCGTCCATTATATCCAGTGATCAGACTGGCTTTATCCGTAATAGACAACTATTTTCTAATGTGCGACGACTGCTTAACATCTTACACACTCCCTCCCAGCACTCTAGTCCGGAAGCTATAATTTCTCTCAATGCGGAAAAAGCTTTCGACTGCGTCAAGTGGGATTACCTTTTCTTTGCCTTAGAGAAGTTCGGCTTTGGCCCTAATTTCATCTCGTGGATCAAGCTGTTATACACATCACCCATGGCGTCCGTTCTTACTAACCATCTAGTATCAGATAATTTCCACCTACGCAGGGGCACAAGGCAGGGATGTCCTCTGAGCCCACTCTTGTTTGCGATTGCTATCGAGCCTCTCGCTATAGCCATAAAACAGAATGATAAGATAGAGGGGTGGTCAGACGCATAGAGTCTCTCTTCACGCGGACGACCTCCTCCTTTTTATTACAAACCCCGACACCACCCTCCCTCATGTCTTTTCCTTGCTCGATTCTTTTGGAGCTATTTCGGGTTACAAGCTCAACTTACATAAAAGTGAATATTTCCCCTTAACTCTCCTCTCCCCAAATAAATATACCCTTCAAGATTGTAAAGGATGCCTTCAAATACCTTGGTGTGACTATTACTCGGTCTTACTCTAAACTTTATCAAGCAAATTTTGCTCCTCTCCTTGAGCGCTGCAAATCAGACTTTGCACGTTGGGCTGCTCTCCCGCTCTCTTTGATAGGCAAGCTTAATTCAGTAAAAATGAATACCCTCCCTAAATTTCTCTATTTATTTCAGTGTCTCCCCATTTTTATTTCTCGTTCATTCTTTAGAACTCTACAACAACTAATTACTGGCTTCATTTGGGATGGGAAAAAATGCCTTGGGGGTCTTTCCTCCCCCAACTTCCTAATATATTATTGGGCAGTCAACCTAAGTAGCATGTCTTCTTGGCTTCTTCCCTCTGATAATGTGAACCGCCCTGTGTGGGTCAACGTTGAGGCTTCCCTTTGCCGTCCCTATTCTCTGTCGGCTCTCTTAGGGGCATCACTTCCTCTTCCCATCTCTGTGCCCAAGCAAAACGTGGTTGTATGGCATTCCTTAAAGATTTTAAGACAATTTAAACTTGACTTTGGTCTGCAGAGCATCTCTCTTTTCTCCCCAATCTCGGGCAACCCCTTATTTCCTCCCTCTATTCACTCCTCTTCTTTTAAAAGTTGGTGTGCCTGGGGTGTACAGAATCTTGAGCATTTATACATAAATAATGTCTTTGTCAGCTTCTCCCAACTGTCAGAAAAATGTAATATCCCGCGCTGCCACTTCTTTCATTTTCTGCAGGTGAGAGATTTTGTGAGAAAGAAATTTCCTAATTTCCCAACTCGCCCTGCTAAAACTCACCTTGATCATATCGCAACCTTATGTTTAAAATCTGAAAGGGGGAGGCTTGCCACGATATATGAATATATAATTTCAATTAATAAACCTTCTCTAGCTATTATAAAACAACGCTGGGAGGATGAGCTTGGCTTTAGTATTGGAGATGATGTTTGGAATGGAGCTTTGTTAATATACACTCTTCATCCATATGCGCACGCCACAGTTTGATCCAGTTCAAAGTATTACATCGCCTGCATTACTGTAAGTCTGCTTTGGCTAGATTATACCCTGACATAGACCCCTTGTGTGACAGATGCAAAATAGTGCCCGCGACCCTCTATCATATGTTTTGAGGATGTTCTAAACTGGATCCCTTCTGGTCTTCATTCTTCGATTTATTCTCTAAATTATTTAATAAAACAATTTCTCCTTGCCCCCTAACAGCTATTTTTGGCGTGACCCCGGTAAACATTTCTGTAACCACTCTTCAGCGCAAGGCTCTAGCATTCTCCTCCTTATTGGCATGGCGTTTGATACTGCTGAACTGGAAAAATGCTGCCCCACCCACCCATACTCACCTCATCCGTAATATTATGTCTAATCTTAAATTGGAAAAGATCAGATATTCTGTAAATGGTGCCCTTCTGAACTTTCATAGGACTTGGGATAGTTTTGTTAATTTTGTGAAGCAATTGAATGGACTACAATTAGACTGATGAGCTGACAACCTCCTAATTATTGTCCAACTGGAATCTCCACCCCCCCCCCTTCTTTTGTCAGTCTGTGTGTGTCTCTTTATCTCTTGTCCTGTCTATTGTCTGTATGCTTGTTGTCCTTGTTTGTTTTTGTACTCTTGGGCTTTCTTCTGGACTTTTACTATTATTTTATTTTTTATTAGTTTCTTTTGTTTTACAGTTCACGTGTGGGGTTTTGGTACGTTCTTTCCCACACCACTGATGTTCACAGTCATTTCTGTATCTACTACTATGGATGTTTTGGTTCAAATGTGCTGTTGTGACATCTAATTGCAATGTGAACATGCATCCAAGAAAAATCAATAAAAATAATTTTGAAAGAAAGAAAACATTGACACATTAGCAGAGTGACAATCCACCCGACGTACTCAACATATATGTAAATGATGCTGAGCTTTTGTTTTAATCATATAAGGAACCAAAGTGATTGAATGATTGATGCCATCATATGTGCAACATTATAAAGTATTGAAGAGCTGATGGAATAATGGTTAGGTCGAGCCCCATGTACAGAGGACTTAGGGGGCGTTTTCACATTAGGCACTCACCATTGCTCCCCTCTTCCCCCGATGCTACTCATGTGAAATATCGTTCCTTGTCGGAGCACACGTGCGTATCAATAAAGTTTATCTTCATCTTTACGTACGCAGTCCAATACAGAAGTGGCGACATTAACGTATTCAGTTTGCAAATCCAACAAGAGGAAGAAGGAAGAAGAAGCAACCATGGCAACCACTTGCGTTATCACCTGGGCGTTATCGTGTGTACAATGTAGTCCATCTTTCTGCTGAGGATGTTTTTATTACTTATGAGACGCCATCGACAATTGTCTTCCTACTTCCACATCTACCGTGCAGCTCAGAGGATGAAATGGGCCCTTGCTGTGCGGATACAGTGGTTTTTAGTTTTGTCTTCACCACTCTGCTCGCTGAATGTAACTTGCATTCAGAAGTTCGCTTCCTTGTTTGTTTCACTCCTTTCCCACATGTCATTTCTGACTCAGATCCATGCTCTGCAGCTTTGTGTCGCTCTCTTATATCCTTTGTGCATTGTATTGCACACTCCTAAATCAGGGCTGCAGCTTCTGTGACAATATCAGCAATATGGAATAATATTTATTTACTCGGATGCTTATTTGTATGTTCAGTCAGTTTGCAGAAAATGTGGAAATCTGCCCTAAAAAGTGTTCTTGTTCACATAACATGTTCACATATGTCTGTGTCAGCCGTTTTAAATGAAAGTCTAACGGTTGACTCACAGTTTGAACTCAAGTCTCTGAACCCGATCTCTCCTCAGCGGCTCTGACGGTTTAGTGAAGCTGTGGACCATAAAGACCAACGAATGCGTGAAGACGCTGGACGCCCACCAGGACAAAGTGTGGGGTCTCCACGGCAACCGCAAAGACGACAAGATGGTGACCGCCTCTGCAGACTCCAACATCACCGTGTGGCTGGTAGGTGTCGTCTGAGGGGGGATGGGGGGGGCGGGGGTGAAGCTGCATTAATGAGCAAGAAAACATCCAGCTGAAAGTATTGATTTTCAAAACTTTGCATTCAGGGCGAAATCGGTTCACATCTTCTTATTTTTCGGTTATTAGGGGGATCATGTCACAAGAAAAAAGTTACAAAGAGTAAAAGGTTTCTTTTTTTCATTTTCTTTTGTCCTCTGTTAGGATGTGACTGAAGTGGAGCTGGCGGAGGAGCAGGCTAAGCAGGAGGATCAGATACTCAAGTAAGTGACACATAGACACATAGACAAGTGGTTGACAAATAAAGTAGTAATTAGAGACTGAGGTCAGACAATGATCCACATTCGACAGTGATCCACATTCAGACAGGATGGCGCTTGTTGCGCCATCCTGTCTGTCCGCTGATAAATAAACAGAGAACGTGTTGGGCTAAGGTGGACCCAGCTCAGGCAAAGGTCAGGGCTTGCAGAGGTCAGGGCCGTCTGTGTGTTTGTTTCAGTTCTGATTCGAAAGAAGGAATTTAAGGACTCAGACACTTGTTGTGTTTAATGTGTGTACATTCGCTCACTAATATGTGTGACCTCAGACATGTGTTCTTTCTGATATGATAATCCCTCTTTGTCAGGCTGCAGACGACAAAGAAAGACAAATCATGATATGATGGAAATAGTTTCCTGCACTAAACTCAACAGATATTTTAGAGCAGAAGATGCACACAGCCGAAACACAGTGAAAGAAATTAGGTTAAAAGTTTGCAATTTTCTTTTTTATCACCACATTGAAGGAAAACTGGCATCTACTGTATATGTTCCTTCTTCTTTCCAGCCTCCTTTTATGTAAGAAAAAAAAGGCCCATTGTTTTAATTGTGACATTTTCATAAAATCTAAACTTCTCATGAAATTCTGCCTCATGTCTCAACATGTGTCTTTGTGTTTGTTGTGTGTGAAGGCAGCAGGAGTTGTCCAACCTGCTCCATGAGAAGAAATATCTGAAAGCTCTGGGTCTGGCCATCTCGCTGGACCAGCCTCACACGGTGCTCACTGTGATCAAAGGTAACGAGTGCTGCTGCTCTCCTTTTTAGACTGGCAGGGATCGAGGGGGGAGGAGAGATGGGGGAGGATAAAACCTCTTCTATTGCGGGCATGTACACAGTAAACACAACATTATCTGTTTCTTTTTGAAAACATCATGTCCCCTCTGTACGCTCTGCCACACTTCAGTCATTCATCTGTCCTTTGTCCTGTTACCCGCCACCTTAAAAACCTGCTGTTCTGTCAGCCTGTCATCAACCTTGGTGGGCGGCTGCTCACTTTAAGAGGTGTGTCACCCGAGGGTTGATGCATCTGTCAAAAAATAGCCCCGAAAAAAAACACTCCTAGATTTCACCATCTCTTGCTTTTTGTTGTGTCATTTGACTGAGGAAAAAATGCAAAACAAAGACAACACAATACATAACATATCCCTCTTAGCTTTGAAATATAAGTCCAGTTGACACAGGAGTAAAAAGGTTTCTGGACATCACATAGTTTTCATGGTTATGAACTTGTTGACTTTGAGTCTTTGTGCTCGAGTCTCGACAGATCGCTTTTAAAAATCAGAATATCCCTTTTAAATCTGAGGGCTTAAGACTTGAATGACGGCAGGGGATGAGTCATCAAGCATCCCATTCAGTACATGTATAAAACAAAAAGCTTGTGCATTCTCAGACTTATATAGATCATTCAAAGAGGTATCGATTACGCATCTAGTTAAATAGCATATTGTTGCATAATGCTGACACAATTTTTCTGTTTATAGCACGACCAAACACATATCGATGTCCATGGTTGGTGATTACAAAACGGTTTCTACAAAGTGTCTTCACTTTTACACAATTATTAAACCCCGCTGACTTTTGCTTCCACTGACACAGCTGGGTTCCTCCTTCATAGGGATATAGTAAATATGAATCATAAAATGGTGATAAATCGATTCAGAGGTGTGAAGGTTCACATCGATACTCTGAAAAATGAAGCGCAATAATATGCTGAGCGTCAGCAGCTGCAGAGCAAGACGCACCACCGTCTTTTAAATAGATAGATACTTTATTGATCCCGAGGGAAATTCAAAGCATCCAGTAACAGGTTACAAAGACGTACATGACATGAAACATTTGTTATAAATTAAACCACAAAACCGACGACCCCTAGATGAATCAAACTTAAACTGTGCAATTAAAAATAGACTTATACAAGAAATGTACATAACCCGGGCAGGGATAAAAATATATGTGCAATTTGAACAAGAACCTTTAAACAGTTGAGGGAAAAAATCTGTAATTAGACCTGAATATAAAAAAAATAATAAGAATAAAAAAATGTTGACCTTCTGAAGTTGTGCTGTTTATATATGTATAGCAGTGTTTAAAAAGCAGAGGTGTCGGAGGTGTGGAAGCATTTTGGCTTCCCCAAGACAGAAAATGAAAGAGGGGAGAAGACAACAGACGGGACAAAAACTGTGTGCAAATATTGCAAGAAGACAGAGAACTACACAAAAAGCATGACCAACATGATGCAGCATTTAATCCACCCCACAATGAGAAGCTCCAATCACCTCTCCTTGTTTCGAGAAAAAAAGAAAACACACTGACTAGCGGGTTAGCAGCCCCTAAAGGAATCTTTTTCACTCATAATCTGTCTACAGTCTCATTTTGTGAAATAAATCATGAGAGAATTGTATTGTGAGTTGAGTGAATCGTTACATCCCTACTCCTTTATTTAGCCAAAGCGGATGTTTTTTGTTTCTGCTGATCACAGAGTTTATACCTGTGTTGTGTTTTCTGTTGTGATGCCGCATGGGTCAATTCTTTTGCATCATTTTGTCAGTTTCACTGAGGTATATAACGGGGCCAAGAACTCAATCAGATGAACTTAACATATATTTTTCCTGTTGCTCCTAGCGATCCGTCAAGTGGAGGGCAGCCATGAGCTGTTGGAGAAGACGTTGCTAAAACTTCGAGTGGATCAGAAAGGTAAAGCATCGAAATGTTCCCTGACAGGAGTAAACACTGTAACAGTGATTTTAAGGGATAAGGATTCATCCTTAAATAAAAGTGGTTTAAAAAAGCTTGAATGTTATCTAGGTAGGATATGTCTTTAAAAATGCCCCGTGGACTACAGCTAAACACAGAGGTACCTTAAAATGTAAACTATGCACTGGAGAATTCATCATAAAGAAAAGTAGGTGAGGATTTAAAATGATATAAGGATATAAATAATAACTTCCTGAGCGAGTGACTGACTCCATGAAGACTGAACCCTCAGCAGACTATGAGAAGAATTCCTGCTGGAGCCAAGAGTAGTAAAGTCCATGTCTTTTCACATCTCTCCGTCTTTATCTGACCCTGTCATGATCTCCGCCCGTCTCAGAGTCGCTGCTGCGTTACTGCGTGGTGTGGAACACAAACGCCAGAAACTGTCAGGATGCCCAGGCCGTCCTGCAGGTGCTCTTCACACACCTGCCGCCTGAGGAGCTGCTGCAGTACCAGGGCGCCCGAGCGCATCTGGAGGGACTCATCCCATACACAGGTGTGTGTGTGTGTGTGTGTGTGTGTGTGTGTGTGTGTGTGTGTGTGTGTGTGTGTGTGTGTGGAAGAAGAGAAGAAGTGTATTTATGTCACAAAATGATTCTACAATACACCAGTGATGGAACTGCTTATGAAAGCAGGGCAATCTTAGAATCTGTATGAGTAGATTATAATAAAACCACACCGCAAAGGAACGTTATAATTTCATCAGCAAAGAGGGCAAGGCATGCAGATGATGGCCTAGTGGTTAGCTACAGTCGTCAAAGCAGGCAGCCCGGGTTCAAACCCGACCTGTGGCTCCTCAAAAACAAAAATGTGATCATACTGTAGATGATGACTGTATGATGAATTCTTCTCCTTCCCACAGAGAGACACATGCAGAGGATCGGCAAACTGCTGCAGACGTCCATGTTCCTGAACTACATGTGGCAGAAGATGAGAGTGGCCGGAGCTCCGTCCAGGTGAAAGAGCAACACTGACATTTATCAACAGTGAAATGTATCACAGCAGCGACTGTCCTGTCTTTCCCTCCGAACCTTGAGTGTAGCAGTCAAAATATGTTGTTACAAAGGGTGCCTTTGAATGTGGCTGTACCAACCGTGTTTACAAAAAACTCTATGTCCACATGGTGGACGTCACAGATGTCTTCAGAATCAAGCTTTTCCATTTTAATTTCTTATCTCTGAGGAAAGTCTTGTTACTCCATATGGCTGTGTCTTCCTCCTCTGATGAAGTGCCTTTGCAATTTTCTTTTGCAGTAAATCTTGCCTTTTAATTTGCGCTGCTGTTCTCATGACACCAAGCACACCGACTACACAACTAATCATGTCAAAACCACATGTTGAAAAATTCTGTGGCGTAGATGCCCTAGAGGTCAGGTCGCTAGGCCCCCCCCCCCTATTTGGTATCAGCTAAAATCATCAGCCAGGAATACACACATGCACTTTTATTTGACTTACCCGTGCAGGGCTTTGTCATATATGACATCACTTCGCATCTTAAGCTGATCAGCTTTATTTTGCCAGAATAACCCCGATCGTCCTGTACTGATGGACTGCCCGATGTCAAATGAATGAAAGTGCTGAGTCAATTCATGCAGGGCTCCGGTCAGAGTCTCACACACTTTATGGGATCTCTCAGGGGACAGGCTTGAGCTCAATAACTTCCTTGTTTCTCCACTGACCTAAAACATCATTCAGAGCATGAAGTGCTCCATTTCACACTATTTCTGTTGCTTAGTAACAGGAATGTTATTTTGCATCGTGCCTCTCTGTATGTGGGTCAGATGTGACACGCAGGTATGAAGCCTATAACTGAGCCAACAAAAGCCAAACCAAAGGCTGTGGCTGTCTTCGGTCTCACAGGAATCCTGGAGAGTAGAAAAGGTGGTTAGGTTTGATGACTGGCAGCATTCTCAGCATTAAGAGGCATGCTGCGACTTTCCTCTTCTATTCAGAATGAAGCTTTTATATAACACCAGATCAGGTGACATTTGACTGCTGGCTCTGCAAAGATGAGTGAAGGTGAAACTGATACCAAGACAATGTTACAAACAATGATGCACATTTCAACTCGTCTTGTGTAATAAAAGTTTGTTAATGTATTCTTTTTTGTATATTCTGTGCAGCATGGACCAGGATGAAGAAATGGACACCACTCCCCTTGCACAGCCTTTCTTTACGATCGATAAGGAGAAAGGAACAGGCAGCGGCGATGAGGAGAAACAAGATGGAGATGACAGTGGTGGGGAAGAAGATGAAAATTGCCCAGGGAAGGAGGAGGAAGAAGATGACGAGGTCAGTGTCACAAAGAAAGCGTCCTCCAACGACAGGCGAGTAGAAAACGGAGAGAGCACCAAAACAAACGGGAACCATCACTCTGAAAGTGAGGAGAGCTCAGATGAGGAAGAAGAGGAGACGGATCAAACCGTGAAAGAGATGAAATGTCTCCCAGTTTCTGCAGCAGCACAATGCCAGACCATCCTGAGCTGACAGAGATCATCAAGCTCATCACAAGATGACAAAAGAAACCCTGGAGGTCGTCTTATCTGGGACCATTAGCTGGAGCAGCGCTTAAAGTGTGACGACAAAAGAAAGAGACAGAGCAACAGGTGTGGAATGATAATGATACAGATGAAGGGTCTCTCTGAGGAGTACAAAAGACTTCACCCCCCCCCCCCCCCCCGGGCCAAAAACTAGTGTGCATCACAGCATCTGGGCAGAATCTGATGAAACTTTCATCTGCGTGCTTTCCTCACACGAGGTGGACGTGTGGCAGTAAACATGGAAAACATTCTGCATTGCTGTGTAATCCTGATCTACCGGCTCAACCGCAACAACAACTAAAGGTTTCTTATATAACCCTGACTTTTTTGTTATCTAATGACTGAGAATGTTTATGAAATAAAAAAAATTGGTCTTCGTTATTTAGAAAGAGTTGTGCTTCTGTTCACTTTGTATTTTAATCTTAATTAATCCCAAGGGGAATTCCAACTTTTTATTTTTATTTAGATTTATTTTTGGGCTTTTGTGCCTTTTAATGGAGAGACAGGACAGTGGAAATCAGGGATAGAGAGAGTGGGGATTGACATGCGGGAAAAGAGCCACAGGCTGAATTCGAACCCGGGCCACCCGCGTTAAGGACTATAGCCTCCAAACATGGGACGCGCGCACTAACCACTGCTCTACCAGCGCCCCGGAAATTCCAACTTTTCACTCTGTTATTGCAAACATGCTACACACACACACACACACACACACACACACACACACACACACACACACACACACACACACACACACACACACACACACACACACACACACACACACGGGACTGAAAGAACAAATAAGACCTATGGACATGCGTTAGAATAGAGATGTCAGAGTGTGGGAGTCACACAGGGACTGGCTCAAAGGCACCGCTGCAGTGCTCATTGCAGTCTTGTTGAATCCATCATTCATGTGCTGAGTGAATGCTTTCAAAGATTGAACTGCTCAGTGGAGACGGCTGAAATCCCTGTGGGTTTGACCTTGACTCATCATGTAGAAGTAATTTATCTGTCTGACCACTTAAAATTAAAACTTCAGAATTAAAATAACAAAGGTAATGACGGTTGTTCAGTCACTTCCAAAAAATGCAGAGGCTTATTAGGTCAGGAAGAATCATTTATATCTGAACCGGTTCGCTTGCCCGCTTCCATCTCTGCAACATGTGTTGGTTTAACCTGATAAGTAATTATAAGATGACATGTGGCAAGTATGTTTCCGATTCCGTTTGCAGTTCATAGGTTCAGAGTCCTGTACTGGAGTTTGTGACACTTGAATAATGTCCTCTGGATCAATATGGACTTTGATTAACATCCAAACTAAATACTGTTACAAAACTGGAACCACATAGTTTAAAAGACCTTCTCGTTTACCAAACAGGGATGTCTGAAATTAGCTATTTGTTGCGTTATGGGAGATGTAGGATCTGACCTTGTCGAAGCTTGCCTCATAACAGGGTTTTAAAAGTCAGAAGAACTCAATACTGTCCTCAATTTCTACAGAATCCTTCGAAATAATTGTGTTTAATGTAAGGCGAGGAATGAAATAGAATGGAAAAAACAACCACTGAGTCTCAATTTGATCCTGAAATGTGCTTTTATTAATTTTAAGGTCTTTACATAGAGTGCATACAAAATTTACAGAGTCAGATACTGGAGTGTAAATCCTTTTTTTTTTTTTTAACCGACAGTATTCAACTCTTAACAAGCTTCCCATTCTTTAGTTTGATTAAACTGAAACTCTAAAGCAGGAAATTGACATGTCCGCACACACACAAACAGCCACTGTTATCTCAGACAAACATTTACTTTTGTCGCAGGCAAAATAAGAAAAAAATATTCTGTCTGTTTCACACAGCAGACAAAATGCATGTAAGGCACAACACAGGGTTTCCAGTATGGAAAATAAATCATTCTTCAAAACAGATAGTAGTAAAGAGGTGCTTTTAGTGTTTCTGATGAATCACCTTATATGGATTTTGCAGATTTTTTTGTAAACAAAAACTTTGTACAATTGACATTTTCTGCATGCTTGTTCGCCGTCTCTCTTCAAAGACGATGCCAACAAAAAATTTTATCAATACAACATTAAAAACAGCTAGTTAAAAAATTTGAAAGCATAATTTTACACCTTCTGATTGACAAACATATCCTGTAGCTAGCTCTCATCACAGTCCCTCTAACTGTCCCTCTGTTGATCATCAAACAGTCTCTACAAGTCATACATTATTTTAAATCTCAGGACATGTAACACAGGAGCAGATCTAGACTGCAATATCTGTTGTAGTATTTACAGAGTTCCAACATGAATCCACCAATTAGCAAGCACTTTGCAACCAGTAAAGACTTAAAACAAGCAGGAACCATCTGCTGTGACATCACTAGCAGGTTATTACTTCATGCTTTGGCCACAGAGTAGATGTCGATCCTTTTTTTTTTTAAAGTAAAGCAAATGTTGGCTTCAGGAGAAACTTCATCGACCCAGAATCTCAGGTGGTGTGGGTGAAGCGCCGCCTCTAGCTGCGTTCTTGCGGGTGATAGTGGTGCATCGTGTGAGGATCTCCTGGGCCTGCGGTCTGGGTGGCACCTTAGGCATCGTTGGGCCCTTGTAGAGGTTCGGATCGGAGACGCTGGGCATTAGCCTCCCCTCCTGGCCGCTCGTCGGGCTCAGGCGGTTTCTCGTCGGAGGGGGCGGCGTGCGACTCAGATGCAGCTGGTCGTCGTTGGCGGTCGGGCTCAGGGTCATGGTGGAGCTGGCAGAGGAGGAGCTGAGGTCATCGTCGAAGCTGAAATCGGAGCTGTCGCTGGAAAAGCTTCCCGCGCTTTCGTCTTTCCAGCTTCTGCCGCTTTGCCCGACGTCTCCATCCATCTCCACCATGATTGCAGGAGGAGAGGGACTCTTGGTGGATGTAGGTGTGATGGCTACCCTCGCAGCGGACGGGGGGTTTGGGGTGGTGAGCCGGGCAGGCGGAGGAGGAAGGCTGTCAGACAGGATGTTGAGAGAGTGTGACCTCTGCCTTTCGTTTTGGTTCGGGGGGGAGGAGGACCTGACGGGTGAAAGCAGCAGCAGGTTTCCTTGCGAGTTGCTGAACTGATGCGACTGCTGCTCTAAGCTCGGGACTTGGAGCGGGGAGGAGGGGCGGAAATCTTGGTGTGGTGTCAAGCGGATGTGAGGGTAGTTGTACGGCTGCAGGTACATGGTGGGGATGTAACCTGCTTTACCATTGTATCTGTGAAAAGGAGACAAAGACAAAGAATGTGGGGTTGAAAATCTGGATTTCAGTCCTTGAGGAAGTCGACATGAACACAAACACAGCTTTTGTTTGTCCTGACTCGGCGATGTTGAATACCTGATGAGCCACCAGCCGTTGTCAGACTTCTGCAGGACCTCCACCACAGCACCGATGGCTACGCTTATCTCGTCGTCTTTGGTGGCCTTGTAGCTCTTGGCTGCACAGTAAAGCAACCCTGCAGGGAAAGAAACAACTTTAATATGTTTACTGTGTGGCTGCATAAAGATGTGCACTTATCACCTCATGAAATAGTTATTTAAAGAGAGCCATGCATTGTCACTTAGAATGCAAAAGTTTGATGGAGATGGAAACCTTGGCCATGCATTTACACTATTTATTCAATCAGACAAAAACTAAACTAGCCGTAAGCTATCCTCAGACTTATTGGAGCAAGTTTAACGTGCCTTTGTTAGCTAGCATGATGACCACATTGGAGCAAACAATGTTTTATAATGCATTAAACTCAGAGTCAATCTGAACATTCCTGGTGTGCGTTGGATTAATCTGATCTTGAACATTGTGTCTTTCCTGCTCTGGCTGCACCCAGGATGAGTTGCACGGCTGTGCACAGGGCACCCATCGATTATTATTTAACACATGTTCATTGTTGCACATCATATAGTCATTGTGATAGTGAACAATATAATTGCACATTGCAGATTTTCCTCAGGCCTGATTATATAATGTCTATTGACCTTCATTCCTGCAGTAAAAGTATTACCGGTAAGGGTTGATAAAATAAAAGTATCAGTCCAAATAAGCAAATTTGTATTCATATATGTACCTCTGTCATCAGTCCCATCTATTTCATCTTCATCAATTTCATCTGCCAGCTTCTCCAGGTAGGGTGCAGGGAACCAGGCCATGCGCTTGTCTTCCTTCTCCACCAGCCACCACCCTGTTCCACAAACGTACATTAAACATCCAACAGTGCATTTGGCTACAGCAGGAGACCTGTTTCAACCCCGATCAGAACCCTGTGCGCTCACCTGCTTTGTCTCTGATGAGCACGTCTACTTTTTCATCCACTGCCACGTTGAAAGGTTTGTTCTTGGTGTCCTTGGTCTCGTACGTCGCCACACATCTGTACGTCTCCGTGACAAACGGCTGGGTCACGTTCCCGCCGGCCTGGCCTGCATTGGCCTTGACTTCATCCTCTGAAGGCATGATCATGATGCTGAGGAAGAGGAGAGCTGCAGGTTAACTTTGAGGGAAATGCACTCTAGAAAAAGAACACACTCATTTATTATAGAGCCCCAGTAGCGTATGTTAATAGCTGCATTACCACAGATATGTGTAGCCTACCTGTTCTTGGAGAACTCCGGCTTCAGGTCCTGCTCTTTGGGGTGGAAGAACTGGATGAGGTCTGCAGACTGAGAGACTCTCGGGTCGCAGCTCAGAAGTTCATTACAGTATTTCTGCAAAGACTTGAGCCGCGTCAGTGACCTGGTGGCGCTCTTCTTATTGCCGCTGCGCTTCTTCCTTTTGGCTGAAAGAAAACACCACTTGGTCACAACCTCGCCAACCTGCAGCTGCGCGCTCTGCTTTACATTGACCATAAATTACGCACTCTTACCATGAAATTTAGGGATGACTCTGTTGGATTTTTTCAGTTTACTTGCAGATGGGAAAGCTTTCTTCAGTTTTTTCTGCAGTAGAAAAAAAAATGAGAAGCGTTTTTTTAAATACTCAACAATCCATGCGCAACCAAAAAAAAAGACAGAAATGCAATAATTCATACTTACATGCATGTTCACGAAATCCGCCAAAGTTCTGTATACAACAATATCATTCTGGTCCGACCAAAGCACAGAGGTCATGTACATCTGGGGGGAGGAACAATTCAAATTAAACACATGGCAGATTGCACATATTTCCATTTTTTTTGCACGTGAATAAATAATCTCTGTACTCACTTTGTTCTTCTCCTTGAGCATCAGTCCAATGAGACGGACACTGATGGGATACCGCTGCTCCTCCATGGTGAAGCGACAGAGTCAAAGTGTGCTGAATAGTCCAGGTATGAGCTCTCAAACTCGGTTGGATTTGCGACTGCAACAGAGAAGCCCAACAGGTGCTTTTAAATGTGTCCGTGCAGCGCAGGGTGCAGGGTGTGGCCCCGCGTGAGTCACGTAGAGAAAAGCCTAGGTGGAAACTATGCTCGTCACGTTATAGCAGGAAAGTACAGCGTTGCACCAACACAGCTCTTTGCGACCTAAAGCCACAAACAGGTCAGGTATGTATTCTTAATTAGGATGTGAGGAAGAAGGAACAGGTTCAACGAAATAGGTGACGGCTGTTTTCCCATTTCCTAATCAGAAACCATTTCTCTTCCATCAGTTTTATTCTGACGCACCTGCAGTGAATGTGTTTACCTGCAGTGAATGTGTTTACCTGCAGTGAATGTGTTTACCTGCAGTGAATGTTTTACCTGCAGTGAATGTTTTACCTGCAGTGAATGTGTTTTTTATTTAGAGCAGAATAGCAGCGTTTATAAAACCCTCCAACAGTGAGTCGACACATAAACTGCAGACTAAAGTACCCAGAACTTTTAGTCCCTGGAACTTTATTTCTCTAGAGACTAAAAGGTTCCTCAAACATTGTTGTCTACAGACCCCGGAGGATTTCAAGAATTAGTCCACTTGCATTTCCTTTATATTTCTGAATGTTGTGACGACTCAGCTCCCAAAGTCCCTGTAAAAAACTCTATTCCCTCCTTAATTCTCAAGCCCCCTGCATTGAGAAAGTTCTTGTAGACATATTCGGGTGTTTTCACACGTACACAAATCTCCTGAACATTTTGGGATGAGCTGCATCTGTGAATGCAAATGTATAGCCACTCTTTTTCTTACCTTTCCACCTTAACCTCTCCCACACTAGTGTGCCTGCAACCAGTAATTTGTCCTTACTATAGTGCACCTTTATTACCCAACATTACCCGACACACAGTGAGCACGTCAGCTTTCATTCATAGTTTTAGTGCAAATAACAATGCTTAGAATTAGATTTTTCTTTTGGTTTTGTAAAATATAATTGAAAGTAATTTTGGTAGGTAGCGAAAAAGAACAAGATATGTAACTATACAACACGATACAATGCCAAAGGATATGATATGAAACAATACACTAGTTTTGAAACCTTGGTTACGATAAACTTAATTGTACCCTTTGGGGAAATTTGTCTTGAACTCTGTCTTCAATAGAGTTCATACTCTTCCCAAACACCGTCCTCATTAGCTGAAAAGTTCAAGTTCAAGTTTTGTTCTAAAATAGCAAAAGATACTAAACTCATTTTGGATTAATACCAGATTAGAATCAGGTAAAGTGTGAGATTCATTGAGGGTTTCAAATAATGTTGCAGTGAAGCATTGGAAGATATGACATGTTTTAAAAAAAAATAATAATAATGTAATAATCTCAGATACATTTTAATGTCTATTATTCCAATAATTCAGTTCACAAGGCTTACTCGTTGCTGCTAAATAACTTTAAAAAATGTAATCACTCAAAGAGTTGAAGAGTCTTTCTGTGTAAACTGAAATGCACATCTCCTTTGTCTCCCTCTAAGCTGTCCTGATGATGAATGTCAAGTAACATGAGGTTTTATTCTAAGTTACCAAACCTGCTGTCTTAGAAAAGAAGCAAGCAGTGTTAGAGGTGGACGAGGAAGAAGTCGCTCTTATCATTTATCACATTTATTTCCTTTAGTATGGTTTTCTAAGGAATCAAGGTTCCTTCTATTATGTTAGCTGCAGCATGTACACCAAATGAGCCATGAACACATACTTCTTGAGTGTTTTTTATTGTAATGTTCTCAGGAAAATAGGGTCAATCATTCACCTGCTGCAAAGGAACTCCTGAAAAATAAATATTTGATTCACTGAGTTAATTCTACCACGGCACTAGTCAAACTATAGGAGTCACCTCAACAATTTAGATTTTTTTGGGGCGTATGTGAGCTTTTTTTATTGAGAGGACATCTGAATATAGACAGGACATGTTGGGGATTGAGGGGTGGGGAAATGCATCAAAGTGTAGAGGGCTTACGACTAATGCTTCAAGTCTCTGTATATGAGGCGTCTGCTCTACAGACTGAGCTAAACCAGTCACCTCAACATTTTATAATGAGAGCATTTCTTTTCACATTACAGAGCATAACATTTGAGTTATCTATAGGTGGTTGTCAGGTTAGAGGGCTCTTGCAGCAACAAAAACTCATATTTTCAGACAGATTGTTTGCTGATTTATCAATGAGCAGCCACACAATGTCAAATACAACAAGAACAAGCAGCAGTACTCTGTTTAATGGTGTGAGTTAGAAACACCTTTGCGATTGATTTGGACTCCCTGTGGTGAGTCTGAAAGAGTGAAGCTGTTCTTGATGCGATGCTGACATCTAGTGCTGGCTGCTGTTATATCTGTGGTATGAACTCCTGCATGGATAGTGAATAGAATATTAAACTTTTACCAACCCAGCAGTCTGGGACCAGTCATTAAAAAACACTAAGGTCAGATTTGAGATAGCATGAAGGATAAAATCTTATCAAAATCAGAAAGGCCTCCAAACTAGTTATTTTTAGATATTATGTACTGATGCTTCTGTGGAGGCAGCTAAAAATGTGCAGCACTTAATTCGTATCATCTGGAATAGATTCACTCCATTTATTTTCTGGCTCTGGCTCAATCCTTCAGGAATTTCGTTGAAAATTAAACTTGATTATGAAGAGATTCACTCAGATTGGATTTAGGGAAAAAATGTTCTTAACAAAAATGTAAGCCTGTAATATACACTTCATTTGTTTTGCTTTGCAGTTGAATTTCTAAACCGTGAGGTGTTCGGCTAATTCAATGTAGTGTTTGTATCCATCAGTGAATATTTCATTCTTACTTTATCTTCTCACTTTTTCTATAAATTACAGAGCTACAGTCAAACTACTTCATAAAACGTTATTTGTTATTGTTATTATGTAATTTTATTATGGTTATTAGAGTCAGGTCCCATTTTTATTTTTTGTGTCCTGGGTCAGTGACTCAGAGTTTTACAGCTGTTTATTTGTTTATATATGTATTTGTTTGTATACCTCTCTCTCCTCTCCTGTCTCTGCTCAATGAACTGACAAAACTCAAATCAAACAGTAAACACAACTGTGTAAAAATATCGCACTCTTTATTCTTTCTCTCAAAATGCAATCAAAGCAGATTTCTCGTCCGTCATCTTCTTTAACGACACTCCCACATAAACTTCTGTTTCTTACATTGCACATTTTTCTGATATAGGTGATAAAAAAAAAAGAAAAGGAAGTTATTGGAAGTCTTCGGACTTCATCCACACTGAACTCTGAAATAAAAAAATCTTACTGCCGTCAGTAATCCCCCACAGCTCATCAAATCCACTTAGTCATGCTGCAGGCGAGCGAGTCGGCTGAAAGTCTACGGGCAACAACGAGGCAGGCAGGCGGAGTACATGCACTCTCCAGAAAAACAAAACACAACTCGTATATCACCCGTTTCCACAGACAGAAGTTCACCTTCTGTTTTCACACAAATCCTCTCAAACACAGAAACCTACTTTCTTATTCTTACTGAAATAAAACATCACAAACATAACTTTCTTTAAAACTGTTTTATAAACATTTAAAAGTGTAAGGCAGAAGGTTTTTTTCTTCTAAAGCATCGAAGGAGGTTTTCATTCTTTTCATCACTCTTTCATACTTCAGACTCGTCTCCATTAGCCACATGAGGTGCTTTTTTCCACAACTTTTTTTCCACTTAAGGACAGAAGAGTAGCGCTTACTTAGCAGATAATACGCATTTAAGGTGAAGCTTTTGATGTTTTTTCAAACTACACGCAGTCAAACTGACTCATTGAGCTACACATATCAGCCTCCACAGATGGAAAAGGAGTTTGTTTACATCCGCAGACTGTAGTGTCTACCCCACATTAACCATACGTGACAGACTGAGAAATGTTGATGTGAATGAATGTGCTGTCACATATCTGAGCTTCAAAATGCTGGCTGGAAAAACTGAATCAATCTGCTCGTGTCTTCCCGTGAATCTGCATGTACTCATTCATTTCCTTCTCAAGATCATTCTTGATTTAAAAAAAAAAAAAAAGATATTGGAAGACAAATAATCTGAAATAAAAGAAGCAGTGGAGTTAGATTTCCTACCTATTAGAGACCTTTGGCTTGCATAGAAACATCCAATGTGAAAAAAAGCAGCAGCTCTTGGTTATCAATAACATGTTCATCGCTGTTATCCTAACTCTAAATCCCACAATCAGCAGCTGGTTTTTTAGATCTACCATCCCTGAGCGACCAAAACCACAACCTACAATCTTTCAGACCTTGCATAAAAAGTAGATCCTCGTCACTTCCTCTGCAACGTTTTGGCAATCCCTCCACCATCTCACTCTCTGCAGGAGTCACGACGGGGCATTAAAGTGAGATTACAAGGATCATATACATTATTTAAAAAAGACAAAAATGAAGCTTTACAGAACAAAACTCTTCTCTCAACTTGAAAGCCTTTTCTTTTGCAACTCTTACCTTTAGAGGCGATCATATTTAGTGTCTCCGCTGAAGGAAAAACTTTTCCAACAGCTGAGAACAAAGCAGTCTGGTTGCACGCAATTGAAATAAAAAAAAGGTCAAAAGCAAGGGTCAAAAATGAAATAAAAAAATGAAATTTCGAGGCAAACAGCAGTCTTACAGTCGCAGTAAAATTGTCAGTCATTGATCTGTAACTTCCATCAGCTCTTCCCTCTCTCTGTGCCTTCTTTCTTTCAGTCCTTCAGAGGAGCGGCTGATCACAGTTTGAGTCTCCTGCAGCGAGGAATCAGGATCAGCTCCAATCTTGGCAATAAAAGGGCTCTCTGTTGTTCCCATCCCATTTAACCACAGAGCAGTAAGGACCTTCTTCTACTCGTTTTCTTGTGTATGTTTGTCACCGGAACTCATAAATAGGAATACTGTGCTCCCGGACGTGGTTTAGGTTTAGAGACTGGTACCTGCGGATGGAGATGAAGAAGAATTGAGTCCCATTGGTATGAAAGGGTTAGGGTTATAAAAATAAAAAAAACAGACTGAAAGAATGCAGTTTGTCATGTTTTTTAGTTACCATTCTGAGCTCCGATGGTAATAGTAGCCCTCAATAGTTGCTGTGGACTTCTGGAAGCAAATATAATAGAAGCCAGCAAAAGAGGCGCCGCTGATGTCTTTGATGGTGTGGTCTGGAACTAGAAACTGTTCCTGAAGATGCCGGGGGAAAAACAACAACAAAGAGAAACAGTTAGAGCCTGAAGGTGCTGTATGAAATGTTCAGATAATGAACATGACTTAGTTCTGGTGTAGTGAAGAGAACTAAAGTCTGCACTAGTGTTGTAGTACACAAAATCAGTCTTGGTCTCAAGACCACTTTTTGAAGGTCTCAGTCTCGTCTCGCTCACTGGGCGGACTCCAGAATTTAAATCAAGACCGGTCAAGACCACCACTGATCGGCTATTTTTCCAAATCATTACTGTGATAAGCCCCTTTCTGTAAGAACATAAAACTTCAATTCATTTCTGGTTTGATTTTTATCCCATGGTTATGGCTGCAACCTTCCTGGTGTTACAGACTTAGTGAGTGACAAGCCGCCTGCACACAAGATGATGATTCCTCATCGATATTTATAGTCTTGGGCCCTTTCCGAATTGTCACAGTTCAGTATGCAGTACGTACTCTTCAGTAGGGAGTTTCAGTATACTGAACTTTTGTGGTCATTCAGTATACATTTTTTGTGTCCACCTCAGTATACTGAACATTTCAGTATGGATACTAACTTCCGGGTTTCATGCTGTATGGATCGGATTCGTGCTTTCAGGAAATTAATTGTGTTTTACCACCCACAATGCTGTGTGAAATTAAACGTAAATCGGCACGTCACGTCCGCCTCCAAATCAAAACAAACGAGCGTGGATTAATTGAATCAATTTTTAATCTAGAGTTAAAGTCCCGACTGAAATCACTACTTTTAATTAACAACAGAAAATATAACAAATATCTGCATTATTATAAAACCATTCTCCCTTTATTTAAATAATGATTTCACTATTTAAATGTGTCTTTATTGGTTTATTTTATATTCTGTATATTACTGTCTTTCATTTGTACTTTTCTTTATGAAGACTACTGTATGTTATTTAGTTATTTAATCTGCCTTTTACTTGATCTACATTGTGATATTGTTTTTTGTTTACCTGACTGTATATGAGCATTACTCTTCTTGAATAAAGCTAAACAAAAAAAACAACAAAAAAAAACGGGTGGATGCGGCCGGTTCGGGTAACGTAAATGACTTCCATACTGAATGAATCAGACGAAGTAGGAACAAATATCTGCCTACTGTGCGCGCCTACTGAATAGTAGATACTAAACAGTACACAGCACGGATAGTAGGTACTGCCTACTGCCTACTGCCAGATTGAGTAGGTACTTGGCAATTTGGATACAGCCATAGTCTTGACTCGGTCTCGATCCCTAAATGTCTTGGTCTTGTCTCGCAGTGAAACACATAATGGACAACTGAGACTGACATGTGAGGCCTAATTAAAGACATTAAATTTGTTTCGCACAGTTGCATCAGAAGCCATTATTACATGTAAAGTAGTGTGTACTAACCTTCCACCTCATGAAGACGTAATCGCTGCTGTCCAGTGCTTCATAATCAAAGTCATCGGAGTTGAAGCTTTTGGCATACTTGTAAAAAGGCTTGAACTTGCCCTGTCGAGAGAGATCAGTAAAAACAAGTTAAGAGAACAGACGCTGATAAGATCATGACAGGAAAGAAAAATACACTGCAAGTTTCATAAATTGGAAGCCTTACTGTAAAACATGCCTCTTTGGTATATTATTCATTCTAAAAGTTGCCTTAAAACCCAGCGATAGGAGCTGCTACAGCTTTTATCAATCAATTATTCATCTAAAGGTAAGACACATACAGACACTCAGGGTTTCATGGAAGCAAAAAGGTACAAAAAATGGACGCACAGTGTTCAGCTCTCAATGAGCAACCTTATTTTAAAAAGGGCAACGTTTCGATCTAAAACATCTCCCTCAGACCTTCTCCTTTTGCTGCAGTTAATACATTCGTTTGTCCTGCACCTGTACAGTTTGCATTTTGCTTGGATGTGTGCACATTGGTTTTTCTTTTTTAACTTAAACCTCAACTGCGGTTTCTCTAAGTATCCAACTTTTGTTGGATACCAACCCCTAACCCTAACTTTTTGAATATCTATTCAAAGAACTAGTCACAAACAGTCCATTCTTCATAATAATAATAAATTGATAACAGTTAAATGGGACATACCCAGTGCTTCCTGTCCACATCTTCATCTGCGTCCCATTTTCTGGTTAAAAAAGGCCTTTTTCGGCTGATTATTTCCCCGGCAAAAAATGTTGTGAGGGTGGGATACTCCTGTCACGAAGAGAAATGAGACAGGAAAGAAAACATTGGTACAAGAACAGTAGACATATCCTGATATCTGGATGTACCCAAAAGGGATTTGTCCACTAGTTGTGGTAAATATCAAAAAGCAGGAAGAATCATCATCGTTTTGGATGCTGTTTTACTGGCCTTGATGCATATTTGTGATGCAATAACTGTCTGAATGACAGCAATAAGAGCAAATATTTGACCTATATTTCTCACACAGAAACGTGGTTGTATCTAGAGAGCCGCATACACAACATACTACTCATCTTTCACACCACTCTGCCGCCTCCAAAATTCACTTCAGGATATTTCTGAGCTGCTCCCTTCCATGTTGCATAATGTAATGAGTATACGGTTGACACACTTTATGCTAAGGACTCCAGTCTTAGACCTGAAATAAGAGGTTAAAGCCAAAGCCCATCATTCATCTTATCTAATGTGACACAATTAAGCCTGCATCAATCAAGTGAAAACCAGTTCCAACACGCTTAAACGGGGAATCAGTTCATGCTTAAATAGAATAAAGGTCAATATATCTGACCCAGTTTTAATACTTACCTCCGTCAGCCCTTTGATCTTCAGGTATCCACACAAATAGGAGTCCTCCATAGTCACATGCTGCCCAAGACAAACACACTTCAAGTCACTCTTAACCTTTAATTATGTAGCTCAAAGATAGGAAATCACAGAGGTATTAATGATTCTACTTTTTTCTTTTTAATATGGCACACAGAAATGGTTTGAGGATGTGGTTAGCACAGAAATATGTAATACGTAGGCAGTTTGTGGTTAGTGTCAGATGTCAGGTCGTCGGTCAGTGACACTCATTTAGAAAGACAGATGCACAAAATGCCTACGTGTTGTTTGGGTGGTGTACACTGTTAAAATGTTCATATCTGTAACTGTGTCATAACTCATTACATTAGAGTAGAAACAGTGACCAGGATAGCTCAAAGTTAGGTCAGTGTGTTGGTATTTTATAAAAACCAGCAGAGGAAAAACATTATAACATAAACACCTCAGCAAGCTAACGTTTGCTAAGTTAGCAATAAGGGCTACAATTATGCTGAGTTTGCAAATAACCAACAAATTAACATGAAAATATCAACAGGACTACTAGTGCATGTTTAGAGTACATTACCTGCAGAACAACCTCGACGTCGTAGGAGTTGCCTTTGCTCTTCTGGTAACCCCGAAACTCTGAGCCGCTGTACAGCAGCGAAGTGGCCACCCCCGGCTGGTACGTGTTGATCGGGGCAGGGGGAACAAGAGAGGCCGAGGATGAGCAGGCCAGGCCGGCAGTACAGCAGCTCTCTGCTCGCACAGGCATAATGAGCGCTAAAGTGTCACCGTCAGCCACCGTCATGAACCTAACGACGGAGCACACAGCAGCCAGAGGGAGAAAAGGGACTGACAGGGGACAGTGTGTCGGCGGTACACACAACTTTGATCAATTTGGGAAGCTAGTCTCTGGATCTGCGACTGAAGAGCTTCAAGCCTTCAACGTCCCATGCTGCGTTCAGTCGCTCTTTCCCGAGTTGGGAAGTCGTGGTTCCGACTTTGTTGTGTTTACGAGCTTGAAGTCGTGATATAGTGACATCATGGACGCCACAAATATAATGTTGTACTGTATTTCTTTGAATTAATTAGAAGATAATAAGTCTATACGTATATTACAAATGATAAACGAGGCTCATAATGATTTGGAGATGTTAATCAACACAAAGTTATTGCTAATTGAGCCTTTTTTTTCTGCAACATGTAACGTCAAGTCTCTCAACACAGCATGTCGGGTGAGAACAATTTTCTCTGGCTTTATTGACCGTAATTGAGCAGTAACCTGAATTTTAGCGGTACGAAAGTCTTTTTTCCTTTCATTCTGGTAGCACTTGAATGCAACCTGAAGATTCCCCGAATTTCATTGGGTGTAAATGAGACAGGAAGACTGGCGCTCTATCAATTCTGGGAATTGTATTTAATTATCTACTACACCTTAACCAGCATTTTATGAAATAATTACGTATAACTGTGTTGGCCAGTGTTTATGTAGTCTATGTTCAGTCTTATTTCAGATACAGATTATAGACACATAAAGAACCATTTTATTCAGTTTCTGAGATATACCATAAAGAAACATTAAAAAAACATGTATTTTATAGTCCTATACCAAGCTTAAATTAATTTTAATCTTAATGTTCTTTTCAATTATTTTTCATAGTTTCTTAAAACAGCCACACACTGAAGGGACTTAAAAAATGCACAATTTGTCTCACTTTTGCTAACCAGCTGATATTTGAAAGGTTTTTTGTTTTAATAGGTTGAATCAAATAGGCTATAGAAAAAAAAATGTTTATTGCATATTTAAATGTATTGATGTCCAGCTGTGAAATAGTCCTCTTCCATTGTTTTACAACTTTGGGTAGAAATGATGGTGCTACATGTTATTCCTCCAGCTGTTCCTTCAAAATGTCCGTATATCTGTGGAAGTCTGAGATACGTGTTCGATTCCCCTCAAGTTCTTTGTCTCGAACCTGTAATAATCCGTAAAGACAAAAATATATGAAAGGAGTGCAGTTAGTTATCTGTTTAAAAATATAACTTGGTTTGTTTTATTTCAAATTTCAGCTACCTACCATCTCAATGATGGCCACTTTCCACGCACTGACACGTGTGAGCAGCTGGGTCTGTCGATCGTTGATCCTCAGCAGGTGGTTTTCGTGGGCGGTTTCTAGTGCATCCATCACTGCATCTCTGTCTGTGAAAAGCTAAAAAAGGTACACAGGTATGAAAGGCTGAGGAAACTTACAAAAGTAATAAACCATGTCCTTAGCTCATCAGACCCATTCAGGTTTAACTCTGTACTCAGACCTCTAATATTCTGCTTCGTCTGTAATAATGAATTTGTTTACATGAAAGATGTAAAGATTTTCATTTTGATCTTAAAGAGACAACACTCACAGCTTTAGCATCATCTTGCATGTCGTCTTCCACTTCACCCTTGCCCACTTTCTCCAGAGTCGCTATAGCAACTTGCCGCACCTTTTCATAATATGTATCCTCCAGATCTCGACATTGAGTGAATGTGTTACTGTGTCATGGAAATCAGACTATCAGTACGTTTGCAGCTTAGACTTTGTGTGTGTGTGTGTGTGTGTGTGTGTGTGTGTGTGTGTGTGTGTGTGTGTGTGGCTATGAATAAATCAAACACAGATTTGGTTTGGGAGAAACTTGCTTCCTCAAACGATAAGGTATGAATAAAGTATCCTAACAGCTCAATCAGAAGCACAGTGAGAAAGGATATAGTCCCTGAACAGTTTCACTGAATTTGCCGACCATGTCAGAGAGATTTTTATCCAACATTTTGATGATATCCTGAAACAAACACAAAGATTTGTTGTTAGCAAATTCAAAATAAATGAAGCTGTTTTCACACATTCACACAAAACTCTGGAAATTTTCCGGAAATTTTTCAGGAAGCACTGTATATGTGAACACAATCCCTCAAATTTATCACTCCATCATCAAAAACTGTAACCATAGCGTCAGACTCTTTTGCTCATCTGCAATCTTGGCACATCCTTTTCTGCCTCCAGAGATTGCCAACCGAATCCCCCTGTCCGACATGTGAAACTTTCATGCTGTGAGGCTTATGTGCGAATAAGGCCCCTAACTGAATAGGTCAGGTATAGAAGGTGTACGCAAAAAGGCACAAAAGCAGATCCACCTCCATCTGGCTGACGTGCCGCCACTCCATTTCCATGAAGCTGTGACAGAGTTGACGGATTTCATCACTGCAGTGGCTGATCTTGTCCTTTAGCAGGTCTGATTCTGAAATCTGCTGCAGCTCCACCATCCTCTACAGAGAAGTGAACAAAGAGATAACTATGTTAAAAAAGATCCAGGACAAACCCTATGTTAAAACATAGTGGTCCTCAAAGTTGACCTTTTGATGCTGCTCCTCAAAATCTGCCATTTTGTTCGAGACTTTCTTCTGGTAGTCTTTCATCGCCTTCGTCTGAGCGCTGACAAAGCAGTTCACCTCCGTCTCTCTGCGCTCATTTTCAGCCAAGCCTGATTCAATGATCTGTGTGAACAGCTCTAACATTTGGTGTTCAAATGTAAGCGAAGGGTTAAAGAATTCAACTAATAACTTACCATAGATTAAACCTCACTATCATGCATTACAAAAACAAAAAACATGGTAATTAATCATAAGTTACCACTCTTTCACTGTGTTCACGTGTCATTTTAACAACTATCAAAATGTATCGAAAGAAATCTGTTTACATGGCTTAAAAAATGTATACATCCAAATCCAAGTCATCGCTTTTCAACATAACTTATTACCTTTGTGCTCCTTGTCTGTCCCAGGTTGTCTTATGTAATATGTGTTTATTTAATGTTGTTTTTCTTAATAATAATTTGTGCTTCCATTTTAAACACAGCACATCATATTGTCAAAAGAGCTGTCACCACATCAGAATTTTAAACTTTGATATGATGCTGGTAAAAATCAGACGATGCTGATACCTGTTTCATACCTGTTTCTGATACCGATCATTCAAATAACAGAGTTTGAATCATTTTAAAACACGTGGTATCAAAAAAGTATCAAAAATTCTGACAACCTTCATTGTCACATTGCTTGATCTTTGGGTATGAATGTGTAGTGTTGTTGTTCCCCCATTGCTTTCTGATTACAAGCCTTTATTTCTGTGCACTTCTTCCCTATCTTGTTTTGTAAACTGCTTAATGAAAAGGGGAGGAAAGGATATGCTTTCATCTCTTGAGCCATTTCAGGCACATCCCGGAGTGTCTTTGCCTCTGGATCAAATTTGAGCAGGCTCTCGGACAGATCAGACCCCTTCAGGAACCCCTCTACGTTATCCTGTTGGAAAGAAAATTTAATTTGTCACTCTAAAGCATGCATTGAGAGCTCAGTAGAAAAGTAGCTGCATTGCAGAATGTAAAGTTTCAATCACCTTCTGTTCAGCATTTTGAGCTTGTTCTTGCTGCAGCTCCTCGAGTTTCAGTTTCCCAGGGGCATTTTGGTACTTAACAGAAGCGTCATTTTTCTGCACATGAACACAAGATTAATATTATTTGTATAGTCATGATGGAAAAGAGAATCGTCAATAAATAGTTAATTAAAACAAGAAGACTACCGTCTGTAGCTCGAGTAATTTGAAGTCGAGGAATGTCAAGTTTGGAAAGTAGGCCGCGATAAAAAGTTTGTAATCGTCTTCCTTAGAGGCAGGATTTCCACACAGGTTGAGGCTGAACAGGTTCTTGAATTTCCTGAGGTACAGCACCTTTTGAACACATTCATTTTTATTAGGTGACAGAAACATACTATACTGTTCAATTCTGACATCTTAAGACAAGAAAATGTTACATTATCCAGCTGTCCAATGAGGTTGTTCCCAATGCAGAATAGTGTGAGTTTCTCAAGTGTGTCCATGTTTTCAATGACAGAGATCCTGTTGTTGGACAGAGTCAGGACTTCAAGCTTCCGCAGAGACTCCAAACCTTCAATTTTTTCTAACTTGTTGTATGATAGATCTAAAAAGACATAGTAAGTGAATTAATGAATTCATTTCATAAGTAGTGGTGGCTGGGATGATGCATAAAAGTGACAGAGAAATCTAGAGGTTTGTCTTACTTAGCCATGTCAGATTCAATAGACGGTCCAGGCCTTCAATTTTTTCAATGAGGTTGTTGCTCAAATCAAGCCTGTCCAAGGATGTGAATTCCCACAAGCAATGAATTCTTTGGATTTCTAAAGAAAGGAAAACAATCTCTCAAGTACAGGAACCCCCCCATTCATAAGGTATAGGCTATTGTGTCTATATGGCATTATCTTTCTTACTTTTGAATTCCAGATGTAGATGAAGGGTTTCTTTAAAGGGGATGCCCTCCTGCTTCATAATGTGTTTGACCTCATCTTTACAGACTTCCTCCATAACTGCTTCCTTCAACATCACCTCATTCATCAAATTGGGCACAGTTTTACCACGAGGCATGTCCATCCTGCAGCAAATGAGGTAAGAGTCACACTTGAATTAAATAAGAACAATGTGTTATTTATGACCTTGAATTACACGTTTACCGGATAAATTCTGTTATTTACCTTGCTGCTGTTGTTTGTCCAATACAAAACACTAAAAAACTGACATTAAAAGCGTTCGTAACAAGATAAGTAAATAAGTACCTAACCTCCTACCTCTGTTTACACGTTGTTACCTAGCAACAGGCTGACGTAAGCTGTGTTCAAGACGTAAAAATAATTCTATTAAAAACACTTTTACTATACAAACATACTTGCTCGACCTAATTAAACACTTAACAACATAAATCAAAGTCAGACCATTTTTTTAATGAATGCTCGTTTTCTTATAATTCAACTTTTCTCCCCTCAAATCTAACGAACGAAACGTCAACTCGTAGCTATATGTAATAATAAGCTCTATTTTAGAGGATTTATGCTTCCATTGATACTTTCAATTCTACTCAGTTATTTTGCGCTTAAATGTGAAATACGTGGTTAATATTCATACATTTATTTGTTGAACATAGCTTTAGCTGCTTACAATGATCGACATCGATTCTATCCATTCATGTGGAGCGTTGTATCCTTTTTGACCAATAGCATTGTGCTGTGGGCGGGACATATTAGTCCCGCCTCTGGGCCTCAGCCTCTGTCATTCTCGAGCGGATAGTTTTGTTGTCAAAATGGAGTTCTTACTTGGCAATCCATTCAGCACTCCCGTGGGTCAAAATATAGGTACGTTATGCTTTAAATTACTTATTTGAGCCGTAATACTACCTCTATTATGTGTAACGTAAACGTGGACAGGCGGAAGGGTGTTTTCTATGAGGATTAAAGGCACCCTGTGGTCGCCCCAGTGGAAATAGCCTGCTAGCAAGCATCATTGCAGCAAACGTCATCTACTTCGAATGAGCTTTTTGCTAATGTTAGCAAGATAACCCATCTAATTTATTAATCCAGTATAATCAGATATGTTTGCTTTTATGTGAAAAATGAATTGGCATAAGAAGGAATGGCTTCGGTAGTGAAGTGACATGGTTTGAAGTGTCATGTTAAAGTTCAAAATGTCAGTGAGTCCACAGTGGATGATCAGCCCAGGTTGTTTTAGTATTAAATCTCAGTTTGTTGTACAAAGGAGAACTGAGGCGTTTCCTACCACACCCTTTGTTGTGGTTTCGGCTTTATTTGCATGTTCGCAGATTTGTTTGCAAAATCTGTGCAGAGATCAGCAACTGAAGAAGAGTTGACAAGGCTATGACTTTGCTGTGCCTTTATCATAACAGTACACATGAATCTAAAGAAGGTTTAATGTCACATCTTACGTCAAATAAATAGTTTTCTGTGTTTGTTTAAGTGTGTGTGTTGCTGGAGATTGCCGACAACATGCAAGAGGATGATGCAATAAAGATGCCACATATTTTCTCTATTGCACCCTGGACTTGGAATAATTTGCAGGACATCTAACAAAAACTTCACACACATCACAAATCTGTCACATGTACTTGCATTGTTTGAGCTGGTCATCTTCCTCGTGTGCTTGGTGCTCTGTCACCATTTATCATACTTTTATTTTTAAAACTATAACAAGTATGCTGTCTATGCGAGGTCTTCCTCAGATAGATTTCAATCTCATGGATCTTCCTGGTTAAACAAAGACTAAATAAATAAGTAGTCTGGTTGCAACAAAGTGTTTATTTAGCTTACTTTCTTATCAGGTAATAACATCTAGCAGGGCTTAGTGATACGAAAGAATCAGCAATGTAGACCAACATGAACACACTTTTTTCTTGGTTTTAGTTGATAAACTCTTGCTTCGACTTGTAAACATTTAGACTTTTTGAAATTCCACTTTAAAGTGTAAAAAATCCTCCAGAGTTCACCCAGCACTTCCAGATTTTTCTCAGTGGAGCCTCTGCCCAACAGATGTGAAACATACATGCAGCAGCTGCCTCAGAGGCAAAATTGATTACATACTGTCTTTTGTGTGTTAGAGTGGAACAAGCTGCTGATGTGTATAGATCTCAGTAATCCTCAAGGTTTGACCCAGCATGTCCTTAACTTAAAATGTGCAGTGCTTTAATCAAGTTTCTTAGAGCACTTGGATAGAAACAGTTTGGATGAAGGACAAGGATGAGATTTAGAGGGCCTTTGGTTTGACCTCTGGCCCCATTTGCTTAATGCCATGTCATTCATTCTTCATGCCCAACTGTAAGCATCACCTTGAGAATTTTATTCTACAGAGATCCTTTTAATTTGCGCATGCAGCAGACTGTTTTTAGCATATCTTGGATTCACCCTGTGCAAGGTTGTACAGTCAGCGTTTTCTGCTGCAGTGAGACTGTACACCACAGATCTGCTTACCTGAAACAATGACAGAGGAGACTGATAAGGGAGGAATGCATTGTGAGGAGCTTTATTTAGCTTTTTCATTTCCTGTATGTTTCTGAGACGGTGGCAGAAGTGTGCGAGGCAATGAATGATCTTTTTCATGCTGCAGTTAACTCAGTAAGGACGGAATGAATCGACAAGTGGAAAATGTGCAGAGAAAGGAAGAGTCTTAAAAGGACAAAACGTGGGGAGATGACGCCAGGGAAGGACAGAGATTTGTGTTTAAGTTGGCGGTGCGTGGCACAGCCTGCCACCGTTAAAGCCATGTGATGGACTGTGGTGTCGATTCCCAGGAGTGGGAGGGGCGTTGGGGTTGACACAACATCATGAATGAATGCACTAAGCAGACTTTCACCTTCATTAGTGAGACTGTAGTTGTACAGTGTTATTCTATCCGATTTCACAGGAAGAGATCAGGTTGTTCTTTTCTTCTTTCCCCCTGGTAACCCTTTACTCTGTCCGCCATTGACCTGGCAATCTACTTGCAGGGATTACATGGATGTCCCGGTGGCAGAAGCTGGCTCTTCTAAACGTACTCTTGACAGGCTCAGCACTGTGTTTTTAAATGTTCCTTATGTTCATTTTTTATGACTCCTTTGTTTGAAAATAAAGGTCTTTTGTGTCTGTGCCTTCCAAGTCTGTGAGGACTTGATCAGACACGGGGGGTAGAGAGCATAAATAAGTCATGGCTGTCAGGCTTGTCCAATGTGGAGCTTCCTAAAAGGAAAGCAAAGCGGCCCAGTGAGAGGCTCTCAGCCTGGGCATGACAGCTTGCTCGGGGCCCTCTGGGCTTCAGGGAGAGATGCTCCTCCTGTCCAAGCTCAAGAGTCGTCTAATGAGAATCTATTGAGTGTCACTCACAGCAGCTCGGTCACAGCTCGCTTCGGTTAAAAAACCTTTTTCTCTGATTCACTTTCAATGCCTCTCAACATGACCGCCAGCCTGAAAGTCATCAGCAGTCACAGATATGATGATGGATGGATTCAGGGGACAGGAGAGGAAGGAGGAGACGGAGAGGAACACAGCGATGGCTGCGCTGGCAGTTCATCATATTGTCTGGATCCCATTATTAGCTGTCTGTAGTCTTTTAAATAATGGAGTGTAAAAAGAGAAAGCAGGTGTCTCCTCCAGCTTTTGGTTCTTTTAGTGGACTTAATGCAGTTTTGAAGATCCCAACAACAGGTGTAGGGCATATTTCAGGGCACATGTGGCGCCCTAAGGAAGACAATGCTGAGAAAAGTAAACAAGAATTGCATTAGTCTGATTTGTGTCCTGATTCCTGACCTAAGACCTGATCCAACCCTTGAACGGAGATTAGTTTGCAGTGAGGCTATTAATGGATCTCCCTTGAGCAGACTGTCCACACCTTAGAACAAGTAGTGACAAAGCATGCTCTCCTGAATTGACGTGTTGTATTACTTTGCTTACTTTTGCATTTCTCAGGTTTTCAGAAATATAAAATGTAATAAACGCTTAATATACCGTAGATTCATAAGCCGCCAATATGCTACTAATTAGCATGCTAATAAGCTACTAGTTAATGGTGCATATTGTGACCTTTATTTTAAGTGTTACATTAAGTGTGGGTTGTTTTAATTCTCTGTATTTAATTTAGCTTGAGTTGAGTTAAATGTATCATCATGCCAACCACTGCGTTGGTTAGCAGGAAGCTAACAGCTGATAGCGAATCAAAAGTTAAAACGTACTACAACCTAAAGCATAAAAGTTTGGGGTTGTTCAGTAACTACAATTCAGGTATCACTGTACTCAGATGAATCTAAACTCGCTTTGGAACATCTTTGTTTTGGGCGGCTGTAGTTCAGTCTGTAGGGACTTGGGTTTGGAACCAGGGGGTCGCTGGTTAATGTCCTGATGAGGACCAAGTCTGGAAATTGGTCTGGTAGCTTGAGAAGTTCCAGTTCACTTCCTGAGCTGTGGCATCTCTCCATTTGTGCACGTCCATAGGATCCAGTTTGTGTATTTCAGCCTATGTGTGTGTTGCATGTTCAACAACAGAGTGTAAAACTGAATTTCCCCTCGCAGGATAAATAAAGTATATCTTCTTCTGTGATTGTCATTTTGTTTTGGTGGTGAACAATGTTGAGTCTCTGTACAAAAACACTTTCTTCCTGTCACATAGCACATATAACTGTGAATAAAGACACACTGAACAATAACTTGGAAATTACAATATGTAAATTAAAACTTTCTTTTTTGGTGTTTTATGCAGAGAGGGCGACAGATGGAGGCTTACAGAATGAAGACTGGACCCTCAACATGGAGATCTGTGACATCATCAACGAGACAGAAGAGGGGTGAGTCTCGAGTTAACCACTGCTGTGTTATACTTAAGATTATTTAATATTTACTAAAACACTTCTGGTATCTGGATTTCAGCCTGAAACTGTCATTGTTATGTCACACAACGACACAGTGATGTACTGTAAATAATACACTGACTACTGTGCTTCACCAACAGACACAACACTACAAACAGCCTCTTGTTTTCTCCAGGTCAGGTGTCACACACACTGAAATAACGACACTCAGTGTGTATAAAGGACATCTATTACTCTTAATCCTATCTGGAACTCAAAGATCAGAGTTTATTTAGTCAGACAGTGTTTAAAAATCAAAATTTGAGGGAATGGAAAGTTAATTAAAAAGGTAAAAACTCTCGAAGGTTCCAGCATTTTGTTTTGTAATGTCAGATATTGTAGAAGCATTTTCTTTTTTCGGTAACACTCTACATAATAACGTCATGACAAATTTATCTTGTGGCTGTTTACGTAATTCTGTGTGCACTGTTGTTTGGGTTTTTGATCAAATATATGAAGATTACAATGAGAGCACAGTAGGTTCTGTTTTCTCATGCTTGAAAGCCAGACTGATAAAGATGATTAAAAATACTCCTGTGTGTGGCCTAGTGGTTAGTGTGTGTATCCCATGTACAGAGGCTGTAGTCCTTTAAGCGAGCGGTCTGGGTTTAAATCTGACCTGTGGCTCCTTTCGTTCCGTTCTCTCTCTCTCTCTCTCTCTCTCTCTCTCTCTCTCTCTCTCCCTGATTTCGGACTCTATCCACTGTCCTGTCTCTCTAATGAAAAAAAGCCAATAAAAAAAACAAGATGATTCCTGCATTGGAAACATTACAAGGTGACGTAAATTAAAATCAGGAAACTGTACAAACAAAAGGAAAATATCTGAATGCAACAAAGTGTCCCCTGCAAATGTTCCTCTGATATATTATATCATAAGATTATTATTACCACTCATGCTTTAATATAAAAGCACAATTTATCTAATTTTCGCTATTTTTAAAGAGCTCCAACATGAGATCATTTCATTATTGATGGACACTTTGACAAATTGATCCATGACAAAATAATCAACCAGGTGTCCTGTAAATGTTATCCTGAAAACACCTCATTGAATTTTTCTGCAATAAGACAAAAGGAAGAATTTCCCTCGCTGTCTTGGACATTTTGAGACAAGTAGATTAATTCTTCTTTTAAGTTATTTTTAAGTGTCCCACAGTACTTAAACACCACATGGTAAACGCACCTTCACATCTTTAAAGTCTTTAAATTGCTCCACCAAATAAAGTTATGTTCAAAGATTGTTGGCAAGTGACTCCAGAGACTCCATGAATCAGCCTACAATAAAAACATGTCTCTGACCTCAGCCAACCTCAAAGAAAAACATTGTTTGATAATCTTCATTTCGTGTATTTATAGGGATGTGAATGTTCATAAAAACCATGAATGCAGAGAATGTTTGAGGAGGGTGAACACTGGATTCTGTCTTTTCCCTCAGCACTTTTCCATTTTCCTCTTTTTCACTGCTTCTCACATTCTTCATGCCTACACACACTCATTGTCTTGGCATGCGACATGAGGCCCTCTCTGTAATACCCAGAGACACACACACACACACACACACACACACCCTCCAGACACTGAATTTCTTGTCCTCAAAATATTCATAAAGTTAGAAAATGTCGGGTTAACTCCGGACTCATTCATTCAATTCTGAAAATTGAGAATAACTTTTTTAACACGTTGTCTTAACACATACTGCTGTGTCAGAGCTGCAACAACAAGTCAGTTTATTAACTAGTTGGCACTAGTATGAGTTGATAAGCAACACTTTTAAAAATCATTTAGAGTTTGAATCATATCATGAAAGACAAAGATGTCAAACTTACCTCATTTCAGCCTCTTCAATGTGAATATTTTCTGATTTCTGACCATTTTCTGACATTTTTAGACCAAATAAGGAATCATTTCATCAAGAGACTGACCCACAGCCGATATTATACATCATCATCAGTTGCAGCTACGTCTTTTGTGCTTTTAAAGTAATCAGTTTTGCAATCTCGACTCCCTTAACGACATATAATATGAGCTTAAAAATGTATTTTTAAGATGTATGCACTTTCAACAACCAGTCTAATTCTAATCAGAAATTCCCCTTAAAACACACACGCACACTCACATGTAAAGACATCAGACTTGATACTCTTCTTTAAACTCTTCACCTCTGACTCAATAAATGTACTGTAACTATCGAAGAAGTTCATAAAAACGTATGAGGCATCATTCACAGTGACAGTTTGATGCAGATAGCTAAGTTGAGCTCCTCGCCTCCGAGGAAACAAACAATCATACAGACAGTATAGAGAGAAACAGATGCTGCAAGGATTCTTCTCCATCTTTGTAAAACAGCTACACTGACAATGTGACTGGTGTCTGTTATGGTGACACCACAAAATTATTTATTCCAACAAAGTCAGAGATGTTCAGCTGCATCTGCTATTTCCCTCAAGGCCAAAAGACGCCATGCGGGCTCTGAAGAAGAGGCTCACCGGTAACAAGAACTACAGAGAAGTGATGCTGGCGCTAACAGTAAGAAGTTCTTTTATTTTAGCTGATGTTATAGAACAAATCGAGGTGCGTTATGTGTCCAAGCATTATGCAGACCTTGTATAAAACCAGATCTTTTGTTCTCTGCTGATAATTCAAACCCATTTTCCTGGCCTCTTTTGGAGGAGTTTTTTGTTCATTTTGACCCCTTGTTCATATCCACCCACTTCTTTTATGGCTCTGTGTGTGATGAAAGCATCTTGGCTGAGTTCTTTTGTGAGCCCAACACAAGCAAATTCTTTTTCTCTGCCACCTCATTTGCAGTTTTTTGTCTATTCACCATGTTTTCGGTCTCGGTTAATCCCTTTTTTCTCTGAAGGTTTTGGAGACGTGTGTGAAAAACTGTGGCCACAGGTTTCACGTCCAGGTGGCCAACAGAGATTTCATCGACGGCGTGTTGGTCAAAATCATCTCGCCCAAGACCAATCCTCCAACCATCGTGCAAGACAAAGTTCTGTCGCTCATACAGGTGAGATATCGGAGCTTCTGGTGTTGGTTTCAGTTTTATTATGTTGTTAAATGTTCTCATGTTCATTGCAGAAGATAACTCCCTATGAATTAACTCACAAAATGCCAAAAACCCTAGTAGATCAGTGATGGTTTGTGGGAGGCCTGGAGGGTGCAATATAATCCACTTTCCAGGTGTTGCACCACAGACTGTAGCTTCTGCTACTGTGTAGTTACCTGATGTCACCTCAACCAACAGGTGGTGTTTCCTTCTCTTTTTCTGAAGCCTTGTAGGTATTTTTTTGTAAATGATGATGAACAAGAATCTGCAGAGACTCATTCTGTTTCTACTTCTGTCTTTTTTTTTTTTTTTACACCATCAGAGAGTGTGTCTGGCAGGAAAGCTCCTTGATCCTTTTTTCCTTTTCTGTTTAGGCTTTGCAAATATGGAAGGACTTTCCTGTAACAAATCTGTGACTTCAAATACCTATTAAGTTTATTGTTTGTCTCAATGTCTATGTGTGTGTGTTGTTGTTGTTGCAGGCCTGGGCTGATGCCTTCAGGAGCAGCCCTGACTTAACTGGTGTGGTTCACATTTACGAGGAACTGAAGAGGAAGGGCATCGAGTTCCCGATGGCAGACCTGGATGCACTATCCCCCATCCACACACCACAGAGGGTGAGAAAACAGTAGAGACACACACAGTACAAAAACATACATACAGTCACATGGCAGTATTCTTAAGGTGTTTTTCCCCCAGGGTACACCAGAGGTAGACCCTTCTATGATAAAGTACCTAGCACCTGCTTCACCAGCTGTTGTGACGACTAGACCTTCCCCGACCCCTGCCTCTGCTGCACAGGATCCCCCGGCGCCTGGCCCCATCACAGCAACCGCTGAACAGGTGTGGGGCGACGACAGAAACCTTTTCAATTGAAATAAGCTTTTGGCTGCACTTGTTGACCACTACTATGACTCACTCTGCCTCCTGCCGTCAAAAACATCGGGCAGAGCCGTTAAGCCCCAACTGTTTTCAAATAACCTTTGACCTTCTGTGCTTTCAGATCGCACGGCTGCGCAGCGAGCTGGACGTAGTGAGAGGAAACACCAAAGTCATGTCGGAGATGCTGACAGAGATGGTCCCTGGACAGGAAGATGCCTCTGACCTCGAACTGCTTCAGGTTAGGGGACCATAATCCGCTGCTCTATTTTCTCTGAGTACATGCCTTTACTTATGTTGTGACTGCTGTTTTTGTGCTTTGTATTCATTTGAAGTTAATACAGTTTTAAGTAGTTTTAAAATAGAATCCAATCAGAAGACAGTTTTTAGCAATGAAATATGACACACTGTTATAGATATTACCTCAAATAGCTTCCGTCAGCTGGGAAGTGTTATAATTCTCTGCATCCACCAGGGGGAGTAGTGTCTTACATTATCAGAGGAAAGTTTTGACCCGCCCACTCTTATCAAGAAGTGGCTGAGGTTAAACTCCTTGAAGGGGTTATTAACCACTGGAGCAGATATTCATGCAAAGTTTAATCCACTGGGATAAGGTCCTCGAGCAAATTGTAACATTTTATGATTTTTTTATTTATTGGCAAATATATCTGACATGTGCAACACTGAATGTAATGAAAAATATAGTTCTTTATAGTACACAGGAGTTAACATGCCAGCTTTATACAATGTTCTCCTCATTTATGGATCATTATTAGTTCTAGCTCCTTTTTTTGTTTTTGTTTCTATTTTTTTTTAATTGATGAATCTGTTGGTCATTTTGGTTGCTTTATAAAGGAGCTGAACAGAACCTGCAGGGCCATGCAGCAGAGGGTAGTCGAGCTGATTTCCCGCGTCTCCAACGAGGAAGTGACCGAGGAGCTTTTACACGTCAACGATGACCTCAACAACATCTTCCTCCGATATGAGAGGTACGATCCATTTAAACAACGATGCTTGTTGTAACGCTGCTGTAATTGTCAGAAGAAAAAAAAGTGGTTTAACTGGATGGTTTTACCCATGTTATAAGAAGATGAATTGTTCCAATCATAAATTAATAACTGCTTTTAGAAATTTGCTGATGTGTAACTTCATCCACAGTTTTAACAATGAAGCTCCGGATGTGTTGAGCTTTACAGTGGAGAGTTGGAATGTTTTGATAAATTATTCACAACACGGATTGAAAACATTTCGACTTCAAACACCACAAAGTTCCCGATTCTCTCTGAAGATCGGAGCAAGACTTGTTCCCTTTAAACATTCTGCTGTATTAAACTTGAAAATGTCTCTTTCATGAGGTGTCTGGAGATGAAAAGTGTGTGAGCATTTGAAGCTCACAAAGCTTCTGGTAACACATTAAAAAGGTGTTTTTTTTTGTGCTGCTTGCAGGTATGAGAGGTACAGGTTGGGTAGAGCTGCACAGAACAACGGGGTGAGTATCAGTCTCTCTCCTAGGATCACTTCTTCTCTGCTTTTTTGTTGTTGCATGTTTCAGAACATTTTGAGCCTTTTTATATTTTAACACAGCTACATTAGCATTGCATGTGGCAGTTTTTCCAACACTGAGAGGGTGATATGAGAAATATTTCAAACATATAACCATCCCAAAATATATGTTGTGATTATTTTTGCTGTTTCAGCCTCTGAATTCACGGCTAACGTTTACTCTGTTTTACAGAATCACACACATACCACTGCAGCATTTATATGCATGTTTAGCTTTATTCAAAATTTAACATTGAAACTGGTCATGCAAACCAAACACACAGAGATTAATAAGTATGAGTGCTTTTTTTTCCAGATGACCAGGTTATCTCTTAATACAGCCAACAATATATACAGTATTGTTGTTTTGCATGTTGTTGATATGTCTGTGTACTCTGTGTTTTTGTGTTGTGGCTAGCTGATGGAGGCAAGTATGATGCCATATACCCCATAGATCCATTTGATGTGTCAACACCATTAGCTCTGTGTGAAACTAGATACTATAACAAGATCTTCCTTTCCTCTCCTGCCTTCTGTCTCATACATGTCAAGTCTCTTGAAACAGTTTGTGTATAGCTCCAGTAGAGTCGACTGCTCACCCACACGATGTCTCAGATTGTGTGAATAGTAAATCCTGTAGATTGTAGAAGCTCATGTTTTCTCTCTGTGTGAAGTGCGAACCCTTCAATCTAGGCTTTATCTCTCTCTGCTTGCTGGTCTCTTTGCCAATCATCAAAACCTCAGAAGAGTTGCATCTTGATGTTATTTAACACTTAAATATCAAACAGTTTTATCCTCCTGAGTTAACAATGGGCATTCCATGAGTGCTGATTAAGGTTGTCAACATATTTGATACTTTCTTGATACCTCTACAGAGTTGAAAAGTACTGATACTTTAAAAAAAAACCTTCAGATCATCGGCCATTTTTAGCAATGACTAAACTGCACAAAAACACTGGCAACGTTTTGGCAAAGAAATGTTGCCAACATGTGTGTGCAATTCAGACAGTATGAAGGTGTTTACCTACATTTTTTCATAATTAAAACCAATGCCCAAAACTAGGTGCCTGGTACTTGTATGTCTGTTGCCATGGTAGCAAAACACGTATCGATATTGATTGATTTGGACTAGAATCAACAACAATTGATATCACAGCAAACTGTCTTTGTCTGTCTTGGATCAATGACTCTTATTTTACTGGTTACATCATCAATCCAAACACTGGCTGAAGATGAATCTATATCGTACAAACTAACTGGTCTGCAGTAAAGACTGGACTTGCATTAAGAAGCTGAAGTGCAGGAAACTTTTGTCCAGACCATCAAGTCAAGTTTCAGAAGTTTGAATATGCTGCTTGAAGAGCTGTTGTATCAAAGCAAAATCAAACTGAAGGTGATGCGGTTGTCCTGAATATCAACACGGCTGTAATTATCTTTGACACTCGGCCTGCAGCCGTGCTAACATTCATTGCTGCATCTTGACCTCCAATGGAACATTTCATAATAATTCATGTTTTTTGTAACTTTTGCGAGATGTCCCCCTCTGTTCCCTGTCAGATGTTGAATGAGGCCACAGAGGACAACCTGATAGACCTGGGCCCAGGCTCTCCTGCGGTGGTCACGCCCCGGATCATCTCCAGCCCTACGCCCCACTCCCCCGCCAGGGCCACTGCCTCCCCAGCCCGGGACCCCACTCCCGCCTCGCTATCCACTGCACTAGCTGGCCTTGGTATGAACTAAACGGAAGCAGTTTTATTTTCCAGTGTGGAGATAGAGATTCACTTTCTTTAAACGTTTCATCCTAATCCTCCTTCACTGTCCCTCTGCAGATGTAGCCTCAGAAAGCGTGAGCGGCACCCTTTCTTCTTTACCGGGCCCCAAAAAGGATGACTTTGACATGTTTGCCCAGACCAGGAGCACCTCGCTGGCCGAACAACGCAAAAAGTAGGACACAATTCTGGAGTCTTTTCCATGATGTTGACTGCATACCAGTAGTTGTTTTTTTAATATATATATATCCCATTTGCCCCTTAACCTGGCTTTGCCTGCCTCATCTTCTTCTGAGAGCAATTTACTCCTGCATTTCCTTTAATGACACTTGAATACCTGTAGGGTACAGAAATATATCTGGGGTTGCCTTTGGCTGAATCTAAAACATTTCCGTAAAGAAATAGAATCTGATAAAGAGACCAGGCCGATCTTAAAGTGCACTTCTGTATTTTCCTGACATGATTTTTAGGCTTTTTTTCTGCAGAACAATATTTCTTCTTCTGCTAGTAAAATAAATTAGTCTTTTCTTTGATGATTGTTTGACATGTGTGATTAGTGAAGAGGTCTTCCAACGTTCTCGGTGTAAACCTGATAAAAACTATGAATGTACCCCAGGTTTTGCTTTCTGTATTCCTCCTCTCTATGCAAGATGGTCACAAGTATTATAAAAAAAAACTTTTTTCTAACTTTAGTGTTGCAGTTGTTGAAACATCTTGCTCAATGTTTACATAAACTGTGTAACATTTTAGTATTACATGATCAAAATGAGCATGGAGTGTCACTTTAGTTTTCTCGGATTGGTCACATTTTTAAGGTTATTTTTGTTGATATTTATTTTTCATTCTGCATCCTTCAGGGCTTTATCTTTAACTACGTTGTGTTTTTTTTTGTGTGCAGTGTAACGTATGAAGACCCTCAGGCTCTGGGCAGCCTGGCGTCTGCTTTGGATGTGAGACAACAGAACGCAGGAGGGGTGAGTACACCGATGCAGCCTTCTTTCATCCTGATACGGAGTGCAGGTGCTGTGTTGTTTACATGGCTTGGCGAGCCTTCCTGTCCCAGCCTGTCCTCGGCCTTCGGTCACTCCCTGCATGTGATGATCTGTAATAATGATTGTCCTACAGTATCTTTAGTCCTGCGTGGAGCCATATTTGAACTTTGATCAAAGAGGTGACGCTTTGTGTATTGACTGTTGCCTTTGTGAATAGCTAAACTAAATAACTGGTCAAGTGTGAGGTATATTGATAAGTGAGTACTTGTCATCTTTAAGGATGTGTTCTGGGCGGTAATACACTTTTAACAGTTCACTCTTCATACAGACATCAGCACCTTTTTTTTTCTTCACTTTTTTGTGTAAATCAAACTCCAAACAAATAATTTGTTCTGATAATCAGATATAAAAGTCACATGTTAGCACTCATTTACCCTGTCTGAGCACACATTGCATCATATTTGCATGGTTATCACAATGTACGCAGATGATTCTGAAACCTGAAAAACACACACACACACACACACACACACACACACACACACACACACACACACACACACACACACACACACACACACACACACCCAGGCCCCTTTTTGTTAAGTTAAATTCCCTTTGCCTCTACAAGGTCACATGAGGTAGATCTTCTCTCCTTTGATTTCCTCATTTTCATCATTATGGAATGAACCTTTTATCTTCATTTTCTTTTCGTTCTCCTCCACCTTTCTCTTAAGTGGCAGCCGTCTCTCTTGCATATTTGACTTCTCCTCTGTCTCTCTCTCTCTTTGCACTGTGTGCTATGCTGTGTTGGGGGCTTGCTACCTTTCTTCTCTTGTGTAAGGTGTTGTTCTGTTGTTGATTCAGCTGAGGGTTAAAGGGGATGATAACCCGGCAGATCAGGAGCTGCCCATAGACAGCTGGCTTATTACCCAAGGAATGGTGAGGACTCCATCCTCAGTGTGTCCTCCTCCTACCCCTCCCTCATGTCCGCTATCACCCCCCCTCCTGCGGCATCATCCATAAACCTCATGAGCTGCTTCTCATTTAAAGCCTCATCTCACTGCTCTCTCCTGGAAGACAGCGGTTTCCCCATTTAGAACATGAATTTCCATGCCGAGTACACATATTGAAATCTCACTGCAAAAACTCAAATCTCAGCAAGTTTCTTTGTCTAATATCCAGTCAAACATTTCTGACTATATATCTTATGAGCCACATCCACCTGACAAGTCCAGATAAACATCTTATTTAAAGATTTTACAAGGCAAACTAAGGCCTGCTTTCCTTTTGATACTTAGAAAAATGTACCAATGGGGAAAGCAAATTGTACTTTTGAAGTTTCTTAAACTGTAATTGTCAGGTTTTTTTTTTCCAAGCATTTCAGGCCTAACTTTTTTAGCTTGTAATACCTCAAAATAATATTCTTTTTCTGCATTTCAGGTGCATGTAGCTTATAAAAAATGTAGTGAGATATTTTTGACTAAAAATTAGACGCAACCTGCTAAGATTTGATTTGCAGATTTTTCAGATTTCTTGTTAGGCCGTTTATTAAATATCTGCTTATACTTGTTAAATGAGCTCATTACAGTCAATGTATCCAATCAATGAACAATATTTTTTTTTATTGCAATACATAATGTACATAATGTCTACATGATAAAGTAACATATAGCCTAGTGGTAAGTGTGCGCACCCCATGTACAATACAGAGGCTAAAGCCCTTGAAAGCGGGAAGCCCAGGTTCAAATCCAACCTGTAGGTCCTTTCCCACATGTTGATAATGATAAAAAGATTTACATCAATTCATATAACACACCTATATTGACTTCCCTTTACTGATGCATTCACTACAACGCCTTATAATCCCTTCATTAATGAAAACATGAGCCTGACGGGATACCAGGAGGAACTTCCATCGGCTTGTTTCATCTACTCACAGTCACTCAGTACTAAAACAGCTGAGAAGTACCGATACTTCTGCTACACAGCAACGCCCCGACTGTTAAAGTAGTGACAGATGAGGAAGTGGAAAGTGGCCGCTGTGTTTCAGAGAGTATTTGTCAGCTGCCCCTTTAACTGTCTTTTAGCCCTGAGATAACATAAGAGAACATTAACAACAACCTCACTTTCACACTAACCAGAAGTAGATTAGCAAACTAACCCAAATTAAAAGATGTCATTTTTCCAACACTGTTTTGTTGAATGCACTTTTCTGCAACATTTTCTCACCTGTTCACACAGCTGCATGTGTGTGTGTGGTTTTTTTTTTCATGTGAATGACTTTTACTTCTCCACTGCCTTATCCTTTGATTATGAAGCTCCTTCACTGCGTTCACCATGATGTCATGACAAGGCCTCAGATGCTTAAAAAAATAAAGTTCAGGTCATCTTCAAATGTGGACATTTGTAGAATTGTGTGTAAAATCAGTGTCTGTTCTGCTTTTGAACATAAAAAGGCAATCAAGTCCCTTTATCGTTCCCCAATCCCCCAGCTGCAGCTTCCTTTTTTAGTGTCATATGATGCAACACATTTTCACTTTGTACCCGCACAAAGATGAAAACAAACTCACTCTGCCCATGTTGAAATGGCTTTCATCATCACCGTGTGTGTGTGTGTGTGTGTGTGTGTGTGTGTGTGTGTGTGTGTGTGTGTGTGTGTGTGTGTGTGTGTGTGTGTGTGTGTGTGTGTGTGTGTGTGTGTGTGTGTGTGTGTGTGTGTGTGTGTGTGTGTGTGTGTGTGTGTTAGGGTTGTCAAGATACCAGAATTTTAAATTTTGTTACGATATCAGTAAATATTAAATAATATCAATACCTGTTTTTTTTTTAAAACCACAGCAACAAAAATAGAAAACCTAGGCACCCAATGTTGGGTAATTTCTTGTTTTTAATGACCATAACTACAAGTAAACTTCTGCACACTTTCTCCATTGCACAAATACACTGACAATGTTTTGGTATTTTGTGCAACTTAGACAGTGTCGCCTCCTTTGCTCTTTCAGTGTTTGTTAGAGACTTAAATGATCATTATGAGATGTCAAAAGGTCTTGAGAAACATCGGTATTTGCAGACCTGTGAACTTGAATGAACCACTGTTGCTCACTCTCTCTCTCTCTCTCTCTCTCTGTCTCTCTCTCTCCTGGTAGCTTTTAGTTAAAATTATGTATAAAAATCAATTTTTTGATTAAGTTATTTTACTCTCCGATACTGTTGAAATATTAAAATATCAGGGATTGCATCGTTTCTACCAGAAAGTATCAAAGTATTGAACATTTTGACAACCTTAGCGTGTGTGTGTGTGTGTGCAGCGTGTGTATGCCGTGTTGGATTAGCACTGCCTCTTGACGGTCCCTGTGCTTTCAGCTTCTCCCATCCAATCAATTTTCTTAATCACATTCAAGCGATTTGTTAATTCACTAATGATGTGGAATAATGAACGCTGCAGAGTGACATGAGTTGGCAGCTGTTAAGCCATGTCAGCACTCCAGAAGTAATGAGAATAAAACACAGCCTGGGAACTCCTGTTCTCATTGAAGACGTCGCACATGATGAATCAGTCAGCACAGACTTGAAAGGGGCATGTGTGACTTTTGAGCAACTTTCATTTTGTTCTCACTTTGATTTGTTTTATCATCTCCCTCTCCGATCCTCTGGTTCTATTCTTGTTATTTCTGTGTGTTTGGTGTTTGTGCTTGTTTTTTTTACTATTTTTCTTTTGTTGTCGGGTTTGGGTGTCTTTCTGTTGTGTGGCTCTGGTGCTACCCCTTGGTTTGTCCATGGCTTTGCTCCATAGATCCCCGTATCGCAGTCCTCTGTAATGGATGACATAGAGGAGTGGCTCTGTGCTGACGTGGTGAGACCGCTTTACCTTGATTTATATCTGTCTCTCTCTCTTCTCCCCTCACTTTATTTATTTATTATTTTTCTTTGACAGCACCTTTCATTCAGCCACCTCATACAACTGAAGACTTTTTAATTTGAGTTTCCTTTCATGTCACATCCTCTCATTCACTTTCAACTAACTGATTTCCACCAATGACTGACTTGTGTAACCGTTTACTGCGAGGTTGGACTTACAAATGTATCCCTAATGACAGTCGAGTTGAAAGAGCTTCCTGAACAAATGCATGTGGAGGTTGAGGAGTCGTGCTCAAGACGGTTCCTTGTCGTCTTCACCTGCAGAAACGTTGGACGATGCATGACTGTCGAACCCTTAATGAGTGTGGATGTTCTCTGTGTGAACCGTGCAGACATTTAACTTGTATGACGATTTTGTGCAACAGCTCAACCTGCACACACAGGTTGTTTTTAAAGAAAGAAAACTGCATTAATGGTTCTGCAAATTTGTGTTTTAAATCTCATGACTGTACTCTTTATTCTTAGGTAGGGGATACTGCAGAGGAAGGGGTGACCAGTGAAGGTAAATACTGATTAAAATGTAGTAATGTTTTTTCCCCTCATGCTGATTCCAAACATACTCTTTCATCGCTAAAACGTCAACTCTCCATGTCTCTGATGATTCAATTTGTTTGTATCAGAATTTGACAAGTTCCTGGAGGAGCGAGCGAAGGCAGTGGACTCTCTGCCATCTCCCCCTGGAGCTGACCCTGCTCAACCCGCCCGGGCCCCCAGCGCAGGCTCCCACAAGAAGGCTGAGCGGACAGAAGACACCCTCTTTGCCTTGTAGACTGTTCACAGCGAGCCTCCATCGCCCTACGTGATTCCTCCAAAACAGTCCTGTCGGTCTTATTTCATCGCCTGCTGGCAGCGGTTGTAGCAAGTGATCTCCACCTCGTTGTCGTTCTCATGCCACAGTGTTGCGCTAACATGCAGAGGTCTTATGTTTACTGTGCACAGCGGTGTTGCATTATACAGTATATGGATGTATTAATCTGTTAATATGGGATGTACTACTCGCAGCCCTGCATCTATTTTGTCACGCGCCACCAAAGGAAGACATCCCTGCTTGTCTGATGTGGTTGTCAAAATGTAGTATATTACTGCGAGATAAAACGGAAACAGTTCCCTGCAGGTCAAAGCATCGAGTCAGTATGGAAGAATACAATAAGGGTTATATTGTGTTGTTTAACTACATTAAACTACATAGCTTATTGCTAATGTATGCATTTATTGTTTCAAATGTTTGCTCTTTACTATGTACAAGCGCTGTGGTAAAATTTGCTCCATGCATTTTTTTTTTTCCCCACAAAAACTCCAGTTAGGCCCCGTGTCCACTAAGCGTTTCTTTCTGAGCTCCAGCGTCTTTTTTTCCCAATTGTTTTCAATGAGGAGAAAGCGTATGGAGCAGCAGGCGGCCGCTCGGAGAAAAAGTGCAGCGCCCAGTGTCTTTTTTTTCCGAGCCGCGAGCACTCCGCCATTTTTTGTGCGGCCGCTCCCGAGCAATCAAATTGAAAATCGTTCAACTTTTCAGAAAGGTGCTGTTGACGTCTCCGGCACTCTTTTCCAAATGTTTAATATTCCCTGTAGTCGTGTCTTGTACCCACATCCTCTTTGCGGGTAAAGTTTGATCGGTAAATAAAGGATCGAAAATAAAAAACAACGGAGCAGTGTCGGTCATACACCGACCGTTGTCATAGAAACAGGATGGATGTGCAGCGCTTTTCTGCCCGGACAAAACGCTAGGCGGACACACGGGGCCTAGCTCTACAGTAGTTGTGCTTCTGAGATATGGGTTGAATGGCAACAAATGTCAATACTCGATTTTCCTGAAGTAGCAGTGTGGAGAAAAAAATGTATGTCAGCAGGCTATTTTTGCTAACTATGACTATAAGAGCTAAATCCTAGCTAATCTTAAACGAGTGTATGCCAGCATTCCTTTAGCCAAAGGGAAAAAGACACAAAAATGGAAAAGCACTACAGCAGTTTGGGGTTGTCTGTTATGTTTATATAAAAACAAAATGACTAAAGGGAAGGAATGTGTCCATGGAATATTTCCCATCGTCCTTTTCAGTCCTCTGAAAAGCTACAACAAACTAGCTTAGACAAGCTCTTAAATAACTGCAAACACTTTTAGCCATTCCAAAGATTATTAAGGCTTTAACGACCAATTAGCACTGAGTTCAGCCTGTCGAACAATAATCATGTTTATATGTTGTAAATGTTTAGAGATCATGAGTATTTTCCTTCCCCCTGCTACAGTAGTGTCTGTTTGCTCTTTGATGCAAAAAAACAAATATATGTATTTTGTCCTTTTGTGTTTACAAGATGGTAACTATTTTTCTAGGGGGAGGGGGAAAAGTCCCATTTTGCACAAGAGTCTTGTAATTGTTTCTAGCCGTGTTTATTCTGATAGAATTAGATCGACAGAGGGTTAAAACTTAAGATGGCAAACATCTTTGAATCACGGTCAGAATTGCAAATAGATACAAGACAAAATAATGGCATTTAAACTCTCTGGCACATTAATCGACTAAAGACAATACATATAGCTTACAGAAATGCACGGTTATTAAGGATGTATTTATATCAGTAGACCCTCCTGACTCCATAAAATGATTATATACCTCAAAATACAGAGATGAAAGTTTCTGTATCTGAATGACAAATGTATAGGCCCAGAGTAAATCCAAAAAGCAGAGAGGTTTGTGTTTTATTTGATCCCCTGATTGTATTTTTTAATAGTTTATGTAAAAAAAAAAAAAAAAGAATCTTGTTTGTACCCATCATCATTTATCTTTTTTTGTGGTTGAAAATAAGCATGTGGCAAACGGACAAAAATCATTCTTCCTTTGATTCGAGCAGTCAAAGATGTATTTTGATTCTCTGCACATTTCCTCTCTTGCATGATTCAGCTGCTCTCGTTTGGAGCTGCTGCAAAGCATCTCTGTAAATGACTGATGTCAGCTCAGCAGCTCTGTCTGTAGTTTTTCTTTGGTGTGACGATGTTCACACTTTGAGACAAAAATCAATGCGTTCTTCATTCAATTTTTTTTCCTAATGCTGTTTTCTGAGTTTATTAATTTTCCACTTTTCAGTCTTGTAATGATGAAACGCTTTTTTAGCCATGCATCAAAATCACTTCAAATTCGAGTTATCTATTATCAGTGTAGGCCTAGAAGCAGAGGGAAGTATTTAGGATTTATCACACTTGTTTGCAGGAACGCGGTTTTAACATTTTAAATGATTTGTCTAAAATATTTTAGTTTATAAAAATAATAACTGAGCTTTAACTTTTTTTAAATGCTGTAAGGTAACATTATATATAGATTAATATGGTTGCCAGGTTACTGAGATAATAGCGTTAAATTTACAATCAATGTGGTGTTCACTTTAAAAAAAAACATTTTACCAAGAGGGCTGAACAAAGTTGATTACTAAAAAAAGGAAAGAAACTAGAGAGTATTTTTGAGAGTGTGTGTACGACGTTTTATTTTTTTTATTTGCTTTTATGAGGTTTAAGTTCTGATTGCAACATGTATTCCTCAGAGCTTTTGCTATCTAGAAAAAGGTAACTGAATGTCTTTTAATACTGGTGAAGCAGAACTGTTTGCTGATGTTATATGGACATGGAAATAGAGGGTTTGTTTTCTGTTGGTCGGTGTCCCATGTCTGCTGCCATTACTAATGGTCAGATTTCTGTTTGGCCTAATGCACGTATTTAACTGCCCAATAAAACACTAGCAATGTGTGACCTCTACCTCACAACTGTTTGTGGTTATTTATTTACATTGAAGGGCCGGGCGACAATATCCTGCTTCTCCTGTGTGAGCATGCTGATGCAACCCGCCCTCAATCTTGCACTGCACAGGCCCATCAGTGCCACATTACCCACTTCTACCACCTGCTTTAGTCCCGTCTATGGACACGTCATCCATTTAGCAGGAATAATAGACACAAATAAACCAACCTAAGTCACACAGTGTTTTTCTTTAAATAGAGTTTTCCTCATTTAGTTGCTTGTAGAAGATTGCTTTCAGGTTTCTAAAATCAAGAATGCAAGGAGGGATATACAAACACTCAACAATACCATTTGTTTATTTACATTGGATCCACATTAGTTGTTAACCGCAGTAACAACTATTCTCCCTGGGGTAACAATACTCCACTCCCCATTACTAACAACAACTTTGTCATGCTACTCTAGGTCACTGACCTATTTCCCCACCATGCCTCATGTGGGGCTGCCTCTTTGTTTTCATGTTACAGCGTGCTCACACAGTATGGATTAACTTGAGCAAATCCAAAAATAAAGTTTGCCTTGCTCTTTGTTTACATTATGAATAATTGATGTGGGGTTGTTTACTGGAAAAAACCCTCACTGCACAATTCTTAATTAGTTATATAACTCTAATGACAGGATGGATTGAGTGTTTTTTTATATTTTTAGAGCCAAAACAAACACTTTTTTCCCCCAACTTGTGTCCTTGCATGTTATTTCCCTTCTCCAGTCCAAGATAGATACACATGATGTAATTTCTGTACCAGAGATGTGACGTCAGATCACCCCACTCGGATCCTGAGCTTCCCATTGGACCATTTCACTGGTTCTACAGGAGGAGCCGCCGCTTCGAGTCAACCGAACTTGGTTTTCACAAGCACACACCCACTCGGCTCTCATAGGCTGTTGGGGGCAAGCCCACAAAAAAACACATCCATGCTGTTTCACCCATAGACTTTATTATTTACAGTCTATGTGGTTTCACCAAAAAACACAGTTATATGACATATAATCCTGATAAAGATGTGTGTACTAGATTGTAATGAACACAGACTCATTTTATACTATGGGAGAAACGATAAACATATTTAACACAGGGTTCGATTATGTTAGTGTAATTTTCAGATGGATCCCTTTAGGTAATTTTGAAGAGATGTTTCACTTTTAGGTATTCACCAAATGTAATTTTCTCTGTTTATTTCCATTTGAGTAAATAATGGTGTGTGCTCCACACCTCTTCAGTCAAATAATCAAAACAACCCTGAGGAGCACTGCGACGTGGGAATCCAGTGCAAACGCGCCGATTGGCTGGCTCGCCTGTCAATCAACAGCATAGGCTAGGAGGGTTCGTGAAAGCACGTTTGTGCTGAATGAGCTCCGGTGTTTGGCTCGGCTTCACAAGTTTCCCCTGGACGATCATGGGGGCAGGAGTGTGTAGTTAATTGACACAATCAATACAAAGTTTCCGCTCACTTTGCGCGTGTTTCGGCTTCACCTGGACTCGTTTTGGCAAATGTGGGACCGCAGGAGGTTTTGAGGTTTCTTACCCCTGAAGAGCGACTGATCAGAAGTCTCACATTGGAAAGCCAGACACAACAGTAAAGATGAACAGCCTGTCTTTTGACGATCCTTCGCTGGATACTCTGGATCCAACGTTGTCGCTCAATGATCCCAGCGACATCGACACGGTCCTCTTAAGCGACATTGATGGTAAGACAACTTTAGCATAACAGTTGCTGCTAGCTAATCCGGTGTTAGATCGAGATCTGCTACCTTGTCAAAAAATGCTAACATTTTTAGCATTTTTTGCTAGCGTAAAACTATAGCAGATCTGTATCTATATCCCCTATCAGAGATCTGTATCTGTGACCCTTATCACAGTATGAGGAGCAAGTGTTGGTGCTGCTATGTTATTGAAGATGTCAGAGGAAGCGTATCTCTATTCTCAATTATCCCAATATGATAATGCTCCCAGCACATAATCACTTTCAAACAACACTGCTCGCTGCATATGCACAGCCTAGAATCTGAAGCATGTTTTGATACTCTGAAAAAACTGCATTTCATATTTTAGAGGTAGCATTTCTGGATGGAGGAAAAGCCCCCTGTACTGCACTTAGCCGCTTGGCATCATCTTAATGGGTAGCACTATTCGACAGAACACCTGTTCTGCTTATTGCTTGCTATACAGCTAAACTATTATGACTACATGTGACTCCCACATGCAATGTATGTGTTTAACTCGTCATTTTAACTTGCTTGTTACATTGTAAATACCAATTCGAAGTACCATAAAAAGAGTTTTAGCTTTAGCCTAACATATGCTTTCATTAGCCACCGTTAGCCAACCACCAGGCTAGCTACAATGCTTTGGGGTTTTGCTTGATGAATGTTGTCTCACAAGGCGTTTTCTTTGTTTTCTTTCACTATCGGAGCCGGCTGTCATAATCTTACTGCACAGTAACGACTAGCCGATTATTGCAGCGGGTTAGTGAAGCTATTAGGTGAAGCTATCTGAAGCTAAAGGGTCGTGAGCACCCCGCCCCCCCAGCCTGCTCCATCAGGAGGTTACTGCCGTTCATTCCTCCTTGAGTTGAGTTCACTGAGGCTCATTGAATTAACCCATATTACATTTACACGTTTTTGTCAACGTATAAAAAGTCGTGTTGTCACTTCGAGTCATGTCAGCTTTAAGTTTTAAGCTCGAGTATTTTCTTTCTCACACCTTTTAGCATCAAAAATTGCGTTTTCCAATTTACTCTTATTCTATCAGAGTCACATTTTCTTCAGACGTTCAGAGATGCATAGAAATGATTACATGGTAAGGCTTAACTGAGGTGTCATATTTCTACTTAAGATACTCCAGTAACATCCACATGTTGGTAGTAGTCCAGGTGTATTTGTTACTGTGTGTACTGCTGGCGGTCATGGATAGATAGCCTGCAGCCACTTTCCAAATTTTGACCGACAGTAACCCTGGGTGTTGCTGCTCGATAGTAACCTCATGCGCAGTTACAGACAGACTCTCTCTCTCTCTTCGTGTCTTGGGCTGATCGGCATAGCAAGTCTCAGAGAAGCGCTCTGATTGGTCCAAAGCGATCACCTCATACAAAACACTGGATTACAAATCCGGGCTGCTGCGTTTGTCTGCAGACACAAAATTCACTCAAAATGTCAGTGTTTTTTACAATATGTAGCAGGTGAAGTCTGAAGAAAAGACAAGTGTAATTATTGTGAATGCGACATCTTTATTGAGGAGCTTGTAACAGCGCCTGTGAATAAAGTGAAAGCACATTGCTGTCACATGAGCGTCCCCTGAATTTATCCACCACAGTAATGAATATGGAAAAAGTCAATTTAGGAACATTTTAAGATTTGTAAAAAAATAGTGAATACTTGCATATTTAAGTACATTTTATGCCATAATACTTTGGTCAAAGTACACTGGACTTTGTCTAATAGCTCCATGATTACTTTTGATTTATTTGTTATATGGTTGAGATTAAATAATCTCTTTGCCAAGAGTGTCCTGACCAAGACAGATAACAAAGTTTCAAACAACAAGCAGCCATGCATACAATCGTAATAAAATGCATGAAATAATAAGTATATCTGCGTATATTTCTCAAAATCATTCCACAATTAAAAAAATGTATGGGTGGTAGGAAATCTCCAGCAAAATAAATAAATGACTGAATATAAATAGCCGGGGTCGACCAACATTACATTTAAAGTGTACAGCTTATGTTTACCTCTGGTGCTTGGTGGGTTTGCACTTTTTCTTCAGCATGCAGTGAAAGTGTAAATACATTTAATTAAGATAATTATCCAATTTAAGTCTCTTAGCTGCCCCCGACATTAGTTTGTTAAATTGTTAGTGCTCTCTCTGCACTTACTTACAACATAACATTGCTCATGTGGGTTTGATGCTTGGTTTACTAGAGAAGGTGAAATGAATAAGCTAAACTGACGACCAAATACTTTCATAAATTAGGAACTGGTTCTAGTTTTTTTTTTTTTTTAAATTCAGACCTAACTGATGATAAATAGTTTTCCTGTGTTTGTGCTCCAGAGTGATCTTTCTGTCCTTGTATGTAGCTGTGAGTGATGCTGATTTCTCCCCCTCTTCAGACATGCTACAGCTCATCAACAACCAGGACATGGAGTTCGGAGGGCTGTTTGATAACCCTCCGTACACAGCGCCAGCTCCCAACCGAGAGCTTCCTGGTTTGACCCAGTCCATCGCCACGGCGCCCCCTCCGAGCACCACTACCACACCCCCACCTCCCTCTTCCATCCTAAGCAGCAGCCCCCACCTGGATGCACTTCTTGGCCCTCCCATCACCCGCAGTTCATCCACCCCAGACAAGACCTTCCAGCCCCCCACATTCCAGCAGTCCCCCCTGGCCCAGGTGCCCATCACAACCCAGAGGCAGCAGCCGTCCCCCCCGCAGCAGGTTTTGACCATGCAGCAGGCCAAGGTGGAGCAGCCCAAACCTATCCTCAGCCCGCCTGCCCCAGCCCAGGCACCTTCACCGCACGGCTCACCTGTATCAAACCTAGCTTTCACCTCAACGCAGCAGGCTCTGTTCACCTCGCCGACACCACAGACTCCGCCACAGACACAACCACAGCTTCAGACTCAGACTCAGCCCCAACAGACCCGGCCCATCTACAGCAGCCAGAACAGCTTCACAGGTAAAAACTCTTTGATGGTGATGAGAGATCAAATTAACACCTCTAATGGATTCAGTACATTAAGATAGATATTCAATGTGTGCTGTTTTTTCAGACAATCTTCAACTCTTCAGAGTGTTAAAGGCTTTGGTCTATGATAGTTTCTTGTCTTCAAATTCCTCCCACTGGATCAATCCGATATCCATAATAAATCCTGGGCTTGGAGTGCTGGTAGCCAGCATGGAGGCTGTGGTCCTCCATGTGGACAGCCCAGGCATCAATATCCCCCAAATAAACTTAACAAAAAAAAAAAAAATATCCTGGGTTTCTATCGAAGGTTTGTTTGAGTATAGCTGTTAAGGGAGACAAAACGTCAATGTGGCAATTTTCAAGCCAATGGAGGCCATGTAGTGTTTATTGTTTTGTCAATGTTAATTCATCAGTGTTTGTTACAGCATTAAAATCAACAACTGGCACACAGTAAACGGTGTAAAAATGAGGAGAAACATAGCATTCCTTTCATTTACAAAGCAAATCTCTGGGGGTTGTAAATGGCATTGAAAATTCAAGCATCGGTAAAGTCATGTCACAAATGTACAGAACGTTAACTTTAATATTTACATCCACTTCCTGTATTTATTTTTGCTAAATGTTGACCATTTTAAAGTGTTACAGCTTCATTCACTTTGAATCTGTAAAGGGGGTCTGTAAAGTTTAAAAGTCAGTTTGGTGTTCCTCATGCTGTTGTTGGGACCATCTTTGTGTTGGTCAGATTCCTCCACTAATCTAACCTCTGTGCGTGGGAAAGGAAGGCGGTTCTTCACGTGCGTTACATTCACTAAGTTAGGACACTTGGTTACTCAACCTCAGCTGATGTCATATCCAGGTCCTCCTAATCTGATAGACTTTGCGCAGCGGTGTGATAAGGATCGTCTGGATGCTCATTGTTTATTAATAACATACAGGACATTGAACTTTACGTCTGAGGGGTCTTACATTTTTATTACTCTTTGCACTCACCGACCCGGGTGCTGGTAGGTCATTGGAGCGGAGCTGATAAGGAACAAACTCTGACACACTGAATGTTGCTATCACTTTCTTCTAATGAGACAGTCTGCATGTCAACTATTGGCCTACAAACCCAGGGATAGTGACCAGTTCAGCAGAAGACACCAGTGCTCCAAGGGTTTCCCACACACTTTTATTTTAACCAGTACACCAATGATCATTTTGGACATTGATGATGAACCATAATAATTAATTAACCATGACGATTTTTTGTGTTAGTTTGACTAATTCAGGCTTCATCAAAACGCTGGTAATAATAAGCTTTGCCAGAATAAATGCTGATAAAATGACACTTAATATCTCACTGATTTAACTAATAATCTAACATTAATGACTGTTTTAACTGAACTGTTATTAACTTTAGGTCATGAACTGTTTTACACTGAAAGGAGCAAAGAACAGATAACATCACTACATCACACATTTCAGGCTATTTATGTATTTAGTATTTGAAGGTCTTATTTTCACTTAATGTCATGTTTCTTCATTTTTTTGGACCTTTTTTTTTGTAACATTTTCATGTTTATCTTCCCTGTGATTGTTTTGATTGTTGTTTTTAAAGATTTATTTTGGGCTTTTTTCCTTTATGGGATAAGACAGTGGAAAGATTAGGGAAATCGGGAGAGAGAGAAGGAGAATGACATGCAGGAAATGAGTTATAAGGTCGAACTGTCAATAACTAAACGATGAGATTGGATTGTTAAAAATGTGTGTTATTGAAAATGATCAACATTTTTATCAACCTTATTTTCAAACAAATAACACTTGTGTTTTTTTTCCCGGCGTAGATATCTCAGACGTTTTTGAAATGTTCAAACTGTGTAGAAAGAGAATCATTTCTATCTGCATGAAAAATGTCCTCCTAACTCGCTCTGATTGTTGGGTGAAAGTAATCATCGCGCTCTGACTTTGTTTGTTTCATACCACTGTTCATGCTTGAATTAAAAATCCGCTGTGTGACTCTTTGTCCAGTCGCCAGCAGTGTGAGCCAACCCGCTGCCAGCTTGTCATCCTCGCCTCCAAGTGTTCAGCCGGTGACCATCCAGACTCATCTCCAGGCGCTGACCACCGCTTCTCCTCTCCTGACCACGACAGTGAGCTCGTCGGCTCAAGCCATCGCACCGCACGTTCAGCAAGTCCCTGTGAGTGTGTTTGACCCGCCTCAGTCTGTGAAGTAGATTCAATAAGTGTTATGAACCGATCCTAACTGTGTTTGTGTACCTGTGTGTGTTTTCTCAGGTGCTGCTGCAGCCACAGTTCATCAAGGCCGAGTCTCTGCTGCTGACCACTCTGAAGCATGACCCGTGCATCGTCACCACCATGGCCTCGCCCACATCCCTCGCCACCACCAACCCAGTACAGAGCACCTCGCTGCAGGTCTGTTCATACAACACATTTCTAAAGTTTATCCAGCTCTGAGCCTTCAGGTCCTTCTGTGCTTTATTCTCAGGAAGCAGGGGCAGCATCTTTAATTGCCTTTTATTTGTGGTTCTGTTCTAGCTCAGGGGGAACAACATCTGTTCAGATATTGTGTTAGCATGCCACACTGATTTTTACACATGAATGTACACAGACGAGGAGAAACCAGGCAAAGGAGAGATTTATATTTATAAGCCAACTGATGTGATCGTTTAGGGACGTACAGAGACGGCATCTGAGCAGCACAAAGATTACAGGGCTGAACGAAATAGCCAGGACCCATTTTACAACCTAAAGAATAATCCCTCTGTACTTTTCTACACTGGTCTGGTAAATTCACAAATAACAATCACTGTTATCACAAAAATAGCCAAGTATAGAGTTTTCTTACATCGAGGAAGGGCCTCAGATTGATCAAATAACAATCTTTATTTAAGTTTCTTCTTGAAACATTGCAGTCAAAATTCCACTTCAGACATTTTGAATTTAGAGCAAATGTGAACATGTTTTTTTAAAATCATCTTCGACACTTCAGTCTATCAGCTAAAGGGAGTGTTGAGACCGGGTGATCAAAAACTGTGACTTTATGAAGATTGTCAGAAGAGATAAGTCGTGCTTTCTGTTGGTAACTGTCTTCCCTTATTTTCTTTTTCCTCACATGTGCTCTCTTTTTTTCTTTCCCTCCTCAGGCCTTTATGGGCGGTGGCACGATCCTGACCACAGTTCCCGTCATGGTGGACACCGACAAGCTGCCCATAAACCGCATCGCCATCAGCGGCAAGCCCTTCGGCCAGCCGCACAAGGGGGAGAAACGCACGGCCCACAACGCCATCGAGAAGCGCTACCGATCGTCTATTAACGACAAAATCCTGGAGCTCAAAGACCTGGTGGCTGGAACCGAGGCCAAGGTAGGACAGAGTGACTGATTATTCCAAGTGTGTGTGCTTGGTTAAGATTAGTTTGCGTGATTTGTCGATCAGTAAAAACTGTTTTGTGATTTGACCTCCTCACAGCTCAACAAGTCTGCAGTTCTGAGGAAGGCCATCGACTACATCCGTTACATTCAGCAGTCCAACCAGAAACTCAAGCAGGAGAACATGGCTCTGAAGATGGCAGCGCAGAAAAACAGTAAGTGCTTAAAACCCTGCCTCTGGTTTTTATTCCATTACGGCTTCTCTGAGATTTGTTTCAGTTCTGTCAAAGGAAGCCGTTCAGTTGACCTCGTGCGATGAGGTCATAAGATAGCGGCTGTTATCCTTGAAATGACAAAAGTGAAAAAATGTTCTTCTATTGCCTCTAAGTAAGTGGGATTGAATGCTCAAGATGTCTTTACCGCCATACCACTGATTGACCTTTTTTCACCGCAGAGTCTCTCAAGGACCTGGTTGCCATGGAGGTGGACGAGAAGGCTGATGTGAAAGCCGAGCTGCCCACGCCGCCGGCCTCTGACGTGGGCTCTCCCTCCTCTTTCTCACACTGTGGCAGTGACTCTGAGCCCGACAGTCCAATGGGGGAGGACACAAAGGTAATGACGGGTTAACACGACGACTAAACATTTTCATGTAATCCTGGAGTATCAGGGAGTGGTTTGAGTTCAGGCACTGAAAAATGAAAGTAACATTTTTAACAATATGGTATGTTTGACGGAAATACAACAGTAATAATAATAAGTCTTCTAACAGAAAAAGCAGGAACATAAATGATTCTGAATGTGTCAGAAAAAATCAGCAAGGGGAGTGGAAATGATGTAAACACATTTCAACAATATTCCCCAACCTGCTGATTTCCAAACTTTCATTTGGAGACGTCTTTTTTTCAGTTTGCGTAAACTTGGCTTTGTAGCTGAAAACTAGCAAACTAAGAGTAAAAAATCAACAGGAATTGTTGTAGTAACATAGCTAGAACAGATGCTTTATTTCTCAGTGTAGCAGACACCAAAAGTTCTACAATTAACCGACCAGTTATCAGACTTTCTTCCGTCTGCAGCCTTAAATTTACGCTACATTTGATACAGGAATTTGAGATTTTCTTACAAGAAACTAACTCTCAGTTCTTCCGCTCTGCAGCCGAATGTGGGCATCCTAGACGGCGCGGCAGCAGGAGGCGGTGCTGGCGGGATGTTGGACAGATCCCGCATGGCGTTGTGCGCTTTCACCTTCCTCTTCCTCTCTCTCAATCCTCTCGCTGCGCTACTCTGCTCCTCCGGAAGCAGCTCAGCTGAAAGCACTGCAGCCGGCGCCACTCATCACGCAGGAAGGAGCGTCCTGGGTGTGGACATCGCAGGTACGGGGGGGGGGTTGTGATAGTTTATGGTGGCTAGTCTTTTAAAAATGAGCTGTAAGAAAATATAAAAGTGTTCTATTCTAAATGATGAGCTCTGAATCTGTTTTCTGCAGCGGACTCGTGGGGCTGGATGGACTGGATGCTGCCGACTATCCTGGTGTGGCTGCTGAACGGCGTTCTGGTGTCAGGGGTTCTCATCCGACTGTTGGTGTACGGAGAGCCGGTGACCAGACCACACTCTGGATCCTCTGTGTTGTTCTGGAGGCACCGCAAGCAGGCTGACCTCGACCTCGCAAGAGTATGTGTTTTTATGTTTCCTAAAGTTAAGAGGTTTTTTTTTTTTTTTGCAACTCCAGATTCTGAAAGAGGGATCGATGCATCTTTTATCTCCCCCCTCAGGTGTTTTCTTTGTCTAAAGCTTCATACTCTGGATCTCCTCACATTTCTCTCCTCTTCCTTCAGGGGGATTTTGCCCAGGCCAGTCAGAACCTGTGGACCTGTCTGAAGGCTCTTGGGCGACCGTTACCCATCTCCCAGTTGGACCTCGCCTGCGCTGCCCTCTGGTCCCTGCTGAGATTCTGCCTCCAGCGTCTGGGTGTGGGCCGCTGGTTGGCTGCCCGGGCTGGAAGGCTGCGATCAGACCGCCCCCTGCAGGAGGACGCCTGCAAGAGCAGCCGTGACGCCGCCCTTGTTTACCACCGCCTGCACCAGCTGCACATGACAGGTCGGTTGGTGGGAAATTTCTGAAATTAAATCAGTGCAGTAGACTGAACGTTGCAGGCGAGATATTAAAGTGACAGAATCACAGCGGATCTAAGAGTCCGCTTCTGTGGATTTAGGGACAATAAAAGGTCCAGACTAAGGTTGCAAAGTCATTTGACCTGAGTACTTATCAGCAGTAATATTTGCTCACTTTTAGTGATCAGTCTGACTCAGTTCTTCTTCACAGAAATCATTTCCTTGTCTGCTATCTTTGCACACAGGTAAGCTGAACGGCAGCCACCTGTCAGCAGTGCACATGGCTCTGAGTGCCGTGAACCTGGCAGAGTGTGCCGGCTCCTGCCTGCCTGTGGCCTCTCTGGCTGAGGTCTACGTCTCTGCAGCTCTGCGGGTCAAAGCCAGCCTGCCAAGGATCCTTCATTTCACCTCTGTGAGTCCACTTGGTTCACACATGCACAGTTTGTCTAACCTAGTATTTTGAATTGTGGAGATTATGATATTTTATTCAGTTGTAGAAGCCGTTAGTTGTTTAGGATTAAAGTGAAACACACAGTTGAACTTCATTGTTCTCCCATATTTAATGAACCCACATTTAATTCCTTAATGACCTTGAGACTTTAAATAAACTGAACTACAAGAGGAGTCAAAGCAAAAACTAAACACTGTGCAATCTACACAGGAAATGTGAGTGAAGAAATTGACCGATTTCTTTCCTGTTTTTTTTTTTTTTCTGACAGCGCGTGTTCCTGAGCAGCGCTCGCCAGGCGTGCCTGTCCTCAAGCGGCAGCGTGCCTCCAGCGATGCAGTGGCTCTGTCACCCACTGGGTCACCGCTTCTTTGTGGACGGTGACTGGGCTATTCGCAGCACTCCTAAAGAAAGCATCTACAGCCAGGCTGGAAACACCGGTAAGAGCAGACGGGCGATATCAAACACTCCATGTGTAACAGCAACAGTTACTTTAAAGCTTTAAATCCTGCACACAGCAAAGACCTCTGTGTTGTTTCAAACATGTGGTATCAAAACATTTGACAACCTCAGCACATCTTTAAACAATCTGCATTATTTTTATGAGCTATGAGTATCGTAACAAAACTACAAGTCAGTCATATTATTTTACCAAGACTGCTGAGAGCGAAAGACGGAGCGCTGTTTAATTGCACAATTACGTTGGCAAGGTTTCAAGTATTCCTGCAATTCAGCCGCTGTGCAGGAGTTTGACTTCATTTTTTAGTAATTAAAAACAAGAAATTATCCAAGACTGAGAGCAGAGGAGTTCTATTTCTGTTTCTGTGGTATCTAAACAGGCATTGATATCATTTGATATGCTCTAGAATCGCTTACAACGTTGGTGTCATGACAACCCTTGTACTTGCAAACTCAGGCAGCTGTCAGTCTATATGTCTCATGTTAAAGCTTGGTTGTTTCTCTTACAGTGGATCCTCTGGCCCAGGTGACTCAGGCGTTCAGAGAACACCTCCTGGAGAAAGCTTTGTACTGTGTGGCCCAGCCCTGTGGAGAGACGAGCCCCAACCAGGGCGAGGGGTGAGGACACACGCACACAAAAAAACCCACATACAGAACAATGTGTTTTTTATGTATTTTAGTGTTTAATCCACCACATCAGCCTAAGAGTCTTGTTTTTTTAAACCCACTTCGGCTGTTTGACATCCAACCATTTCCAGAGGTCTACTTCTTATTGTTAAAGTCCCAGTCATGGATCTTACATTATTATTTAATCATAAAAGAAGAATACAAGTCACCTATCAAGGGTAACGTTATAAACTGACAGCCAAGATCATTTACAGCCAATCTGCTCTGTAGCTCCTGCGTTGCTCTGTGTACCATGACTCAGCAAAAAAGAAACAAAAAGTGCTCACGCTTGGACTCTTCAAGTGATGACTTTTATTTTGCAGCTGTTTTAGGTGTTATTGTTTGTCACCATTTTGGGGTGTATAGTTTGAGATACATGGTGAAAAAACAGGGGTGACATAATTTACTATAGATGATAAAAATGTATCATTAAATTAAAGATTGTCTTTAGAATCTGGCAGCAAAATAACCATCCCATGTGTGTCTCTCCTCAGGGAATATGCTGATGCTCTGGAGTACCTCCAGCTGTTGATTAGTGCATCGGACGCTGCAGGTGCCACCTCTCAATCCTTCGCCATCGGCTCCAACATGGCGACTGTGACTGGTGAGTCACCATTGACGCTGTCATTTCCGTCAACAACTCCTTGCTTTGTGCAGTTTTCTTCGTCTTTCCTCCTCCCTTCTTATCTCTTTTTTGAGAGAATTGCATTCCCTCTCCCTGCACCTCTCCTCGTTCCGCAGACTCTGTGATGCCCTAAATGTGTGAGCAGAATGAAGAGCAGCGAGATAAAGTTTATTTTTTACAACATTAAGATTGAGTAGCCTGATTTCCACTTGCTTGACTCCCACCCTCCTGCCACTTCTCCTTTCCTCACTGATCACTGATGTGAGCAGAAGGGGGTTGGGGAGTGGGGGGGGGCATCCTCTAGATTGCATCATCTATCTTCAGCGCTGTCAAATCAGTGATCACCTTGAGATGAGGGAGGGAGGGAGGGAGGGAGGCTGTGGGGAGGCTGTGCAGAGACTTTAATCTGAGACTTTTCTTGGCAGAGCCTTAGGTTGCTCACAAATCGTTAGAAGTCGGCATGTGTGTGTGTGTGTGTGTGTGTGTGTGTGTGTGTGTGTGTGTGTGTGTGTGTGTGTGTGTGTGTGTGTGTGTGTGTGTGTGTGTGTGTGTGTGTGTGTGTGTGTGTGTGTGTGTGTGTGTGTGTGTGTGTGTGTGTGTGTGTGTGTGTGTGTGTGTGTGTGTGTGTGTGTGTGTGTGTGTGTGTGTGTGTGTGTGTGTGTGTGTGTGTGTGTGTGTGTGTGTGTGTGTGTGTGTGTGTGTGTGTGTGTGTGTGTGTGTGTGTGTGTGTGTGTGTGTGTGTGTGTGTGTGTGTGTGTGTGTGTGTGTGTGTGTGTGTGTGTGTGTGTGTGTGTGTGTGTGTGTGTGTTGCCCAGTGTTAAATGGAGGAGTTTCCCCTCTTGAGGGACTCTTCAAAATGGCTGCTTTCTCCCAGCGTGGAGTGACCCTGCCAGAGGGGGCAAACAGATTGATACAGAGGTCAATATTCAGACAGCAGCTGTCTTTATCGCCGTGCATGTGTGCGTGTGTGCGCGCTCTAATGCTGGAGAATGGGCAGTGGAGAATTCAATTATTTGCATCCTTTTTTTCCCCCTGTCAGGTTGTTGACTGTTTTGTTCCCACTTCCAGGCTGCGACCCTCATTCCAAGTGGTGGTCCTCGGTTGCCGTGGTGATCATCAACTGGCTCCAAGGAGATGATGCTGCTGCAGAGAGATTGTATCCCACCGTTGAGCACCTGCCCCGCAGTCTGCAGAGCGCAGAGTAAGTTAGACACACACACACACACACACACACACACACACACACACACACACACACACACACACACACACACACACACACACACACACACACACACACACACACACACAGGAATGCCGACTCACACACACACACGGATATCTCCACTGCTTTAACCTGTGTCCTCTGTCTCCTCTCCTCCTCGCTCCATCAGGAGTCTTCTGCCCAAGGCGTGTCTAAACACATTCAGGGCGGTGCGAGCTCTGCTGTCCAAGCCAGAAAACTGCCAGCAGAGTCTGAGCTACAGCGACAAGGCCAGCATCCTGCTTCGAGACAGCCTCAACCTGGGACCACACTGCCACAGCTCCAGTTTAGACAAGGTGCACACGCACTCACACACTCGCTCTGAAGCACGAGCTCACGCAGAGGGCACACTGATGTCGAGATCATTTCTATTAATCGCATGTGACGGCATCTTCTGCATTGACAATACTTCAAAATTCAACGCACATAAAGTGCACACAGAGACAGATGTTCCCACTCAAAAAAAAAATAAAAAATCTATAAACACACACACCTCTTTTACAACACAAAGCCACACACAGACAGCAAACCCCCTGGAGCTACTCCTCTGTGTGATACAGCGTTGTCCTGCCCTCTGGCGCTCGGCAGATGGTGATGCTGGTGGATGAGGCGGCGCGGAGTGTGCGCACCTCTACGGCCAGAGCTGCGGTGCATTGTAGTTGCATTGCATGTGTGTCTGTGCTGAGTGCAATGTACCTGCAGTGCAACACAGAGCTGGCTGCTAACAGCGGAACACACACAGAAACACCACAATAATAACATCAAATCGATGTTTTTGTTTGTTTATCACACTGATCTTGCACTTATTGTCCCTTTTTTATGTCAGAATCTGGTCAATTCATTGAATGTTTCTGGAAGAGTTCTGATATTTCAGAGTTTCTCATTTCCTAAAAAACAACAATAAATGCTCGTTCTTATCCTGTGCTCAGGACCATTTTCACTGTGTTTATGTTTGAACGTCTTCATATCGGCTACTGTAAGCACAGACTTGTATTCTTATACTCTCGTTTGTCTCTAGGTTGTCCAGTTGCTCTTGTGCGACCTCCTGTTGGTCATGAGGACCAACGTGTGGCGCCTGCAGCAGCAGCAAGGGACCGGTCCTGCAGGGTCGGGGTCAGTGGGCACCAGCGGTCCTGCAGGGCTCCACCAGGCCTCGCCACCAGAGCTGCAGGGCTTTCAGCAAGATCTCAGCTCACTACGCAAGCTGGCACACAGCTTCAGGCCTGCAATGAGAAGAGTATGCACAGTTACTACTTTTACCTGCTTATCATCATTATAGCCCACACGACCTTTGTTAGGCTTATTGTGAACGAGCAGTTTAGGGGATTCATCATCCTGCTGATCATAAATTGATTATTTATATTGCACAAGTCTTGGGATAGTTTCCCCATATATTCAAGGATCAGGCCTATTAACATAGAAAAGTTAGTTTTTTGTAGATGTCATATGTTATAGAAAATATTAAAAAGGCGATGTCTTATTTGGCAGCCCTACTCATTTATCATCAAAAGAAACACTTGAGACTGTACTTCCTCTCATTCAGACATCTTAACACAACATGAACACTCTTTGACTTAACACCTCATTTTAAAGTTCAGATGCAATCAACATATATTTAAACTCTTTTAGTTTTGTAAATAAGATACTGTTGAGTTTGTAATTTCCTGAAAAATATTTAAAGTGTAGATTTCTCGTTATGCACTCTGGGGTATTCCTACTTTTATTACTACTTTTAAGTTTTTTGGGTCTAATTAAATGCTATTTTCATCTCTTTAGTCGTCTCCACATAGGTAAACGCAACAGCGCGCAAAGGACCTGAGAGCCATCACAAGCTCATTCTTGCTAACCCTTTGCTTTCTTTTGATTAAATTATGACAGCAGATGGCAGAGTTAGGATGGAAACATATTCCAGTGATATTGGCCGCTCCAAATGCCAATCAATGTCAGCATTAAGTCCCTCCTCAACTTGCTGTTTTTACAGGAGAAGCTTCAAAATGTGGAATCAAATCACACTTAGCAATAGGGTTGACCAGAACTTAAATAAAATTCAGGTAAAAATAAATATTAAAGCGGCTGCAACAAGCATAAAAGTCCTAGGCCCCTGTTATCGGGTCATTTGTTGTTTTTAATCACCCAAAAATTGCAGGCAAACTCCTGCACACTTTCTTAATTGCACAAATATGGCAGCAAAGTTTCAGTTCCAAAATTATGCTATTGATGTTCTTGATTGCAGAAATGTGATCGTCTTAAAATGTGGTTTGAAAAGGAATCAAACGACCTTATTCTGCGAGCTGCTTCATGGGACTGTAAATAAGATAAAAAAAATATCAGGCAGCATCATTAAAGGTGCCTAAAAATCCTCATAAGTCTTCATGTAAAAATGTTCGCTGCTGTGTAAGAAGGTGCTGCAAATACCTGGAATGGAAAAGAAATAGCAGCACCTTAAGAAAAAAAAAAAAAAGCACCCAACATTCACAAATACAAATGCATCCTGTGCACATATTTGCAGGCAGTCCACGGTACAGTTCTCTGAGGAAATTAGCTGAGAGGGGTTGCAACACGTACACAAACATACACACACGCACGCACACACCCCTGAGGCAAATGTTTAGCAGCGCTGTTCACAACGATTCAAAGTATCTCTGAGGTAGAGCTGAACACTCTGTATGACTCATCATCACTGACTCCCCCCCCCCCCCGTCTTCCTCCAGTTGTTCCTTCATGAAGCTACAGCCAGGCTGATGGCGGGGGCCAGCCCCACCCGCACCCATCAGCTCCTAGATCGCTCGCTGCGACGCAGAGCGACGCCCGGAGCCAAGACAGGTTCGTGGACTTCTTTCTTTCTTTTTTAATCCTCTGTTAATCACTGTTTTTATGAGTGCAATATCAAACTGTTATTAAGGAGCAAAACAATAACTTCTCTTGTGGATGCTTTTTTTTCTCTGAGCATCGTTTTCTGGATTTGTGCCTTTTTTCAACTTTTTAAATAGAAGTTGCAGAGAGCTGAGCGACGCTGAATTGCTGTAATCAGAGACTCTAATCAGCTTCTCGTCTATTTCGCCCAATTGTTCACCGCACTAAATCCCTTCAGTAATTAAACCAGAAGCTGCTGAAGTCTGATCGACTGTCGGTGGCTGGCGGTATCAAAAGCTCACAATGGTAACAAGATTGTTGTTCGTGTGTGTGTGTGTGTGTGTGTGCGCAGAGGAGTGTGAGACGCGGCCCGGCCAGCGGGAGCAGGCGGAGGCTGTCATGCTGGCGTGCCGCTACCTTCCTCCCTCCTTCCTGTCGGCTCCAGGCCAAAGGGTGGGCATGCTGGCCGACGCGGCCCGCACGCTGGAGAAGCTGGGAGACAAGAGGACCCTTCACGACTGCCAGCAGATGATCATCACCACTCCCATCACCCTAAACCCCACATCAGGAGGCACTAGTAGAGTTCACACTCTTGTTGCTGTGGTTTTTTTTTTACCAGAGTTTAAGAAGCATTTGTCGTCTTACCCGAGCTGAACCGCCAATTGACAAAGCATTGCAGTGCCACAATTTGCCCACAAAGAGGAGCCATCACAGTTCAGTGTGAATGATGTGTGTGTATATATGTGTGTGTGTGTGCGTGTGTGTGTGTGTGTGTGTGTGTGTGTGAGAAATGAAAAAGAAATCTTTGCCCTGCATTTATTAAACGAACTCCCACCCCTGATCTTTTCAACATGGATGCACCTTCTCCAGGCCGAGTGCTCAGTGGGTTGGGTGTGTCGGGCTGCTCTGATTGGCTGCAGTTTGAGACGACCAAATTCGGATTCGGACAGACCTTGAGCTTGTCCAGTGGGAAGCCGCTCTCTGCAGGTTGTTGAAAGTGTGCGACAGTTGATTAGAATCATGTTTCAGTGATCATCTGAGGCGAGGCGAGCCCCTTCACAAGCTCTGTGACTTTTCTGCACTAGCCCTGCGAGGCTGATTTCAATGAGATGAGAAAAAAAAATATGGCTTTATGAGGTTACTTTCATAGATGTCCTTTTTCTTTTCTTCTTTTTTTCTTTTTTGTTGCCGTGTACATATTTAAAAACATGTATTTATAATCTGTATGAACTTTAATTGAGCAGTATTTTGCATAAGCAGAGTGTGTTTCCCTTAAATATGTTTTATTTGGTAGCTTTCAACCAGGCCTAAGTAGTAGTTACTGCACTGTATCGCCATGGCAATAAGTGTCAAACAAAGACAGTATGATGTTGTCGACCTCTTGCACTGTTGCACATAAGTAACTACGTCATTGTGAGGAATTGGCAGAGTTAAATTTTGACATAAAAAAATGAAGATAATTTTTGTCACTTTTTTTCAACGAGTTTCATACTGTAAGTTATACAACCGATTTGAAAGTAATTGACTGTGATTCTTTCCAAAGAGGGCCTGCAGTGAATTCCAGTGTTTTCTGTGTAGCTCCAACATAAGGAGCTGTACTCGCTCTTTCAGTCATTATAGTTTCATGTTCCTACAGAAACACCATTTATGGACTTTTAGAGAACTGTAAGACATTAAAAAAAAAAAAACATTTTCCAGCATGTGTTTCTGTCCAAGGACCAGTACATTTTTATAGTATGTCACTAATGTGAAAGACTGAAAGTCATCGGAGTGAAGTGAATGAGATGCACCCGTGTCTAAAGGTATTATTCATGTGTCCTTTTAACCAACATCTTTTCATCTCTTCCCTTTTTCTTTACTTTCAACCTTTTATGATGTAAATATTAAAGCATTTTGTAAAGACGAATATTCTGTTCCCTGTTGTTCTTCCTCCCTTTTTTTATTTTTATTTTTTAAATACAGCATAACGAGAAAAGACGCTGACAGTCCCCCTCCACTTGGCTTCAAATTATGCAAGTAGGTCATGTGCTGAAGTTTAAAGTGGGACGAAACTTTTGCTAAATGTTCTGAGGATTTCTATTTTGGGGGTAAAAGCTGAAGTAACTTAATTTCTCCTGCGTGTTCCCAGTTATTTCCTTTTAAAGCTGTAAATTAGAGTCAGGGTTGGTAATTTTCTCCAGACAAACTTTTTAAGATTTTGATTGAAATTGTCTCTCTGGTTCTGACAGAAATTAATAACTCATGTGCTCTGAAACAGGAACACCAAGATAATCTGTCATCTGTATCAGTTGTAAGCCTGTAAAAACTTCAACCAATGTCTGCCACGAGGGACCAATCTGATGAGCCAATCACAGCCTCCCCGTCTCCCTGCTCGCTCTCTACCTCATGCGTGCACGAGCCCACACTCAAAGAGCGTCACCGATGACAGAGTTTATACTGTGAGTTTGTCGTTTGATTTTGTCAGTAGTAAAACAATCACGTTTAAAAAAAAAAAAAAAAATTATGATAGATTTAGTGTTCACTTAACGCCGAATGATTCAACAATCGTGCATGTAAGTAAGGGAGCACAGAGGGGAGGGGGCAGGTTTTGACGGAGCACTGAGGGAATGCTACTTTCAAAATCATGCTAGTTTTCAAAAATAATTAACAACCCTGCCTTTAAATACCAAATTCATTGACAAACATTTAAGTTATTCCAGGTGGTGACCGACCTGAACGTTACAGATGTGAGTACATCAGTCTGACCTGGATTGGTAAAAAGGTTAGACAAACCAGGTCATTATGGTCAATTCTGCTGTACTTATAATTGACTTTAAACTGTGCCCCTACTGATTAAATATGTTTGTTTAAACTGTAAGCAGGATTTCATAAAGACCATGACGCAAGATTTACAGAAGAGTTGATATGTGTGTTTAAAAAATGATTTTAATATTTTTCCCCCAAAATACCTGCCAGAAAGCCTTCTTCACACTTGAACAAAACTCCTGAATAACCTGAAAGTTATCGTGCTGAGCTGCGTTTGTGAACAGCTGAATATTTCACTCTGACTCGATCCAACGTTTTCTCCTGTCAGGCCCCCTACTGTTTTACCGCATAAACTCTGAGAGTGCTGATGTGAGAACTCAGCAGGATATAATCAGGAGAAATCACCTCGAGCCACTGGCAGGGGGGGGGGGGCGTTTATATTCTGCAATCTGTGCAAGACTGTATGCATGCAACCTGGGCAATCTCTGTGCACATAATGAAACGGCTGCGTTATGTTTTCTTCTCCACTCTTAGGCTGGTATTGTGATTCTCTTGACCTACACTCAGTAGTCCTAATATTCTCTAGAAATGTTCAGGAGTGCATATTGTGAAAACAGCTTAAGTGAGACACCTGAGCAGTGGGAGATTTAAAGACCTCACTTTAAAGACCTGACTTTTAATGCCAAATTATATGTTTGTGCAGGAGGCCTAGTCTTTTGTGATTTGGAGAAATAACACAAGAACATGTTATTTTGAATTTGTTTACCTCTATTCTTTTAGTTCCTTAAAGTAATAACAAAGACCTGGGATTATTGAAATTGCAAGACTCAGTCTGATCGGAACCAAATGGAAAAATGTGTGGAGTCATTTTAAAGAGTCATTTCTGAATCAGAGTGTAGCCTATGAATCCTGATTTGAGCGGGGTCGTCTTGTGGAGGAGCGAGTCTGAGTCTCTCTAGTGTGTGGATGTCGGTGCATGTTCAGTAAAGACAAAAAGAGCAGGCACTGGTCGTAGCAGCATTGAAAGGTGCTGGTATATTTAACATTGGCGTTACAAAAACATTTCAAACAAAGTGATGCTGTGTCATCGATTCCAAACAAAGAGACATGAAAATCAATCAAACGGCATGCTCCAACTTAAGACAAGTGACATTCCCAAAAAAGGTCGTTCTTTTTTTTTTTCATCAATGGATTCTTTTAATAACATTTTATAAGCAATAACATATTCCATTTTATAGAAAATAAACATCTCTAGGAAATACTATACACAATTATATTAGTACATCACATCTTACATTTAAACAGCATCAAATACTTATATACACCATTAAATAATGAGCTTCATAAAAGAGAACGTTTGGTGTGGCGTTTTTTAGCACTTCCTTTTTCTGCTCTAATACTTAAATATGTCTCCTTTTTGATATGACTGGTACTCTTTACTGCCGCCCGCTGTGCAGGGCGCCGTTACTTAGCGTGGAAGAGTGAGAGAGGCTACATTTGAGATACACAAACAGACGAGTGTGTGATGATATCTGAACGCGATGAAGAACTTTCTGCACTGTTGTGGAAGGTGAAATATTCATACGTAATGTTAATGTTGAACAGTAATACTTCTGAACTGTACAAAGAGATGATGTGAGATGACCTGGCTCCTCCCTCCTGATCTGCAACCTGTCCAGTGATGACTGTACAGATTGAATGTGCACACTGTTGAGATGTAGAAACACTCTTCAACAGAGTAATCCTTTTTTTTTTTTTTTTTTTTCCCCTTTTTCTTCTTTTTAGTTTTTCGGAGGAACACAAAGCCCGACATTTACCGAGGGTGACGCAATGATGTCGTATAGTCATAATGCACATCAAAATACATCTCCGAAGATAAGAGTGTTATATTAAAATACTGCGTCCGTTTTTTCAGAATATGTAGAACCTGTAAAACACATCATCATGTACAGTTTCCTTTTCTTCTTTTTTTTTTTCTTTTTAAACACAAACGCACATATTTGAGATAGTACATCCAGTGGTTGGCTGTTGTTTTTTTGATGCATGACATCTTGAATTGGAGATGACCTTTTTCCCTCACACACACACACACACATTTGCACATACACACTGATGATGTGGCCGGGGAACGATGAGTTCTATGATTATCACACACACTCTAACGCAGGCACACACAGACACACTTCTTGGACCATAGACAAGGTGGCCAGAGGGATGCTGCGGTCCAATCAGTGTCCGCCAGGTGTCTGAATATGATAGCAAACCCATCCGAAGGCAGGACACACACACACACACACACACACACATACACACACACACACACATTCATCGCTCTGCATTTCAAACAGCCCCCATGTGTGCACTGGGCTCTCAGCACACAGTCCATCCTCCCGTTAACTGCTGCCTTCTGCCTTCCAGTGAGGGGCTCAGATGAGAAAACACATTTCCAGGCCGGGTCCTGGGAGCAGCTTTTCTCTGCGGAGTTTTCCTCCAGGGTCTGTTAGCCCTCAGCTCCAGCCTTTCACGCTCCCCCCCCTTCCCCCAGCCCCACTGGCCAGCCAACGTCCCTGTCCGTCTTCAGTCCACACCATGTTTTCAGGAATTGGTGGCTGGTCTGACTGTGAGCGTTTGTCTTGTTTACCTTGCTGGAAAGGTGATTCTCGACCGGTTGTGAGGTGGTGGTGGTGGTGGTGGTGGAGTACTGGAATATCTTACAGGTCCTGCAGAATAAGAGAAGAGTGACTCATGTAAATAATAGTCACAAACACACAGAAAGAAAGAAAGAAACCTATAAGAGTTGCCAGAGGTAAACTAAAAAAAACCTACATCTATTTCATAAAAAGGTGTATCTGTGAGGAATGAATCCATCAATAAAAAGTTGGCAAATTGCAAAAATACGTTGGCAGCTTATTTGTGCAATTTAAGTCTGTGAGTAAAAACTCTGTGAGTTGCTGACACTTTGTCTTTAGATGAGAGAGGGTGTCAGACGGTAGTCTTTTACAAGTCTTTTTTTAAGTCTTCAAGTGTGCGAAGGCATTAGACAGTTTGCAGCAGTTTGCCTGCAATTTATTCATAATAGAAAGCTATCAATTAATTTGTTTGTTTTTTACAAGTTTTTAATCAAAGTTTAAATCATGACAATCCTATCTAACAACTGTGTAAAGTGTGTACAGTGGGAAAATACAATACAAATTGAATAACATAAATTTGCTGCAAAATGAAAGATGTGCAGCAGAAAGTCAGGACAAAGGCATAAACAAATGCAAATAATAAACCTTTGCAGGGTCCAAAACACACAAACACACACGTCAAATACAACTGAATTAGCTGCAACTCCATCATCACACTAGAAGTGCTCCATGCCTGTAGGGGGCACTATGTCAAATGTCGATAGGAGAGGGAGAGACAGGTGAGAGGCATTGAGTTTGATGAATTCATGATCTTTTGACCAGATAATGATAGACACCACCAGAGCACTGATTTGTGTTGATATTTAGCATCTCTTTTTTTAGAGAAATGGTTTCTGATGGAAGGAAAGCTTTGCTCTGGTAACTGCTGCTAAGAGGAGCAGCTGTTTGCTGGTTAGCTTTGTAAGCTGTACAGCTTGTAATACATGTAGCCTGATCTGCAGACACTTAATGCTTGGCATGTTTAATGCCAACCTAGAGAGGGAAAGAGTGTGTTTGTATGTGTGTTTGATATATTTGAAATGGACCCTCTCTTGTGATTGTTTTTTGATTGTTTCGTTTACAGCATTTACTGTTAATGTATTTATTATTTCCACTAATTAATCTTTTCAGTTGTTGCAGCACTATTGCCTCCGTCAGTTACTTCTTCTACTAGCATTGAAGCTGCAACACGTTTATCATGTATACTGCAGGTGAAGCCTGTGCAGACCTGCCACTTGGAGCTCTCTGATCGCCGTGCTGTACATGTGTCTGCATGAGTGTTTCTGCAGACATGAAAGCGAGATTGATGCAGCTGGTCAGTGAACCAGCTCCACTGTGAAAGACACAGCAGGAACGCCCACTAATTGCACCGGTGATGTGGCGGTAGGGTCCTCTCTTTCCAACTCATCGTCCTCTGAAGCCACCCAGTACCTCTCATTGATTCTCTCTGAGGCACCAGTCGCACATCCTCATAGCCTGGACTCAGACGAGCTGCGTGTCTCACTGACTCTTACATTTCCCTCTGTGTTTTTGGATCCTATTATTTCACACATTAATCTCACTTGTTCCCTCTCTTTTTCTCTTTACCCATGGATGTTGCTCCCTTTGTTGCCCTTCTCTGATTCTGCCCTTCTTTTCTCCTTCGATCTCTACCTCTTTCATTCAGTTGCTGTCTGATGTAACTGCCCCCATTCCTCTTTTCTTTTCTTTCCCTCTCAGCTCCCCCCCTCCTTTTCTTATTGCATGTCTCTCATGCACTGTGTGTATCCGTGTGTGAGCCTACAGGTACCCTGTTAATGAACCTGTGTGGACGCGCACAGTGTGTGTCCCACAGCATGTGCCCACAATTTCATCGACATGTGTGTTCCAGCCCTGAAACCAAATGAACGCAGTCAGAGGGAGAATTTCAGAATGGGGACCCATGGGTGTGTGTGTGTGTGTGTGTGTGTGTGTGTGTGTGTGTGTGTGTGTGTGTGTGTGTGTGTGTGTGTGTGTGTGTGTGTGTGTGTGTGTGTGTGTGTGTGTGTGTGTGTGTGTGTGTGTGTGTGTGTGCATCTGTATCTGCTCTTCCCTTTGATTAGGCTCCTCATCTTAAATTGGTGCGGCACAGACCCACACACACAGACCTTCAAATCCCTCAGCTGATGACAGCCGTGCCTCAGCCTGCTAACAACAATCTCTCTGTCTTGCTCTCCTTTTTCTCTCTCTCTCTTTCTCATACTCTATTTCTGCCGCTTAGACGTGGGAGGTGAGGTGAAAGGAGGTGGGGAGACGAGAGGAGAGGAGATGAGAAAGTAAAGAGGGAGAAAGAGATGGGGGGGAGGATGACTGAAAATGGAAAAAGGGAGATGAGAGGTGAGCAGAGTGAGAGACAGAGGGAGCTGGAACAGCAGGGAAGCGCGGGAGCAAAATAGGGAAAATAACAGAGAAAAGAGGGAGAGAGGAAAAAGGGTGGAGAGAGCTTGTGGGGAGGATAGAAGGCAGCGTGTTGCTGGGTGGGGTGTTTTGATCAGCAGCCAGCTTTTTATCCCTGTCAGTCTGCACAGAGGAGAGCAGCGAGAGGAAGAGAGGGAGGGAAAGAGGGATGCAGAGAGGGGAGGGAGAGAGGGAGGCTGCTGCAACTGCTGCCTCAATGCACCGCTGCTCCCTGCTGAATGTCAGCATCTCTCCCTCTTTACTTCCCTCCCCGCCTCCCTCCGCATTTGACCTTCCTCTCTGTGCTGCAGTGTGAACGAGCCACCACCAGATGGCATCTGTCTTACAGCAAAGCAAAGCGCACTGTTGATATTCACGCAAGACCAGGTGACTTATTGTAATTGTAGAGGTCTGCAGCCGTTATAAGTGACCGCAATACAAACGGGAATAGTACTTGAATGTTTTTGCAGCTATTTCTGATGGATATGGGTTTAGCTTGCCAAGGTCACCGGGAACATATTGACTGGGTAACAAAATATCACAGAGCCCAAGTGATCCTGGATCCTTCATAGGATACACAATATCTCAGAAGAAGCTAAATAGTGGACTTGATACCTGAGTATAAGGAATTCAAAGCCGAATCCTCATCTGTTCTGCTGTCTCTTGTCCTCTTTTTGTTTTGTTTTACAAGAGCTGGCAATCGTGCTTTCTGTTCTGCACTGTATCATCTATCAAGCCAAGGTGTTGCTGCTTGTGACAGCAATGTGTGAACTCGATTTTTTTTTTCTATGCCATGGAGAGGGATGAAGTGTGGAGTGGTGCAAGGGGTGAGACAAAATCGGATAGAAGGAGGGGAGAACAGAAAAGAAACAGAATGCACAGGGGTTCTTAGAGAAGAGAGGAAGAGTTCTTAAGAGAACACAAACCCTCTGTACAGAACAGAGCTTTCAACCCATTTATTTCAGTAGTGCGCTAACTTGTTTCCTTAAAGTGTCTCCTTCACCTTTCTTCGAGGCATGACTCACAGTTAGAGCAGGATGCAGCGAAAAAAGGCTTCTTACCTCATGTTTAGGACATTTGATGGAGAAGTCATCCTCGTGGAATGTGCAGCCTAGGCAGAAAGAGAGTAATTGAACCAAAAGAAAAAAAAACAAGTTTCAGTGTCTCTTATAGACCATGACAATAAATTAAACAAATTGCATGAGCCGTTACACGCAGCAACCCATACAAACCCACGTCAAAAAAATCCAGATGAATGAAAAATAAGAAGGGTCAGGATGAAAAATGTGCAAGAAAAGGTAGAGAGAGAGAGAGAAAAGGTGAGCAACAGAGGAAAGATAGAGTGAGTGGATGAGTTGTGATGCAGGCAAGCAAGCAGGCAGATATGGCTGGTGCACTCAGCAGGATTAAAAAGGGCCTCGCTCTGCTCTCTGTGCTGGCTAGGCAGACGTGGCAGGCTTTCTAATCCTCACACTGTACTTCATTGGCATGAGGTAATGTAAGGGGAGCCATGCAACACATGTGCTAACACCCAGACACTCACTTATATTGACAACAAAAGAGTAGCACACATACACAGAAGCAACATGGTTATGAGATGCACATAGGAACGCATTTAAGGAAGCAATCAGGCGCAAAATGCTCGCTGACACATGCACATTCAGTACCCAGAGAGCTGGACCAAGCCACAGGGTTATGGTCAATAATGCACACATGCACACCCTCTATCTCTTCCCCCTCTCCCTCTTGCACACTCTGGGGTCCCACTTTCCTCTCATCATCCCCTTTATTCAAAGCTCCCTCCCTCTTTTGCTCTCCTCGAGCACTCTCAGCCATCTCTCCTCACACTCAATAATGTTACTTCTTGATGTATTTTCTCGCTCTCATTTTACCAACACCCACCCTCCCTCCTGTTTCTTTCTTCCCTACCTGCCTTATTTGTTCCTCCTCCCTATTGCCCTCTAAACACTGCCTTCAATTTCTCTTTCCAAATTTCCTCCCTCCCCCCCGACTCTTCTTCTCTTTTCATCCCATGTTGCTCTCTTCCTCTCTGGCTGTGGTCTCTTACCTATCTCTTTGGCGCAGACATAGTGGTATTTATGAGAGCAGCCTCTCCAACAGCAGCTGAGGGACGCCCCCGCAATCTGGCACTTGTAGCAGTTCTGGGGTTAGTCAGACAGACGGACATATGGACCGGGACCAGTAAAGAAACAAAACAAATTGACCGATAGAGACACACAACAGAAGAGGAAAAGAGGGAAAAAAAAGTTATTTCAGTTTCTCAGAGATTGTTTGCATGACAGAACTATCATGAGCCCCTTTCAAACATGCACTCCTGACCATTTCTAGGAAATTTCAGGACAGAGATTTTCAAGACTTGCTTATTCACACATGTCCCTCACAGCGGAAGGTTTTCCCTGTCAGACAGGCGATGGAGATCTCAGGAGGAAAAAAGTCACAGTGTAATATTTACAAAATATCCAAGATGGCAGTGTTTGCCTTTATATCAATGAAACATGTGAACTGTCAACAAAAGAGTGGAAAAGAACATACTGACAAGCGGTATGAAGCAACCTCACTTCCTGCATTTTGATCAGACCAATTTGCAATGGACGCATGACAAACAACATTATCCCCTGCTTACTCACTTGTGGAGAATTTTCCTGATATTATCATCTCGCTAAATGTGGAAAGTGGGCTGACAGGACAAAAAGTCTGGATAAACTTGGGGTGAAAAGTTTGGCAGTTTGCGTTGGCAGCTCACCCTGGCAATTTCTGAAAAAATGATCAGGAGTGCAGATCAAATGTGAAAGGGGCTATAATTTCTCTAGTAACTTGCATAATCACAAAAGCAGAGTAAATAAACGCAGTCATACCGTTTGGGTTGAGTTGTTTGCAGCCTCTTTCAGGCCGAACAGCCTCCCAGCTACCATAATGACGCCCTTGGTCCAGATGGCACAGTTTTCATGCGCCCAGTGCTCTTTAGCTTCCGCCTCCACTTGTAGCCTCTGGAACATGCTGCCACTGCCGCCTTGGTCACCTGAAGCCCCTGTGCTGACAGACTGGAGCTGCTTCATCCGCCTGAACCTCTCTTTGAGCGTTAATCTTCGCGGACCGCCCTCCTGACCCACTCTTTCAGGTCTTTCTGCACGTCTGTGGCGCCAGTGATGGTGACGACTACTGCTACTACTACTACTGACCTCTTGTGGTAATGCCTCGGTATTGCCTTCCTTTTTTGTGCTGCACTCTCCCTCATCCTTTAGGGAGTTGCCTGATTCTTCACTGTTGCTACTGTTGTTGTTGTTGTTGTTGTCATTTGTCTTCTCTGAACCTATCCTGAGGGACTCGTTGTGGCTGGTCGTCAAAACTTTCCGGGGAACACTATCCTCTGTGTAGTAGGGTCCACACAAATCACCCAAGTCTCTGTAATTTGCTGGCTTTCCACACAGGCTACATGTAAGACACCTGTCTCTTAGATGTGTGTTTACCAAGGGTCCTTGTAGCATGGCAGCAGCTTGTGGCACTACTTTTGCAACTGTGAACGGATTCCTCATTCGAAGTATGCCCTTTTTTCTCCGTCTCTGAAATATTACTGCATCCTCAGGCTTGTTGACGATGGCACACCAAGAGGAAAAGTCCCTTGAGTTGTTAATCCGCACGTAAGGACAGAAAGACAGTTTAGGGTTTTGATAGACTGGTCTTCGTCTGATTCTTTTTACTGTTATGATCTCAGTCTTTTTGTCTGATACCGTCACCACAGGACCCACAACGGATTCCTCCTGTTTATCTGGTTTTTCAATTTCACCTCTTTCCCGCTCTTCTTTTTCTCTCTCCTCTTTTGCATCTGACTCACATCCTGCAGCCCTTATTACTGCCTCAATAACCTCAATGGCGTCTTTCATCCCAGGTTTCGGCCCAGGCTTTTTGTGGACCTTGAGTGGCTGACCAGGAACCGGCTCTGTTGAGGATTTGCTGCGTTTCCTTTTGGCTGGATCTGTTGATGGCTTTCTGCCTCTCCTTGGTTTCTGGATATGGTCTGTGCTGGCGACCTGGGGAGCTTCTTTGATCTCATCTTGGCTGATTGGCAGAGGTGCTGCAGATTCTGTTGTGTTTACCTTTTCTTCTACCCTCTCCTGTTGCTGTTCCGCTGCTTCAACTTTTATCTCTTGGACTATTTCTGTTTCTTCTTGAAGGCTTTGGCCTTTTCTCTTCTTCCTCCTCTGTTTAAGGTGCATCTCATGGTTGTTTTTAATTGCTCTCTGCTTAGCTAGCCTTGGCGTTGTAACTATCAGGCTATCTGCTTCCAATGCTACTACTGAGGCATCAGTACTCTCGACCATGGCCCATCTCTTTCTTTTAGTTCTCGAGGAGTTATTTGCAGTTGAAGGTAAAGCTTCTGAGGCCTGTTGTTTCGACTTTCCTTGAGGCTTGACTTCTACTGGGCCATCCCTTGAGTTCCAAACCTTGTCAGCCTCACCATCCTGTGGCGTCCCTGCTTTATGGTTTTCCTGTCTCATCTCCTCCTTATTTACAACCTCTTCTTCAGACCCTGTTCTCACCTCCTTTTGTGTTGATGCCTCTTGACTAATCTTGTGTTTTTTTCTTTCTTGTGCTGTCTCCTCTTTACTATATTGTTCTTGTCTAGAATCTATGCTTTTTTCTTCTCCCTCCATCATCTCAGGGCCATGTATGAGCACTGACGTCTCACCTTCCTTCAAGGCGTGTTGAGACAAAACCTTGGTTGTCACATCATCAGTTAGATTGCTCTCTGTCTGGGGAATTGGGAGGTGTTTCTTCAAGCTAGGAGATGTAATTTTCTGCACCATGGCCTCATATTTCTGTCCTCTACCTTTGCGTGGTGGGAGAACCTTTGTTCTAGTGGGGCATTGAGGAGGCACCACAGGAGTGTCAGTTGTGATATCAGTTTCATTGATGTTTGGAAGACTGTCTTTGGTTGGGGTAGTAACCACAGAAGCTTTCTTGGCTGACCCTCGCTTTCTCCTGGAGCCCACAAGTGGGGAGACAATTTCTTCCAAAACAGCTGGGTCAGGCAGTATGGGTTTGGATTTGGGTTTTGGACCCCTCTTTTTCTTTACTTGTGTTAAAGAAAGTTCTGGACTAGGTTTCCGTTTTAGTGGAAGCGATGTCTTTTCTTCAGATTTTTCAGTTGGGAGTGGTTCTGCAACTAGTGCAGGTGGGTCTGCTGGAACATCTGTGTTTTTTACTTCATTAGGAGTTGTAGTTATAGTTTCTTTCAAGGTAGACACCTCTGTTTTTGGAGTAATATCACTGGCTTTTATTTCAGTTACAACCTGAGGGAGAGCATTCTCCCCTCCATTTTTTTCTTTTTCTTTTGAGGGTTTTTCTTGTGAGGGCTTTCTGGATCTTAACACCATGTTCTTACTTTCCTTTTCTGGTGCCTTCTCCTCCTGGTTTACTCTTTTTTCTTCTTGATTTACTGGTTTTACATCCTCGTTTACTTGTGATATTGAAGCCTTTGAGCTCTTCCTGTTTCTGCTTTGCTGTGCAGTCAAAGGCTGGGTTGTTTCTTCCTGTTGTACCACTTTTACTTTAGAAACTGACCCTTTGGGACGACCCACAGAGCCCTTTAAAGGTGTAGTGTCAGCAGGCGGTAAAATTTCTGCTGGCTTGGGTCCGGGCTTATGTCCTGCTTTTGGACCTGGTTTAGGAGCTTGTTTCGAACCAGTTTTTGGTCCTGGTTTTGGCCCAGGTTTAGCGCCAGGTTTTGAACCTGGTTTCGGTCCAGGCTTTCTTCTCAGAGTAGTCTCAATTTTTAGTGGCACCTCTGGTTCATTTGGCACAGGTTTCTGTCCTGGTTTTGGCCCTGGTTTTGGTCCAGGTCTTAATCCAGGCTTTGGTCCAGGCTTTAGGCCAGGTTTAGGCCCTGGTTTTGGTCCTGGCTTTGCTCCTGGTTTTGGTCCTGGTTTTGGTCCAGGTTTTGACCCAGGCTTTGGACCTGGTTTTGGACCAGGTTTTCTCTTAACATTGGGCTCAACTTTGGGTGGTGAGTCAAGTGAATTGAATGAGCGAGTGCACATTCTAGATCGAAAAGCATCCGTTAGCATTTTGGGATTCTGGCTCACAATAGACTCCTGATGAGCTAGGTCCGTCTGATCTGTAAATAAAACAGTTTTACTCGGAGACATGCATGGTTTCTGTGTAGGAGAGGGGGCTCCTTCCTGTTCCTTTTCCCCCTCCCTCTCCAAACTTAGCTGTCGCCTGATTCCATCACCTGACTGCATTATTCTTCTTCTGCCCCTGGCATGCTTGCGTCCGAATGCTCTGGGCTGAGCAGATGGGGCAACAGGCTCTGGCTTGGCCAAGGGGGTCACAGCACTGGCACAACTGATGCCTGGTTCCATGTCCTCATCACCTTTTTTTGGGGAGGGTGGAGTATCTGCCCAGGAGGGAGCTGAGGGAAGTATCGACTTCCCTGGGAGCTGGGGAGAGTCTGGCTCCAGCACTTTAGTGTCACTGTGATCTATATGATCCCTAGCCTGGAGTGTTCCCTTGTCATTGAGAGCTGAGAAAACTGGCAAAGATGACTGAGGCTGAGGAGCAGTGTCACCAATGGCTGACTCCCTTTCAGAAGCACCTGCTGCTGCCGTTACTGCTGCTGGATTAGGATGTGAAGGTGCCCCTGCGGACTCATTGTCAATCAGGAGTTCGGTATTCTGATTCTCTGTCCTTCTGCAGAGATCTCCAAGAGGCTTCTCTGGCACATTTTTATTATTCATGTGATCCTCAGTCGATGACTGGCTCACTGTCTCTCCCTCCCCCAGCTCCTCCCTTTCGTCGGCAGACAGAGGAGGTGAAAGAGTGTGTAGCTTTTCTTTCTGTATTTCTTCATTTTTCTCTTCCGCTTCTTCCTCGTCTTCTCTCTCTTCATCCTCCTCATCTCTGCTCTCTCTCTTGTCCAAGTTGCTCTCATTTAAGACCTCCGCTAGGGGGGTAGGGGAGGCATTCTCTGAGCTGTCATCCTTCTCTGTTGAATATTGATCCTGTTCAAGGTCACCCCCAGAAACGAAAGGCAATGTTTTCACTGAGCTCTCAGAAGCAGTCGGAGACTCTGACTTGAATGCCTCAGATTTCATCTCATTGACAAAGTGTTCCTTGTGGCTGGAGTCAGAGAGAGCTGCTGGGGACTGTTCAACTGAGTCTCTTGCATCAGAGTCATATTTGCTCTGTACATGTTGGTAAAGTGTCTCCTTATAGCAGTAGCCTTTGTCTGTCTCATCTTTGTTTAGGTCGCTGTATCGAGCCGTGCATTTCTCTTCATCCGACCATTTCTCAAGGTTCTCTGTTGATTTAGCCATGTCTGAATCTCTGTTAAGGTCAGGGTTTTTATCTGTTGTCACCTCCTCTTTGTCCACTGGTTTCTCTGTCCATGCTGATTCTTCAAAGTTTTCTTTGACAGGCTCACTGATATGCTGTATATCCAAAGGAGAGTCCCTTTCTTGTTTCATCGGACTAGGAATTGTTATACTTGTCGGCGACCTCTCATCACCAATGCTCTTTACTGGAGTACTCATGCCATCTCCTTGGCCTGACTGACATCTAGTAGGGTCAGGGGTAAGGTTGTGAAGACCTGAGTCCCCAGACCTAGTGGACATATCGTCTGGAGATGTCATGGAGCATGAAGAGGCTGTATCCAAGCTTTGTTGTGTGTTATTGGGGGCTTGTGCTGGACTTCTGCCCTGGCCACAGTAGTAGTAGCCCCTCTCCAGTTGTTCATCACTACTGCTGGAGTAGCCTCCCTCATGGAGCTCCATAGGCATTGGCTGATGCTGTGGAGTTGAGTAAGGGTCCTGCATGGGGCCAACACTCCCAGCACCACTATCTGGATAGGGAGGACTTTTGTACTCGTCACCCTTTTTGGAGGATGCCCCACTTCCAACACTGCTGTTGCTTCCTCCACTGCTGCGCTTACTTCCCTTTTTGTTGGCCACCAGAGCCTCTGAAAGCAAAAGCTGCTGGACATTATTTGAGATATTCTCGACTTGAGAGGTGAGGGCATTCAGACTCCACAAGCTGGGGTTGGACAGCAACTTCTCTGAGAAGCGTTCTTTCATGGTGGGGACCTGTGGTGTAGTAGTGTAGCTATGGGGTGCTGCGTGGGGCACATTGGGTGAAGGGTGCGATCGTGGGGGCATCAACATGGTATTGGTACTGGCTTGGTCCTGCATACCGGCTGAAGAGGATGAAGAAGAGGAGGCTGCCCCAGGGGTCATGGGTGGTTGACCATACTGGAACGACTCTGGATTGGTCATTAGCGGTGAAGGGGTGGAACTGTACGAAGGGGAGCGCCCAACAGAACGTGCAGGGGAGTGGCTTGAGGAAGGGCTACAGGTCTGATAATATTGTTCTGGCGATCTGACAGAGAGATCCGAGAGACAGTAGTTTTGTTGGGGTTGGCTGTAGTGTTGATATTTTGTGTGGGACTCCTGGGGGTTGGTCATGGCCTGTAAAGGGGGCTGCTGCTCATAAGCTCTTGAGGGAGGCTGCTGATAGCTGTAACTGTTCTGAGTTGGCCTGTAACCTCCCTGCTTTAGATTAATGTTGCTACTCATTTGTCTTCCATACTGGGAGTTGGTTGGCATGTTGTAACCTTTATAACAATGAGGCATAGGGCTGCACTTTTCCATGTATGGTGATGGAGAAGGTGAGTGCTGGGGGTAGTGCAGGTGACTCTGAGGGTACATGAGAGGGGATTGAGCAGGGTTAGGAGGGTGAGGTTGATGGTGGGGGCTGGTATAGGCTGGGGTGGAGGGCTGGTGGCACTGAGTCTGGGAGTGGCCCAGCATGTTCTGGTCCATATACTGGGAGGAACCAGGTGCAGGGGTACCACTACCTTCCATACGTCCGATCAGCTCCTGGTCATACTGTGCTAGCTGGGCTTGGTCCTCCCATTTCTGCTGCAGGTGGCCCTCACTTATATACTGAGCTGAGTAACTACCAGGCCCCATGTGGTTACTGTAGGCCCCAGGTCCCTGCAGGTGCTGAGTGGTGTTGGTTTGGGGTACTTTGCTTGGTCTGTATGATTTTTTTGCCTGTGAGGGTGCAGAGCCTCCATTTCCACTTCCATTCCCTCCACCATTTCCCGGGTATCCAGGGTAGGCTTGCTGGCTGTAACAGTCCTTGGGTCCTCCTCCAGTTCCTGGTCCTCCAGTTGGAGGCATGCTTGTAGGGTTTGCCAGTGAAAGAGCCTCATAGCCTGTCCTTGTGTGCCCTGGACCTGGACCTGGGCCTGGATGTGGACCAGGGCTTGGATGCGGGTGCTGGGGTTGGGGATGATGAGGATGTTGCCGGTAGGTCTCCAGGCGGGATAATTCATGGGGCTCCTGCTGGTAGCAGGGTTGGTTGCTGTGGTAACCACCACTGCGCTCACGGAAGGACTGCATAGCTGTCTCCGTCTGTAGCCAGAAAAGGGAGGGGGAGGTGAGGTGAGATGGGAAAGGGGGAAGGGGGTCAGGGGTTCTGAAGGAAGAAGGAAAGAGGGAAGGGAGAAAAAAAGAGAAAAATTTGATGGTTAGTGCTTTTGAGCCTGTAGTTTATCCACTCTGCAATTCCCCCCTGTCTCCCTTTATCTTCTTTGAAAACCAATACATGAAAACACAGACAGGTGTGCACATCAGCAGTATAGTTTTCTCACACACACACACACAACTTCAATCCATTGGCATAATCAGATATTAAATAACCAAAAGCACTATGGCTCACAGTGCTAAATCTAATTCCTGCACGGATTTGAAGGACCTATTTGGGTGTGTGTGTGTGTGTGTGTGTGTGTGTGTGTGTGTGTGTGTGTGTGTGTGCGTGTGTCTGTGTGTGTCTGTGTGTGTCTGTGTGTGTGTGTGTGTGTGTCTGTGTGTGTGTCTGTGTGTGTCTGTGTGTGTCTGTGTGTGTGTGTGTGTGTGTGTGTGTGTGTGTCTGTGTGCGTGCGTGCGTGCGTTTGCATAAAATGGCTCCTAAATTATGGGGTCTTCAAATTCTGTTTCATGCTCTCAAGATGGAGGGTCAGACATGATGAAGACTCTGGGTGCAGTGATTGCCATGTTTGGAAGAGAACGTAGCGAGAGAGAGAGTGCAGTGGGGGCATTTAAGCACTTTTCTGTGATAAATAACGATAAGAACATTGTTGCAGATGCTTGTATTGGGATATATAGTGCTGCACGATTAGGGCTGAGGAAATGCTGAAAGACTACAGTTCACAGTAATAAGATGATATCTGAAGAGCATGTTTGGTCATGACACTTGCTCTGAGTCTAAACTGAACTCACTCACAAAGTTGCTCTGGCTATTAAACTTTCCAGCTTAATTTGCATGATGAATTATTCATAATTGTTTCGGATCAAATATGATCCCCTGACTTAGCCAGTTTTTTTTTTTGTAGCCACTCTAATATATTACTATTTTTTACCAAAACAAACAATGTTAGGCGATATTTTTGTTTTGTCTTTAGTGCAGTGTGCACTCTCCTCTGTCTCCTCTATCCTCCCTTTGATTTCCTGCCCAGATGCAAACTCCAATTTCCTTCAAGGAGAAGTTGGAACTGTTGCAGTGTCTGTGTGTGTGTGTGTGTGTGTGTGTGTGTGTGTGTGTGTGTGTGTGTGTGTGTGTGTGTGTGTGTGTCTGTGTGTGTGTGTGTGTGTGTGTGTGTGTGTGTGTGTGTGTGTGTGTGTGTGTGTGTGTGTGTGTGTGTGTGTGTGTGTGTGTGTGTGTGTGCTGATGCATTCATACAAAAGAGAAAGGAAGAGGAAGAGAGGAGGGTTGGGGTTTGCCATGGATTTATTAAAGGAACAGAGTCACCTGGAGACAGAGAACTGAGCTTGTGTGTGTGCTTGTTTGTGTGTGTTTTGTCTTATTTGTGTAGCGTTTGTGCGTGTTTGTGCGCGCGCGCGCGTGTATGTGTGTGTGTGTGTGTGTGTGTGTGTCAGCCAGCTTGAGCACAATATCCCGGCATTCCACCTGCCCAAGGGACAGCGCTGCATCCCAACTGACGCACAGTGGCATTATTCATCTCTTACACACACACATCTCTTGTGTGTGTGTAAGTGTGTGATGAAGCAAAGCAGTGTGATAATCTTGAGTGCATCCGTTCGTGTGTGTGCACGCCTGGATGTGAGTTTGTGAGGGTGTGTGGGTCTGTTTGTTCTTGTGTATGCAGGTCCACAACACACAACACACACATTCATACTCAAACACAGCTCGAGATTCACCTGGAGATATTCTTCCTCCGTCTTAACTTCCTATGTCCTCTGCCTCAGTTCAGCGTACTTGTGTTTTACCCATGGTGTGTGTGTGTGTGTGTGTGTGTGTGTGTGTGTGTGTGTGTGTGTGTGTGTGTGTGTGTGTGTTTGTGGCCTGAATAAGATGCTTATAGGGGACACGAGGTGGGACTCTGCCAGACCAAACTTGTTGAGCACAGCAAGAGGATGTTAGCCAAGAGAGTTGTAGTATCTGGAGTGTCTGAATGCTTACATTACCATGCAGTGAATCTGTTAAACATTATAATTCCCACATTGAGCAAGGTGTCAAGAAAAAATGGCTGCCGTGTGATCACGTTTAATAGCCTATTATGAGAAGTAATCAATGTATTTACTATGTATGTGTTTGTTACAAAAAAAACCCAAATCAGTCTACTTCGCTCATCCTTCCATCTTTCCTCTCATCCACAGTAGCGTCTATATTCTAATCACGTCTCCTCTCCACCTCCTCTGTGCTGCACCTCCTCCCTCCACTTCTGTCCTCCACATTTAGAGAGAGCCCTGGCATTGTGAAGCCCAGCAGACCGGCTTGCTGTATATTTGTGGATGTGGCGCGTTGTGTCTGGCTGCAGCCTGCCTCAGCAGGGGTCAGAGAGGAGAGAGGACGAACGATACATGCTGAGATCGCCGAATCCTCTCTGTTGATCCGTCTATCTGTTTATTAGGGAGCTCTTCCATTGATTTTTTTCTGGAGCTTGAGCACAGGGAGAGAGGGATGAAGCAAACACACATATTGCCCACTGTTTGAATTTAATTTGCACACACACACACACACACACGCACGCACGCACGCACGCACGCACACACGCACGCACACACACACACACACACACACACACACACACACAGGAAGGTACCCACACTGGTTTTCTTTTGTTTTTTTCTTCTTGTTTTTTGTCTTTCTTATTGTCCTTTCTTTTTTCTCTTCTTTCTTTCTCCCTTCTTTTGTTCTTATACATTATCTCTACCCTTTATTGTATTCAGACTCCTTTCTTTTGCTTTCACTCTCAGATCTCTGTGACTGGACATGGAAAAAAAGAATATGCTACAAGATGGAAAAGGAAACAAGGTTTTTTGGAGGATCTAACAAGGAGGATACGGCTAGAAAAGAGTCAGTTCGGGATGGGGGGGGATAGATTGACGGCGGGGGGATGAATGCGGAGGGAAAGAGTTATAGAATGATAAGTTTGAGGAGGAAGGGTAGGAGGAGGATGAGGAGACGGGGATGCAGAGGACAGAGGAGGATAGATGATTTACTGAGTGGGCTTTACAACCTGGGCTCTTGGGAAATATGAGCCGCAGCAGTCGCCACACACACAGACACATTTAACATACACACACACACACACACACACACACACACACACACACACACACACACACACACACACACAGAGAGACAGATGCAAAATGGTAGATTGTGTGCCAGCTCACAATGTGGTGGGGTTCATAATTAGCCAAATGCTTCACCTAGCTGCTAGACAAGTGATTGATTACCTCGGGCTGACTTCAAATATATCGAGGAAACTGCCCTCATAAGAGGCTTTAAAATTGTTGTGGCTCTGTAAACCTTAGTGATATGACTTTCAATGTTCATTTGCTTTTTTTGAATATTATTTTTGAAAAAAGTACTTGGGAGGACCTTTTCATATATTGAGCATGTAAATGTGCTGGTAGGTGAAATGTTTTCAGAAGGGAGTGTGTGAGGGAGGGGAGGAAAGGGTGAGGAAGGAGAAGAGGGTGAATCTGATTGTTCCGCTGGATGCCTCATAATGCGCAGAGCTGCGACTGGTTACAGTCCCCCCCCTCGTTCTTTTTTTATCCTCTCTCCCTCTCTTTCATCGCATCATCTTCAGAGGCAGCTTGAGATGGGATTTATCTTCTTTCTCTACACACACACACACACACAGATTCACACACATCCACTCACACACACACACATCCACGCACACACACACACACACACACACACACACACACACACACATACACACACAAAGAGAAGCTCTCTAGTTCCATCAACTCTGGCTCTGAAGCACGTTCAATTCAAGTCTTTTTCTTGCTGTCTGTCTGTCTTACACCAAGACACACATGCAAATGTGCTAGAAAACATACCTCCACACACTACACACACACACACACACACACACACACACACCACACACACACACACACACACACACACACACACACACACAACACATACAGACACACAGAGAAATGGAGGCATACAGAGTGGAAGGATGGAACGTCTCCCTGTGTGTTTACCTCCCCAGTCATCCTGGTTAATTATGCATGCAGAGGCAGCGTGAGGGGAGGTGGAGGGGCCTAGGAGAAACACTCGTGCGCACACAACACACACACACACACACACACACACACACACACACACACAAACTCACCCCAACACCTCACACACACCAAAGCTCAGCTCACATGCTCACATGCTCACATCCGACAACCGACGTCGCACTCAAAAAAGAACCCAAACACGCCGCTCTCCCTGCCCCCACCCACCTCGAAACACACACTGATGTCTAGCACATCTGCCTTTAACACCCTGCTTAACACAGCAAGCTCCAAAATAACACAGCAGCACGCCTAGATGCTTCAACCAATCAGGACGCTGCTATACCCGTCCTAATTAAACACACTTCAACAAGGCAGGGAGCGCTTTCAGATTGTGCCGCACATATCCTTCCTTCTCTGTGCCCTTTGATAAGCATAGGCAGGCAGACAGACAGGCAGACAGACAGACAGATGGACAGACTGACACAGGTCTCCTCTCTGTCTCTCTCTCTCTCTCTTCTTCTCCTTTGCAGTGTCTGGCCAGGCTGCGTGGGTGGGTTCCTACCCATGGGAAGAGGCTTACGAGATGGAGGAAGCCAATATCTGCTCTGACATTTGTCTGTGTCCCGTTGTCATGACACACAGCTGGAGGTCACGCTGGGTCACCGGGCAGCCAGTCAAATAGATTATAGGAAGAGACATAGAGGGGGCAGAGACCTGGGACTGACACTCTCAGATAGACAGACAGGCAGACAGACAGACAGATGGTGCTTTGAGGCTTCTGGACACCCAATCAGAAGGAGTAATCTGTATCAACAGAATCTGCTAATGAATACAAAGTCTGTAGCCACAGACAACTTTGTGTGTCATAAGTGTTCTGGTGTCTGTTGGTAGTCGGAGTAGTATTATTCTGTACCGTTTCTGCTGACTTTGGCTTTATGAGGGACCATATTTAATGTGGGGAGCACAAGACGCAGTA